TACCTCTTGGAGATAGGCTTCTCTTTTCTCAATATCATTATAGAGTAAATTTAGGAGGATTCTCAAATATATCATTTGAAAAAGAGAATCTTACTCTTGCCTATGATATTTGTCCTGTAAATACTGTCTTAAATAGATTAGCTTTTCCTAAAAATTATGATGAAAATGGGGATATATCAAGAAGTGGAAATATTAATCTAAATTTACTAAATAAATTAAATGATTTGGAATATTATTAATTTGTTGCCCCAAAAAGTTTAGGAGTAGAATGGGTCTACAATACTATTTTACCTTTACTTGATTCATTTGATATATCATAGTAAGATAAACTATGTACATTTTGTGAGCATATCGCATAATAGATTGGCAAATCAATAGATAAATAAGAAGAGAAAGTATTATTTACTGGAGGAGGAGTTTAAAATAAATACTTAATGGAAAGAATTAGTTATTATGTGAAAAATGTTTAAATTTTAGATCAATAAGCATCAGATTTTAAGGAAGCTTTGATTTTTGGATTTCTTGGAGTGCTTAAATTAAGAAATGAAATTAATGTACTTTGTAGTGTTACTGGAGCAACTCATGATCATTCTAGTGGATATATTTATGAATATGTTGAAATTTGAAACAAAATTAATTTTAATTATTATTAATAAAAAAAACAATTTAAATATAGTCAGCACTTTATAGATTGTTTCCTAAAAGGGTTTTTTAGAGTTGGAAAACTTAATTGTCTTACTTAATTTTCTATTGGATGAAATATTTCATTATTCTTTTTGAAAAATGAATGGTTCAGACAAAATGAAGCTGAAGGTCGATGCTTCTTATGTCCAATCATCAAAAGAAGGAGTTATCTTTATTCAATATTCATGATTTTTGGAGATACTTTATATCTATTTAACTTATTCAAGAATATTAAATGATCTTTATCTTAATATTCTGGATACAATTTTTGACCTGATAATAGAGAATGGAATATGCTTCCTAAACTATAAATATCAATTAATTCGTCATAATCTTCTTAATTTAAAATTTCAGGTGCCATGTATCCAGGTGTGCCACATCTAATTTAATTTTAATAGCCTAATTCTACTGCAAATCCAAAATCTATTATTTTAATTGATTTTATATCATTTTCATTTTCAAAAAGTATATTATCTAATTTTAAATCTCTATGAATAATTCCTAATTTATGCATGTGTTCCACTCCTTTAAGAAGTTTCTTCATTATCAATTTGATTTCATCCAAATCTAATTAATAATTTCTTTTCAGTAAATAATTATAAAGAGTTCCTCCTTAACAGTACTTCATAATAAATATTATCTCATTTTATTCCTTATAAATTTCATCAACCTAAAGAAGACTTTTATGTTTTTAATGATTTAGTGCCAAAACAATATTTATTTCCTCTTAGAGTTTTGACTTAAATAAATTATAAACTCATACTTATTAATTAATCTTTATTTTCAATTTTTTAACTAATTTTAGTTCTCCTGTCTCAATTTACAAATATTTAGAGATCTATATGAATTAATAAATAATAATAATACTTCTACATCTTCTTTTTATACCAAAGAACTTGATAATAAATAATCTTTGTCAAATTCAGTGTACAATGCTTTACCATCGAGTAATTTCTTAAATTGTTTCATCTTTTGTGCTTCGCCTAAATATGTTAAGGACTTTAAAGCATTCGAAACACAACAATAATATGAAACCTTAAACCCTGTAACCATTTTTTCTCTACTCCTTAATTTATATATATTACTTAAATATCCAACTTATTGTAGTTGAAAAAGAAGTCAGGTCTATAGATCTATCTCTTTATTCCTATGCAAGGTCATTTTTGTTCTAAATTAATTTTGTGCTGCCGATTATTAACTTTTCGTTATACAGACATAAAAGGCGTGATGAATTGTTTTTTGCATTACTTATTTCGCAAGTATATATAAGATCTTGATTCATACTTATTTAAATAATATAAATTTATAAGAATTGAGAAAGCTTTCTCTTAATAAAAAGATCTAAATTAAATCTTACACTAAACTTAAAAGTGATAATAAGTATTAACATTTAAGAAAAAAAATTTTATATGTCAAATTATTTTTTATGGTGTTCTTTATGATACATTCAAATATTTTTGGATTCAGTTTTTTGATTCTTAGAATTACAAATTGCTTTTAACAGATGAAAAAGACTGAATTATATTTGATTTAAAGTTTTCTATCTTTAATTTCAAAAATTTTTTAAACATTTCAAACCAAAATGGATGTTACCTTTATAGAATGTTGTAAACATTGTGAAATAAGATCCCAAAATAAGAAAACAGGGAATTTAAATTAATGGAGAAAGCTTTGACATTAATGGTTTATAATTCAAGGATTAATAATAATTTGCTAATATATTTTATTATATTATATTAATAATAAAAACAAATTTAATAAATTAATAAATAAGGAAAACAGCTTCTTATTTATGATAAGTATTTATTAAGGTGTTGGAAAAAGAAATTATCTCTTGTTTTTTAAATTAGAGTTTGTGGCTCAAAATATAATTTTTATATCAAAGAAGAAGTACTAAATTATATATTGAGTAAAATATTAGTGTAATTATAGAAGTATTGTTATCCTGACCTGTTTAATTGATTTACTTATAAATAAATTGTTTTCTGTTTCTAGATGAATCAAGCATCTAAACTATATTTTATATATTTACATTTTTAATTTGAACGATTAGTAAGTGAATTAAATAAAGATTAAAGTTTTTTTGTTAATTTTTTGCTAATTTAAACTTTGATAAATAATAAGATTCTAACTAGTTATAGTTTGAAATTGTATATGGCAGTTATTTTTCAGGTATTCTTTTTGTTTTTTTGAAGGAAGTAAACTAAAATATATAAAAAGATTAATAATATAAATAAATAACTAAGAAAACTTATATTAATTTTAAGTTTTTCAATAAAATAAAAAAATAGAAAGAAGTAATGAATTAAAAAGAATATAGGAAATAAAGGATGAAAATTTGATAATTTAAAAGAGATTCAGATTGGGAGTATGAAAGAAAAAACGCATAAAATAATTCTTCTATATTCTGCCTTTTTGTGATGACAAGAATCTAGGCATATAAATTTTGGTATATGTGTGAGAGTAGATGAGTTTTTTGATGAATAAAAAATAAAAGTGATTAATTATATTTGTTATGAAATATGAAAAGGTTTGAATTTTAATGAATTAATTGATTGTAAATATATTATTTTACATAACTTTTCTGATAGAGATAGATTGAATGGGTACATGAAATGCTTTAAATATGCATCAAAAGTCTAAGTTTTCAAGATTAAGTTAGTTTTTTTAAATTTTGTTTTAAATCTTGTAAGACCCAAAAAACCTTAACATAATGAATATAATATTGAGTTTTTGAAGATATAGTATTGATAATGATGAGAAAGTTTCTATAAATGTGTTTTCTAATTAAGAAATTAAACATTTAATGATATGTTTAGGAGTATCATCTATTATACTTTTATTATATAAATGAGTTTATTGAATTTGATCTTTTCTGAATTTGAGTATTCAGAAGTGTATAGTAGTACATGTAAAGATTGAAATGTTTTTCTTAATTTAATTTTAGAGGCTTCATCAGTATATAATTTGAAAGCAAAAGGGATTGTAATTGTTGTTGAGAAATGTATATGAAATATAGAGTATTAGTTAGATTTTGTAATTGTTTTAAGTGTTCCTACATATTGTTTAGGTATATGAAATATGATAAAGTCAATTAAGATAGTCTATGATAGAGATGTACAAAATATACAAATAGCAAAAAGGTATAGTTGAGATATTGAATAGAAGTGTTATTATGAGTAGGGGATATGATTTAATTGTTGATTTTGACTTTGATTTTGAGAGAGGGAGTTCTTTTCTTTTGTTGGAAGTAATTATTCATGAAAATAAAATAAAAATGGGATATGAAAATTGTGTAGTTTGCGGGAAAAGATAAGAAGGTTTATATAAATTATTACCACATTTTCGATCAAGATAAGAAAATAAATACATTCATAAGATGTGTTTAATGTTATTTAGTTCAGATTGGAATCGTAAAGTTGCTGTGAATGAAAGATTGTATTATAATGATTACAGAAGACATTGTGGAATATGTAGTAAACGAAATAAGTCATAGGTGATTAGATGTGCTTATAGGTATTAAGTTTAATTATGTAATCCAGTTCATGTAGAAAAAGATTTCATTTAGATTGTTTAAAGAATCCTGTTATCTAAGTAAACTCAAATTCAAGGAATCATTATACAAGATTAGATGTTTATTGTCCTGAACATTCTCTTAATTTAATTAAAACTAATAATTTAGATGAGCATGTAGAATCCATTTTTAATGAACATCTATTAAATTAAGAATAAGAACCTGGACAAATTTAGAAGAGCAAACATAAAAAAAAACATAAGAAGAAACATTCTCGATCAAGATCAAGATCTCATAAGAAATCAAGAAGACGATCTAGTAGTTAATATAGATTTAGTAATAGTAAAAGTTCAAAATTATCATCATAATCTCTTGTTAATAAAAATACATCTAAATCTTCTGTTAAAAATCAATCAAATATTGTTTAAGATAGATTGTTAGAAATACCTGAAAGTTAGATTACTGAAGGAATGATTAAAGATATTCTTTAATTAGGACCTATTTAGGATAAAATAATATAAATTAGCGAACCTGAACCATTTACACAATAAATATAATAATAACCAATCTTTTTTGAATAATAATAGTAGTTTTAAAAAGAAAATGTTTATCCATAAATTTAGAGACCAATTATTGAAGATCCCGAATTCCCATATACAGAGAGAGATAATAAAAGAGATCAATCTATATTAAAATGGTGGGATAAAATAGAAGAAATCTATTTTAAAGGAGAAGAAAAATTAATACTCACTAAAAAGGAAGAATTCAAGAATCCTTTTATATGGTCTAATAAAGCATTAGATGAAGAATTATTGAATTATGCTGATTAAATGAATATTGGTATTAATAATTAAACTATTTATATTTTTAGAACCAATCATACAGTTGAGGTATTAATGTAGAGGAAGTATAAATGTTTTAATTAGATGCTCAAAAGCTCAGTATTAGTACACTAATTGTAAAAATCTTTTAGTTTCATTCGATATAGTTTTACCGAACATGTTGGCAAAGCAACACCCAAAGGATTACTGAAGACAAACATACAATTGTATAGATATTTATAAGAAACAGTTGATATTCCTACATATTCTGATAAAGATATAATTGGAAAAGATTTAATTTATTTAGAAAATTGTGAATTAACTAAATAAGAATATTAGGATTGTTTTGAATTAGAGCAATAAATTAAAGAAATTCATTCTAAATTAGAATCACAATTAGATATTGAAAGTGACACTGTCTAATAATTTGATATTGTTTATCATATAATGAATAATGAATTAAGTTCTATTGTTTCATAGAATAATTAATTTAGAGAATAAATCAATTCATAAATAACTGATTACAATTTTAAAATATTAAAAACAGAATAACAATTACTTATTGATTTACTTAGATGGTCTTAAATTGTTAAAGCATTCATAAATGGATACAAAGATAAAACTGAAGATGCTTTGAATTCCTTTTATCCTTGTTAATTGACATTAACAACTTAATCTTCTTAGAAAGCATAGTAGAAGAAAAAGAAAATTCACTCTAAAGAAAATGTTTAACCATTAGATACTGATTGCAAAATTTGTTTTGATTACCATTATACAGATTTTAATCCAGTGATCTATTGTGGTAAATGTTCAACATCATTTCATAAAAATTGTTATGGTCTTACTGGATCTCTTGATGAAGATGATGTAATTTGTGATGCATGTTATTATGAATCATCTAAATTAAATTAATTTAGAAGAGGTATATCTATGATTATTAGAAGGTGCTGCAAAATGTAGAATTTGTAAGAAATTGGGATTACCTTAAAAATACATAAGAAATTCCTTTTATCATGTTTCTTGTTTACTTTTAACTAATTAAGTCATTTTATCAGATGGTGCTTATGATGTTAGATATAGAAAGAATGATATTAAATAATTCTGTAAAGATAATGAATCAAGCACTCCATAATGTGCAGTTTGTGGAGATTCAAAAGGTTCAATACTTTATATTCATTTTATTTAGGGTTTAGATTTATGTGTTCTGGTGGTGAAACTATTCCATGTAAGCATGCCTTCCATCCAATCTGTGCTTATTTACATGGATTAACTATTGATATTGAAAGTGAAGATCTTGAATAATGTTGTAAAGAACTCAGGTTTGCTCAATTAAATGTGTATATCAAATGTGTCTTACACTGTAATAAAACTTTGTAAGAATTAGTAAAGTAAACTTACTATAGGTATTAATATCAAATCTTATCATTCTAGGAGATTTGCACTGAATTATGAGTAAACTGCTAAATGTGGAGGAGAAGACATTTTCATTTCAGAATTCAAAAAAACCAAAGGATATAGGTAACTAATTTAAGCAAACTCTTAAGATATCTCTCCTTTAAGTTACCCATTTCAAGAAATGACAATTTATAATAATTTATTAATTAAAATGGTACACCAACCCAACAGATGTGAGTAGTAATTTCATTTTAAAATATTAAATATTCCATAAAGAAACCTTAATTTTGCTCTATTCTATTCTCTATCTATAATGTCTCTATTTCATTTCCATTTCCTAACAATCTTTGTTTAACACGTGTCAACTTTTTAATACTCTAAAAAACTTTATATAATATATCATATATAAGTTATTAATTATTATTATATGGGAGCATTAGCTTAAAAAATTAAAAACATTTTTATTACCCCTACTACTTAAGAGTTATTACCTTTAAAAAATGATAATTCCATCTATAATTAACCAAAAGAAAATTATTAATCATATTCTAATGAGACTTAATAAAAAGAACTTAATAATCCAAATTTAGATAAATTACAAATAATTTAATAATAATCCATATCTAACATAATCCACAGTCCTGTTAGAATGATAACAGGCATGTAAGGAAAATAATATAATAATGACCTATATAGAATCCAATAATAATCAATAGCTAATACTATCTAAAAGTTAAATTGATCTTATTTGAAAACAAAACTTATAAAATTATTGAAATATTAAATTAGTTTCTAAAAAAATTGTTTTGATCTGTTTATTAAAATAATCATTTAATTAATTTATTATTGACCCATCTTCCTTCAACTATTTTTTGATTTTTTGTATGGAATAACCCAAATCCATTAATATAATCTTTAAGAAATTAACCACAAAATTTTTCACCATTTGATAAATATAGAGTTCCTTAACCTTCTTTATTATCATCATTAAACTCTCCTTCATACTTAGTCCAAAAACTACATTACACAATAGAATTACTCTTCAATATGATCAAAATCTTAATAATTAAATGGTTCATTTAATTAAGATGTCATTTCATTAAATAATATTCCATAACCTTAAAATTTATCTTAATTCCATGATCCTTTATAAGCTGGATTACCATTTGAATAATATAGAGTACCTATTATTTTTAATTATAAAGTACCATAACCATGCATATGATTGAACTACCAATTCCCATCATAATATCCTCCATCTTTATAATAAAATATTCCTTGGCCATGTCTCATTCCATTAAATTTATATCCATTATATTTAGAACCATCTTAATATTATTCATTTACAAATATTTCTCCTTAAGATGAAAATCCTGAAATATGAGGTTATTGTTATTATTGTTGAGGTAAATCAAATGGAAGTGAAAATTATTATTAAGATTCTTTGACATTTATATCACTAAGCTTTAATTCAAAATTTTAATTAACATGTTAATCAGTATGATCTTGTAATGGTAAATTTTAAGATCTATTAGTAAAATTTTCATCATTTTCATTAGTATCAATATTCTCATCAATTTTTGATAATTTCGAAATTTATTATGAGCAAACAATTTATTAAATTAAATCACAATTATCAGGTAAATTAGGTTAAACTGAATCTTCCTACATTCTACTAGCCATAGTTGAGTTAGTATTTGATTGTTCAGTAATAATTTCCCTAAGTGAAGGTTTTTTAGCATTAGATTTTGAACTTTTTATTTATTTCATTATAGGAAGAGTCTACTATTAATATTAAGGATTAGATTATTATTATTATTACTATTAAATTTACTAAGACTATATAGAACTTTATTACTACTGATCTTATGAATTAAAAGATCTAAGTTAATATTTAAAATTATTAATAGATGTTGATTCTTAATATTTCTAGTCTAATAATTTTGATAAGTCTATAAAATCAGGTCTTTAATTTTCTTAGATCATTAACATAGATTGAATGACTTCAAACAATTAGGGTTGGACAACAGAATTTAATTAATGTAATTTAGTTAATAAAACTTCTTCTACCAAATACAATTATTTGTAACAATCATTTATCGGAGCTTTTAAAATACTCTATAATATGCACATTCCAAGAATAAATACATCACTTTTGTATGGATTATGTTGAGGTTAAAATTCCTTTTGTCTTAGAGCCAATGTTTGTAATGGTGATAAAAAAACATCACTGATTTTATTATTTTAAAATAGTTATTAAAAATTAGTAGATTGTTCATAAAGTGAAGGAATACTTATTTTAGGTGGTAAGTATAATGTTTTTGATTAGATATGTTCATGTTATATGCATTTATTTTATAAATCTTCTAATGCTCTAACATATCCGAATAAAACTGCCCAATAATCTTAGGATGCCAATTATGTTGTAGCCAATTAGGAAGTAGGATGTTCTATCAATATGTATATTTTAAAAAATTAACTACACACTTATTGATCTTAAGTAGTATAGATATCTACAATCTTAAGAATGTATTGATTTTGAATTTATTATTACTTATTTTCAAATTCCTTCTTACTTTTCTTAAATAGTATTTCATCTGTATAAGTATATTCTTTCAAAATAAGCTTTACTTTTGGATTTTATTTATTAACTAAGACTGTACAATCTCCAAATTCTAAATTAATTGATTGAAATACACTCATCTCGTGTTTTTGTTGGTTGATATTCACAATACAATTAAGCTAACTTTGTGGATTCTTAGCTATTATTATTTCCCATTCAAAATTAACGAATATTTAATAATAATGATTACAATTCTGAAGAATACTTTAATAATTTATCTTGGACTTTTAGGTCTTAGTACAATTGGATCCCTTTTCATCTGCTTAGATCAAGAATATCAATAGTAATGTCCATCTCATGTAATCTCAATTTTATCAGACTTATCGCTTATCCCAGTTGTAAATGAAATCAGAATGATTTTAATCCCATTAATTAAAGAATTACCTCCTTAATGGATTAGTATTTTGATTTGGAGTTCATTAATGATGACAAGTGCTTTAATGATATCAATCATGTATATAGCAGCGTAAAGAATTAAAAAAATATATATAGAAAGTTCACTTATAATATGTTGATGAATTTAGTCAAATTATTAGTTATACTCATATTGTTTTCGTTTATCTTTGCCTGGCTGATGAACTTTTAAGAGATACCATAGAAATTTCAATAATATTTGAAGTACTTACAATTATTCTAATAATGAAATATAATATTAATAATTAATGAGATCGCTATCTTAAGTTTGTATCACAGAAAACTCAGAAAACATTATTGAAAAATTTATATTCAAACAAAAGAAAGCAATCACTTTGAAGTCAGACTCACCAGTAATAACTAAAAGACATAGTCAATAAGCAATGGTTATTATATCAGATTCTCCACCTAAAAAACATAAAACTTGTAGTAGTGAAATACCTTTGAGTAATGGAAAAATGTACTTGAAAAATGGAAAGATTCTGTTCTTGAAACAAAAGCTACCCAAATTGGAGTTACCACAAGCAAAATGTAAATTTGACCCAAAAACAGAAATCTTGAAATGGATATAAACAAATAAGATTATTTCTCCAACAAAAAAGAGAGTCACATTCAGGGCAATAAAAGAATCAAATGGCTAAAACAGAAAATCATAAATCTTCTGATTATAATTAATAATTAATTAACTGCAAATCAGGATATTATTGACTTCTTTTTTTATTGGAAACTATTAATGTGTAATCACATAATATCAATTTAATCACTAATAGAAAAGAACAAGTAAAATATTATAGACTTAAGAATTAGAGACATTGAATAAATAATAAAAATATTAGATCATTTTATTTTTATTTTATATATTTTATTATTAAATGGATTATTACAAGATTTTAGAAATTAATCGTGATGCATCGGCATCAGAAGTAGCTAAAGCTTACAATAAGCTTTCATTAAAATGGCATCCAAAATTGAGTAAATTAGATTAAAATACAACTTATCATCATTTTTGCCTAATTTCTGAGGCATATGAAGTATTATCAGATCGTAATATTTAATAAGTAATTTAGCTATTAAAAGGACATTTTATGATAAGTATGGTGAAGAGAAGTTGAAAGAAGGTTTCTTTGCAAATGGAAGTAATGAATTTCTTGATTAACATAGACCTGAAGGGCGGTTACAGTTTTGCAGGTAATCCTGAAGAAATATTTGAAAAGTTTTTTGGGACATCAAATCCATTTGCTTAACTTATAGGTAATATTAAATAATAAAACATTTAGATACTGATGGATCAGAAAATCATGGCACTCTTTTTAGTCATGCTTTTGGAGGATAGAATTTCCCAGGAATTCCAGGACCTCAAGATCTTGAAATTTAAGTAGAGTGTACTTTACATGAATTGTATAATGGTTGTGCAAAAACTGTTTCATATTAGAGATAAGTGCTTAATAAAGATGGAATTACTACTAGATAAATTATGGAAACTAAGTATTGAATATTATATCTCTTAGAGAAATTAAAATTGATAGGGGAATTGAGACTGGATAAAAAATAGTATATAAAGAATTAGGTAATGAAGCCGCAGGATTTAAATCATCTGATTTAATCTTTTTAATCAAAGAAACTCCTCATCCAACTTTTAAAAGAAAAGGTAATGATCTCTTATATATTGCTAAAATCAATTTGGCAAATGCTATTGCTGCAGATCCAATATAAATTGTCACTTTAGACAATCGAAAATTGCAAGTTCCAGTTGATTAAATCATAAGGTATTATTTATTTATTATATCATAGTCCTAAATATGTAAAGATGATTGAAAATGAAGGAATGCCTGTCTTCTAATAAGATGAAGTTAAAGTAACAAATTTTATTTATTTTAGGATTTTGGTAAATCATACACATTTGGAAATTTGTACATTAGATTTGATATTCAATTCCCAGAAGATCTAACAGAAAGTTAAAAAAATAGAATCAAAGATATTCTTTTAGAAGGTTAATAATGATTCATATTAATTATCATTATCATCATTTTTAAATTACTCTTTAAAATATTTTTATTTAATCATTTCATTCTTATATTAAAATATTTGAATTTAAATTTAACTATATTATTATTAAGATTAACTTAATTAAAGATAATATAAACATAGAAAAATTTATTTATTTGTAGTAAATCTATAATAATTGAATTGATAATATAATATCAAAAAAAATATATCAAAAAGTATAAGAAATAATTCACTAAGAATTTAAGATCAATAAGTAAATAAATGATTAATTTTAGGAGTTATAAAATAAATGCGAAGAAAGTTTTAGAAAATATAAATGATATATTTAGTATAAATATTAAAAGAAAGAAGTGAAGCATAACAAGAATAAACATTAAAAATAAATCGACTATAAAAATATTTTAATATTAATATAATGCTAGCTTTAGGAATAGTAATTCAAAAAGCAAAATGAAATATAAAATATCATTTCAATACTCATCTATTGTGTCTTTGGTATCTAATTAAACCATATATCTGATCCTAACTTTAGTCTCATCGAAAACAATGTATTCGTTGTGTTAGAGATAAAAATAAAATTAATTTCCATTTTTATCTTTCTTCTTTGGTTATTGATATTCTATGCATTATCCAACTGGAACTTTGCACCCATTAGGCAAAACTACTGATTATTTATAATCAGGCCCTCTGCTGCCACATCCTTTGACTGACTAATATTATTCTAAATTAATAATTATTATTACTATCTAAATTAGAAATATATTCAGCATTATATAGATTTTTTGATTTTCCAACCGCTACTTCACATAATAACATATATCTATATCTTTGAATTTCATCCTGTTCATCCTTTTAGGTAATTTTCTAAGTGTTATAATAAACATCTTATAAGAATAATCCATTATATCGATTATAGAATAGAGACCAATCTCCAGTATATGCATATGATTTTTAGAACATATCAGCAAAATAAATGCCTTTTCCAAACATTGCTCCAGTATTAAATGCCCATGGAGGTGCCACTATATATATTGATTAATTTAAATACCTCTTAATCCTTAAGCTAGAATTCCCATAAAATTAGAAATCTTTGAACCATGCCATAATAACATTCTCTTATATTATTTATTGTGTTCAAATCTCTCAGCTTCCCCTCTTCTTTCAACTGCAAATATGTTTGATATCTTAGCTTATTGGGATTAATTTATATATTAGTTTATCAATTTATATTCTGGATGTTCTTTTGGTAGAGTAAGTACTCTAACATTAAGTGCATTAAAACAATATGTTAATGGATTTATTGTTTATTTCATTAGATGTGCTCCTAATAAAATCTTAGATGTTATCTCAAAGTTAAGTAAAGTTTCTATCAATAATAATTTTTAATTTATTGCATCTATTGAATCTAATGGAGGAATAGGTTCTGTTTATTATTCTTTATTTGGAATTAACTCATAAAATCTACTTGATTTATCACTTATTTCCGTAAATATATTTTAAATCTTCTTAATATCAAGATCACCTTTTTATCTAAGTTTTTATAGATCTTCTACACAATCTGTTAATTCATTCAAAATGGCTTTCGCTGCTTCTAATTATTTTCTATCTAATCTTTCAATAGGCATAGAATCTATATCTATATGGAATTATTCTAAATCCTTGTTATACAATTTAACCTAAACAAATTATAGCAAAAATCTTTTTATTGCTTTATCTAAATTACATTGTTGATAAGGACTTTTCTTACTAAAATCAAATGGAGTAAGTAAAGTCTTGAAATTCTTTACATTCTTAAAATTTATCAATTAGTATTTTCCTGGTTTTTTTACAAATTGTTCTTCTCCACTTTATAGTTTTCTCCAATCATTTCCTCCAGTCTTATTATGGAAGATTTTATTAAACTCTTTAATAGCTTCTTCTGCATTTTCAAAAGGAGTTAATTGATGTTATCCATTTGTACCTATTCTTCCCCATTTTGTAAATAAAATAAAAACATTTCTATTAATTTCATGTAAGACTTACATCTTATAAAATACATTTTCTGAATAGAGACCATTTCCTATATCAACTTTAGTCATTAATAATGAATATGGACCTAATTCCTTATCTATCCATACTTCAACTTTACCTGATTCTTGAGCAGAAGGATCTACAATTTTTTTTCTATCTTATTTTGAATCATCTAATTATTCTCCATTTAAATCTAAGAATTTCTAAGCGTCACTTTCTACATCTATTTCTTCTTCTACCCATTAAGCTTAAGAAATTACACTTGTAGGAAGTCTTTGTTACTTTTATTTCTTGCCTTCTTTAGCATTCAATTTTTTAAGAATTTCTGCCATTGTTCCTGAATCTTGATCATTAGCATAATCTAAAGGAGTTCTTCCAAAATTATCAGGTTAATTGATATCAAATTATTTTACTAATAATTATAGCATATCAATATTTTCATATGAACCAAATTCAAGTGGTTGAATAACATAATGAATTGGTGTTCTATTTTATGAATCTTAAGAATGTATTGCTTTATTAAATTTAGGATGATTCAATACATAATTTACTAATTTCATTGAATTTATCTTAATTGCTAACATTAAAGAAGTTTCTCCTGATTCTGTCTTTTCATTTATATCACATCCAGCCTCAGTAAATTTAGTTAATATGATTTCATCTTCTAAAAGAAACTCTTAAATCAAAAACAAAATTGGAGAAGTTAAATAATCTTTTTCATTAACTTTGAATTTAACATTTAAATTTGTATTAGATTCCTTCCAACATTATAATTCTACATCAGAAACTAAAGCTTAATAATTATCCTACAATCTAATTGAAAATGGAGTATTCTTATCATTATTGTAATTATTTGGATCACAATTAGATTTCAATAAATATTCAATCATTCCATAAAAATCATTTTAAGCAGCATAATGTAATGGAGTGTTATTTTAATCATCTTTTGCATCTCTATCAACTTTTCTATTTGCTAATTCTTCTGCAATCATTAATGCTATTTCATCTGTACATTTCCTACCTTTAATTGAAAATATATGGAAAAGATTTTATTTATTTTAATTTTATCTCTAAACTATTTCATCATCTTTCACTTTCATCAATAAAGTTCGAACTAGTTTGAATTATTCTTCCATTATTGCATCTTCAATTGCTCTTTGTAAATCATATCCATCTGATATCAATAAATATGCAACACCTTACCATCCTTATTTTATTGCTAATTTAAAATATGAGTAAGTTCCAACTGGAAATATTGTTGATTATAATAAATATATTTTATTAGATCTTTTTTATTCAAATTATTACTATCCATAGAAAGAACCTGATAATTATTTTCTAGGTGCTTTTCCTCCATATGACTTTCTAGCAGTCTATTTAGTTCTGGCTCCTCCATATAATCCATTATTAACCTCTTCTTATTCATCCTATTCCTCTGTTTCTGTCTAAAATTCATCATCCTCTAATTCTATTGCCTCACCTCTTTCAATTTTCTCCCTCCTCTTTTATTTTTCCTCCTATCTAATCTTCTTATAATCAACTATTGTTGCAAATCTATTTACATCTGCTTTGTTATCTATAAGCATTGTGCAAAAATTAGAATGACCACATAAAAATGCCAAACCCAATGGAGTATTACCATATTTATCTGGTACATCTATTGGTGCTTTCATTTTAATCATGTATCTTCCTGATATTACACTGCCTCTCATAGCAGCATAATGAAGAGGAGATCTCAAATGTATATCAACACAATCTACTTCACAATATTTATCAGCTAAAATAGATGAAACAGTTTCAAAAGGATCAATTTCTCTAAAATCATTATCCTAAGTCATCTTTGTAAATGCATAGAAGAGAGGAGTTCTTTTATAAATATCAAGAGCATTAGTTTTTGCTCCATTCTTAATTAAAATATGTTCCATTTCAAAACTGGCATCAGCTTAAGAATTTGATGAATTAATAGCATGATGTAAAGCAGTTCTTTTGGATTTATCAGGAAAGCCAGGATCAGCTTTGAATTTGGTTAACAGAATTCCTACTACTTTAACATTATTTTATTTAACCCAACTCTATAAAGGTACAACGTCATCTTGATTCAAATTATTAACACTGCCTCCATTTGAAATTAAAATATCTAAAATTTCATCAAAAACAATGCTATATCTACAAGCTATTACACTAGTGGGAGTATTTAATCGTTCATCTTTTACATTAACTTTAATTTTTTTAATTACATACTCTAAAAATGTTTAACTTTTTTCATTTTCTCTTCCGCAAACTTAATTTACACTACATGAGTTTGCAAAGAGGTGTATTGGATAAATATTTTATAAAGCTGCTTCAGTCAAGGATATAGCTTTAATATTATTAATTCCTTAAAGAAAAGAGACACTATGATAATTTTTGAAAATAAAATGAGCAATTGTATAGCCTCCTTCATCTATATAAGGGTGATCATCTTTTTCTTATTCACCTTCTTTTTTTTCTCTAAATTTTTTCCTCTTTATAATTGATGAAGTAGAATCAGCCCCTAAATTGATGAATATTTGATACAAATTAAGTACTGTATCCTATAAATTTAAAGACTCTTACTTTGCTTCATTTAGTAAGATATTAACTTAATCAATATTTAAAAAGACAATAATTGGTTTGCTTTTATAATAGAATGTTTTAGTATGATATTATTCTTTAGTTGTTACTAAATTTATTTGAGTATTTTAAAAAACATTAGTTTACCCTTATCCTATTTAATTTAATTGATTCTCTTGATCTTCTTCATTCTCTTCATCATCTTAATCTCCAGAGTGTTCTTCATCTTCATTATTATCATTTTCATTAATCTCTTCTTCTTCTTCTTCTTCTTCTTCTACTTCTTCATCATCACCATCTTCTTTATCTTCTTCATCCATTTCATTTTCTTCATCTTCTTCTTCTTATTCTTCATTTTCATCATCATTTTGATTTTAGTTCTTCTTTTCATTTTCATCATTATTTTTATATTTTTTTTCATTGTTAATTCTTTCTTCTTCTTCAAGTACTTCTTTTAGTTTTTCTTCAAATAATTTTTATTGTAATTATGAAACTTTTTTATTATAAATTTATGTATATTATGTTTCAGCTATACTTGTATATTCAGAGATGAGATAAAGTAATGGATTCCATCCATTCTCATCATATTGATTAATAAAAGTTGAATCAATAGTTTTAATTATATCTTTTAAGATAGTAAATCCTTTGTTATTTATAAATAATCTGCATTCAATTAATTTATGTAAAATATTTCTATCTCTTTTATCCTAATAATTAACAGTAGGAGTCGACAATTTCATTAATAATTCTGAAACTTTGAAATTTTAACTCATCAAAGATTATATAAATGGAGTTTATCCATTAGTATCTTAAACATTAACATCTGAACCTGCATTTATTAATAATTCAATCATTTCATGTACTAATTTTTCATAATTATTTTTGATATCCCTTCTCTCTGCTTTATTCAATTCATTCCATTTAGTATAATATTATTTAGCATCTTTTCTAGATAATAAGACAGCATAATGTAATGGTGTTTTTTCTTATAGATCTGCAATTTTGACATCAGCATTTTTTTCCAGAATTAAATATTTAATATATTCAAAAGTATCAACTGTAAATTTACTTAAACTTGATGAAATTAAAGTTCTACCTTCATCATCTTTACAATTAACATCTGTAGTAGGATAACTTAATAATTTCTTTACAACGCTTAAATGATTTTTCTATAAAGCTACAGATAATGGAGTTAATTTCCAAGAATTTGGTAAATTTTAATCAGCTCCAGCTTTCATAAGTTCCTCTATACATTCTGGAAAACCATAAGCAGCTGCATAATGAAGAGGAGTATTTTTAGAACTATCTGGTTAATCATAATCAGCACCATGATAAAGTAATAAAGATAGAATTTTAACATTACCATTACGAGCAGCTAAAACACAAGATGATCTTCCATATTTATCTTTAGCTAATATTTTAGCACCTTATTCAATTAAATACTTAGCAACTTCATAATGACCATAAGCACATGCTATATTTAATGGTGTCATTCTATTTTATCCTGTTAAATGAATTTTGGCTCCTTATTTTAAAAGCACCTTAACAGTTTCTAAATGTCCTCCTTAACAAGCAACATGAATAGCTGCATTACCATCTCTATTTTTTCCATCAATATTATTTTAAGCCAAAATCTATACATTATGAGTTCTACCAAATTATGCTGCCAAAATCAAAGGTGTATTCTTATTTCTATCACCTTCTCTTACATCTATGCTATTTTCTATTAAATATTATAAACAAGCTGAAGTTTATGATACTGCAGCATAATGTACAGGTTTTCTATGTATTTCATCTAAAATATTATATTCTTATGATATATCCAATAATTTTTAGAGACAAGAATGATTTGGATTGATAGCTGCACAATGAATCGGAGTAATTAAATAAATTCCACCAGATTTCTTAGTTGCAGAAGCTTTCTTTATATTTCCAATACGACTTGAATTAGTATAATTTAAAACATCTACATGAACTTAATTAAATCCATACATATGACCTTTATCCATTGCCATCTATACTAAATAACCAGCTGTTTTCCAATTACCACTTCTAACTGCCATTGCTATTAAACTATAATATTATTGTTCATTTCCCAATTAGGCCATCATTAAACTAAAGAATTCTGGATTGCTTTCGATTCTCATCAATTTATCCACTATTGATTCTTTCAAACTATCAACTTAATTTAAATCATAAACAAAAGCATTATTTCCTTCTCTACCTCCTCTACCTAATGCCACCTTTCTAGTTCTAGCACCATAAGCATATTAATCATTATATCCTGTATTAATTTCTTTTAATGAACATCTAGGAGTACTACCCATTTTCAATTTACCTATTGCTTTTATAAATTAAAGTAACATAGCTTTATCTTACCTTTAAAATATTAGTTCAATAGCTGTTATATTATTTTCAGGAGCCCAACCCTAAAAAATATTACTAATTTTTTAAGAATTAGTAAAAATATCATCTAATAATTTAATGTTTCCTGTTTTAGCAGCTCTAATCAATTCATTATTATTCATCATTATACTAGAATAATCACAAAATTTTGAAGAGGATCCTTCAAATTGTTCACTAATTTATCTTATTTCTCTATAATTTGGATTAAGTTTCCCTTTAACAAATTTTTTTGGTAAAGCAGGTTAAGATTTGGATTTCTTTCCACTTGCCTTACTTTTCTTTTTCTTTTATTCAACTGATTAAGATTAAATTTCATTAACTTCATAATCTTCATCCTCTTCATCATCTTCTTATTTTGTTTATTTTCTACCTCTCTTCACCTATTTCTTTTAAGGTGGCAATTCTTCTAGTTTTTCTTTTTTAGAATTTTACTTTTATCTTATTACTCTTTTCTATTTTTATTTTGAATCACTTTCTACTTCTTCAGAATTCTCATCACTATCTTCCTATTTTACTTATTTACCTCCTTTTTTATTATTCTTAGTCTACTTTTAAATTTACTTCTTAATAGTCGCTTATTTTTTTGGTGGTTCTTCTTCTGATGATTCCTGTTCAACACTATCTTCTGATTCAACTTTCTTCTTTACATTTTTTTTCACTTCCTATTTTTGAATTTATCCTCTTACTACCTATTTGGTTCCTTTCTTTATTGTATATTTTTATGGTGCTTCTTCTTCTTCTTCACTTTCACTTTCAGAACTCACCTATTTCTTTTACTACTTGTTATTGGTGGGAACTTACTTAGTACTCTTTGCAATCTCTTATAAAGTATCTTATGGGAATATAAATGAAGTCATTAATGATTTACTTCTTGGATTTGGCTTTATTTATTTTACTTCAACATCATTTACTATTTTACTAAAATTTATATTTATTTTTTACATTCTTTCTTTTACTGATAATAATGCTTCTTATGACTCTTTATAAACTAATTTACCATCCTTTTATTTCTCTTACTACTCTAATCTTACAACTCTTAATTATGATTTATGATCATTTGTTTTTAAATCTTCAACCACTTTGAAAAAGACTGCCTTTCCTTTCTCATTTTGACCAAGAATCTAATCTTTTTTAAATTAATATGCATAGATAGGTTCTACTTTTTATCCACGAGTTTTCATTTATGTTATTTATTAAATTAAATTAAAAACAAATCTGATTGATTTATGATTAGATGGGATATATTAAAATAAATAAATAAATAAATTAATCAATTCTCAATTAATTTTTTCTAAACTTATGCATTCTATCTAACTTCTTAACTCTTTAACATCCTCTTATACATTATCGAAACTAGGATGATGATTTTCATATTCAAAATTGATTGGACTATATTCATTCAATATTCTTCTTTAATGAAAAGGTGATATATCTTAAGAGTGTACTCCATCAAATTATTTTGAATCGAAAGAATCCAATCCTTATATCAAATTAATTGAAGGTTAAATTCTATTTGAAGGAGTGCAATTCTATACATTATTAAAAGAATCATTTTTTATATTCTCATTTTCCTCCTTTATTGATTATATTGTTTCAAGAGGCTAATAAATTTAAATTGGAGGAGGAATATGCGCCTATTCAGATTTAGATGAATCTACATCACTATTTTCATCATCTGATTTTTCTTCCAACATACTTACTCTCTTTATATGTGAATAAAATCTATTCTTCACTTAGTTTTCCTATTTAATTTAATCATTTTATTACTGGTCTTCTATCTAACATTTTTGCAATTTCACTCCATTTTGGTCCATATATTCTATATTACTCTAAAATTATTTAATCCTCTTGAACTGTGAATTTTGATCGATTAATCTCTGGGTCCAAATTGTTTAAAAATCTCTCTCTTATTTACTTACTAGAACGTCCTTCCATAAACCCTTCGATTACCTTCCAATTACGACCCTATTATAATACAAGTTCTATGACTCTTTTGTCCTCTTCATCTGTCCATTACTTACGTAATTTCGTCTAATATTCTATAACCTTTAAAACTACCTTATTAGGATTGATTCTCTTCCATCTCTATTAACATTAACTTAAATTTCTTCCAGGCATCTCATCAGAAATCTATTGCCAGTTTCCATTATATTTCCTATATAAATCAAGAAGCAATGTGTCCTCATTTGGTTTCCAAAATTTACCATACCTTCTTTCAGATGAACTAGAATCAGAGTCTTTACTCTTCTTTCTAATAGATTTATTTATAGATGGCTATCTTTATAAGAACCAAAATATATACTTTTAGTTTCCTTTCTAGCTACTCATATTTTTAATTAATTTAATCAATACTCAACAGTCATAGCTTTTGAATTAAATCTTTAAGAGTAAACAATAAATAAAAAAATGTCATCAAAAATTAAATCATATTAATTATCTAAACTCTGGAAGGGTTAACAATCTATTATGTTATTTCTAAGGTCTTTTGATTGGTTAAAGATACATCTAGACATTTGTTTTCAATTTCCTTGGAGATGGAAATAAAGTTGTAGTCATTGTTGCTGGTGTTCTAGGAGTTAATGCTTTTTAAAAATCACCAGGAAGAAATGGAATTGAACGATATTTATCAAAAATTTTTCGATGATTGGAAAATTTTCTCCTTTAATCAACTGCAATCTATTGTTGTTTAATTAAAAAGGAGTCAAAAAAAGTAGATTTGCTCTTTGTCTTATTAGTACAGTTAGATGAAGGAATATCTTCAAGATGCTCGAATGAATTAATTATAAAATCATTACGAGTATCTACACCTTCATCTATATGAATACTCTTTGTATTTAAATATTGTGGATATAACTTTTCATGTTACTTCTTTTATGTTCTTTAAAATTTATTTGCCAATGCTTCTTAGTCTTTTATTTATTAACTTATAAAAACACCATCTTTTTTTGAGTCTTTTTAGAATATAGTTTCCTTTCCACATTATGAACAATCACAACTCTTTCTTTATTACCTTTCCCTTATTTCTAAGTTCAATTAAGAGTGTTTGACATTAATTGCTAATGATTCTCTTTTTTATGGAGATTATTCTCTTATTTAAAGTTCCTCTACAGTTCCTTTTCGAAATGGACATTAATGTTTTGGTAAAGTTTCGAATCTATTTAAAAATCTTTAATTATGTGGCACACTTAAACTGTGTTTCATCCTTTACGTATGTACATTTCTTAATAACACATTCTTCATTTATGCTTATTTTTTTCTCTCTATTCTTTCTGTTAGAGGTTCAAAGTGAACTTATAAATAAGGTTTTCTTTATTTAATATTTTGCATAATTATATTTAATCACTTAAACAAATGACCACTCTAATGTAATTTATGTAGAGTCTTCAATAAATTCTCAACAAAATCAACTTATATTTCTTTTGAAATTGTACGAAATGCTGGAAAATGAACAAATAAACATGCTGAATTTGGACATTACTAACTTTTTAATAAAGAACAATAATATATGTAATTACATATGTATCTACCTGGATCTGAAGATTCTTCTACTGGAAATTTTTCTGATAAATATTCAACTAATAAATCTGTATTGATTTTTGTTTATCTGCAAAAATCTTTTTCACAATCCTTTTCAATGCATTCATTATGTGCAAGGTATCCTTTCATATCAGGTATCCCAAAATCTTTTAAGTTATAACCGCATTATTCTATATTAAATTCTTGAGATCCATCATAAACTCCAAAATGAATATTTAAAGTATGATTAGGCAAGTTTTTTAAATATTATTCACAAGCAACTGTAGAAACTTCTAATACCTCTGAATGAATTATGTTATATTTGTCCTTAAATTCTTTTGTAAACTCTGACACAATAACACTAGTTGGATTTGTTACTACATTACCAAATTTGCCAAAAGCACTTATTGTTATATGCAAATTTTTATTATCCATTTCAATATATTTTAATAATTAAATTTAATAATCTTTAAAATATTGAGGAAAATTATTTTATACAAAACAAAAATTTTTCATATTCTAAATGCACCATTGCTTAATATAAATATTAATAGAAATTATTTTTTTTAATTATCAATATATGAAATCTATAAAGATAAAAACCTATTAGTATTATTAAAAGAGCAAGATTAACGAAGACGCTTTATAATAAACATTACCTTATTGTGTAAAAATTGAAAGTTCATAAGAAGATGAAAGAAATGATATTCTGAAATTAGAATTCGATAGAGAAAATTGTATACCTTTAAATGAAGTGATCAAATATGCTGTAATATTTATTTAAATCTATTTTATAGGAAATTCTTTTACTAAGATTATAACATGGATAAATATTTACGATTATCAAACATTTATTATCTTTAATAGAAAATCCTATATATTCAAATTAAAATATTTTTATTTACAACATTTGGTTAATATTTGATTAAAAATAGACACAAAGATTTGTTCTAAATGAACGATGTGTAGCAGATTTTTCATTATTTTATTCATTCCCTTTAATAGAAAAAACTTAATAAAATTAAGAATAAATTATTAATATAATTACAACAATCTTAAAAGTATGTAATGATATTCCATCAAGCTATTTTTTTTTTGAATCAAAAAAACCTTTTAAATTATTCCTAAAAGAACTTAGTTTAGGATTTAATTAATTTAGATAACAATTTCATGAATATTATAATAATAATAAAAATATTGATTAAAAAACTTAAACAGATCTGAATTTAGATACAAAAGATGAATTTGTGGAAGATAAAGAGAATTAAAAGAAGATTGAAAAACTAATTTAAAAATACATTGAAAAAAGCAACTTTAATTCATCTTTAAAATCTATTTTAAATGAATTATTGAAATAATATAATTTTTAATTAGGATTAAAAGCTTTAAATATGTTTCAATCCAAGGAAAAAGATAAAAAATATGAATTATAACATTTAACAAAATTATTTAAATTTGAATCAGATGAAAAATTGAATTAATTAATAGAATAAACTTTTAAGAAACAAAATGAAAAATAAGACATACTAAAATAAGAAATCGAATATAAAGAAACTAATTTATTAAAATAAAATGATTTAAAGCCATTATATGAAGAAGCAGCTGTTATTTATTTTAAGCATAATGGATATTTTAATGCTTTTGATTAATTTATTGAAATTACAGAAAAAATCACCACTAACTAATTAATTTTTGAAGAAAAATTCTATTATATTATAGAACCATAAATTATTGAATATTATAACGATATTCTGTATCTTAAAATTTTAGAATTAATTGATGATTTAATATGAATTTATTAAAATATATAAAACTTCTTATATTTCTAAGATTTATGTTACCCGAAATGATAATAATTTAAATTTATATTAACGATTTAGATACTGCAAAAGATTTATCAAATTGTTCAATTACATATCTAATTATTCTTAGGCTTATACCTCAGAAACAAATTATAATTTGTTTAAAGAATCGCTAATTAGGGAAAAAGTTAAATAATTTCCTGATTTAAATTATATCTCATGAGCTTTGCTTCAAGCAAAACTCAATATAGTTTTATAAAAAATAAGTATTAAAATTTTAACAATTTTCTAGCTTTTCCAAAAAAAAGGTTTATTTAATAGCACAATTAAGCAAATAAAAATGATATCGAAGCGAAAAAAAGAATTCAAAAAATAGATTATTATTTTCATCAAACAACAAAAACATTTTTTTAATATATAACATATATAACATGAATAAAATGAAAGGATTTAATTTATAAATACTCATTGAAAACTTCTGATAATGTGCTCAAAGCTTAAAGATCTATAAGTGTAATTAAAAGAGTATATTAAAATAAAATTGAATAACATAAGGATGAAATATTTATCAACACACTTCAATTTCAAAATATTAAAATAAAAATTGTGTATTTTAGAACATAAGTAAACTTACTCCTCTAAACTTAATTTTATTAAATAATCTATTTAAAATAGGAATAACAAAACTAATAAGAAATGAATAAAAATAAAGTCAATAAACTAATTATTGAAGGGTTTGAAGAGATTATTAAGTATAGATGGAATCCTTTTAAGATTAATTGATTAATTAAATTCTTTATTAATATACTAGATAATATATTTCATTTTTTCTTTCCTTTTTTACCTCCTGCAGCTCCTTTATCGGCAGCCCCACCAGCTGGAGCAGCAGCGGCAGCAGCAGCAGCTTTGGCAGCTTGTTATTTTTTGATTGCTTCTAAGTTGGCTTTAATCTTAAAATATATTGTTTATGCTTACTGTAGCTTCATCCATTCTAAAGGTTTAATGACAAAGACCACAATAATGTCTGTCGTAGTGTTTAGCCATATAAACACCTTATGGACATTAAGGACATTATTTATGAGATCTTTAGACAACACCCTTATTATCAACATTGTATAATTTAAGGGTAGCCAACTTAACCTTTCGGTGTCTATGCTTCTTCTTTTTGGGCTTGGCAAAATTCTTCTTCTTTTTCTTCTTTTTCTTACCTCCTTCTGCATCAACTGTAACATAATAGATTCTTTCTCCTGCCAATATTGATGATGCATTCACTAATTCTCCAGATTAAACCAATTGAACTTCACATGCTAATTCAGAGTTCAAAACATTCATTAATTCTGCTGCAGTACACTAGTCTGCTAAATTGTATGTTTTCACCTCTCCATTAAGGTGACCCACCTAGATGATCATAATACTTTTTAAAAAAAAAGATTTAATTTATATCTCAAATTTTCATAACTATGCTATATATTAATTCAACTCATCTTCTAATTCTTTTGGATATTTATTTCCCATATATTTTATATTCACATAAATATTGCTCAACACAGTTGCTCTGTCTTTATTCTTCTTTAAGACTAATTCATATATTTTCTTTCTATCTTAATATTATTCTTTAAGCTCATGTTTTTATCGCTTTAACATTAATTTATAAATATTATTATTCAAAATCCAGCTCTCTAAATTTATCTAGTCTTCGTTCTCATATCTTTTAACCTTTATTCATGGTACTCAAAGTTTGTTTTAACTTCTTCTTTATTATCTGAATTAGGTTTAGTAATCACTTTCACTAATCTAGTAAGCATGTCAGTATCTCTTTACCTTTTAAAATAATTCAATTTATTACTCATTTTATTCGACCTTTTTAAGATCATGTTCTTGTTATTCAAGTAATCTTTGTTATTTTTAAATAAATACAATCTTTAAATCTTTGCCTCTTTTAATGTTTACATTCTAAAATCCAAAATATCCTATGAAAATACCCCAAATTTCTCCCATGCTTAAAATTTTAATATATATTTTATACTCTTTCCCATACTTTCATACCTCTTGAATGCCACTTATGCTCTTTCCTTCAATTAGCTTTTTATTTCTTCTCTTTAAGCAGCTGCTTTATGATAAGATTCAGTTCTCCTTGGTTTTTTTAATTTCTTATTTTATGCTTCTTCTCCTTTCAACCAAGTCTTATAGAGATATGATTTCGATATACGTTTAGCCTCACCATCAAACATTGCATTAGAAGGTGATTCTCGAGATTATTATAAACCAAATCTATATTTTAAATATTTATAATACTGTTTAAGAGTTTTATTTGATTTCGTTAATATTTTACTATCCATTTACTTTTTTGAATCTATTTCTGAAGACTACTCCATATTTTTATACATTGGTACTTGTTTTTCTATGAATCGAGATTTAAAACCCCTAATATTTAAAAATATATTTAACTCTCTAGGTTTATGCATAATTCTTGTTTAAGTTTATTTCAATTCATCTTCGTCCTCTCTTTAAATCAACTTAGCAAAGTCTTCTTAACTGAATATTGGTTATTTTGTAACATCAGTCTTCCTAAATTGTCCCCATAAATAAATTACTGGATTTTCTGTTTCATCATGGTATAATCCTAACCAAAGTTTGCTGCATGTCTATATTCAATTATGTACGCGACTGCACTTCTTTTTTTATTTATTTGCATTTCCTCTCTTATTATCGAATCAACAATCCAATATTTCCTAACATGTCTTTTTAATTATCTTGCTCCTCATGCTTCTTTTGTTAAGCAACCAACCCAGATTAATTTTTTTTTCCTACTTTTAAAGTTATGAGTATACTTTTCAATTACAGTTATTTTCTCATTTCCATCTCTTGTTTTATTATATCTCTTCCTTTCTTAGATCTGTAATTTTTGAATTCTCCTTTCAATTCTTCAAAACTCTCATTCAATAAATCGTCAGGATTAATATATTTTTCATAATCTGACTGTGGAATATTTTGATCAAATGCAAATGATTTATAGATCTTCATAAATTAATATTATAATAATTAATCAAAAGCATTAGAAACAATTTTACATAAGTGGAATTAATCTATAAATAACTATATTACTTATTTTTTAAGAATGTCCAAAAAAATAAAATATCTAGAAAGAACTTAAAGAGATTTAGTACATTCCAAATTTATTGTTGATCAACGATACACATAAACTCTTTAACCTTAAATATCTGATTGGTTTAAAAAGATGAAGCCACTTCTAGACTTCTCAAGAATATTTTAAGATTATAATAAACGCTACTTTACTCTAAATCTACTTTAAATAACGCTCTATTATTCCAATAAATAACAATACTCTCTTAATGATATCACCTATATTCCATTTGAAGTACTTTTACTATTCATTTTAGGAAATATAATCAGTTTCTGATAAACCACATTATGCTCTTTCAAATTTAGGAGTGGAATGGAAAGATGCCTTTGGTATTACAATTTATTTGACAGATAAATACATTGTTTTAGTGGCTTAATCAAATGAAATATATATGCTATGGCTTAACTATTTCGAAGCCATCAGGTTTAGATCAAATGGAAAAAGTATTTTATAAAGACAACGTACACCTTACTATTCCAATTTATTTGCTATAAATCTACCAGATTTAATAAATTCACAAATTCCTTCTTTACAATTTAAAATTAAAAAAGATCTATTCCATCCAGAAACCTAAGAACATGATTAACCCATTTATAAATCAAAGAATGATAATCAACATTTACAAACTCCTGATAATGAAGATATCATTAATTATTTAGAAATAGAACAAAAATTTTCTAATTCTTAACTTGCAGAATAAAATTTTTCAGAAAATTGTATTTATTCCTAAAATATCATTGAACCATAAAATAAAATAATTATAACAAAAAAGAACTCCTTTACTAATCATGAATAATAATAGAATACTAAATAAATCATTTAAAAAGAAATAGAATAAAAAGCAGTAAATTTAGATTTTTTAGAATAAGAAACTAGTCAAATTCTTGTGAAGAATGATGAAAATGAAGAAATAATTTAACTTACAAAAAATGATTATTTTTTTTCTAAAAAGGAAGAAGAAAAAATTAGTTACTTACCTTTACCCAAAAGATTAGATAAAATAAAAAAGTAATCTTATTTAAACGAAAACTAATAACAAATTAAAAATTTATAAAAAAAAAATATTACTAATATTTGGGATCTTAATGATAATGAAGGAAATTAAATTACAAATAAAAATAACTTAAAGATTGATTAAGTGTCTAATTAGAACTAAAGCTTATTTCTCAATATTAAAGATTTTAATAATTAAATATAAGATTACTAAACTGATTAACCTGAACTATTAGTTAAATTTAATGAATTAGATTCAGCCAGTTGGGTAGATTAAGAATGAAATTCATTTATATTAGACAATTGATTAAATTTATTTTATATCATTATATATTATTCTTTTTATCTATATAGATATATTTTTACGGTATGTGGATCATAATTCCTTGTTTAGGTTATCTAATTCCATTAAAAAAGACTTAACACTATTAGAAAAAGTTCTAAACTTCTGCAAACAACTTTATCCAATATTTCTAAAAATTACAAAAAAAACATGCTGGCAAGATTTCTGTTTTAAATTATTGTATAACTAGTTAAATCATATCTTATGAATAAATAAAATATAAAAAATCAAAGCTTTAAAATAAATAAATAAATATCATAATTAATAAATATCGTTTTTCTAATTTCTCGTAAGATATTTTAATGAAGAGAACAATTTTACGATTAAGTAGTACATTGATTTTTTTAAAATTAATATTTAAATTGATTTTAGCAAGAAGAAATATTTCATTTTAATATTCCAGAAAATTATATTTCAAGATGAACCGATTGATAGAAATAATTGTATTTTAGGGTTCTAAAATAAAAATATAATTAGTAAAAGTATACTAAAATTACTATTAAACTGTAAAATAAATAATAAATAAATCATAATTAGTCATCTAGGTGTTCTAAATATCTTAAATATAAAGTATCGTTATAATATTCAATAATTTATGGTTCTATAATATAATAGAATTTTTCTTCAAAAATTAATTAGTTATTGATGATTTTTTCTGTAATTTCAATAAATTAATCAAAAGCATTAAAATATCCATTATGCTTAAAATAAATAACAGCTGCTTCTTCATATAATTGCTTTAAATCATTATATTTTAATAAATTAGTTTCTTTATATTCGATTTCTTATTTTAGTATGTCTTATTTTTCATTTTGTTTCTTAAAAGTTTATTCTATTAATTAATTCAATTTTTCATCTGATTCAAATTTAAATAATTTTGTTAAATGTTATAATTCATATTTTTTATCTTTTTCCTTGGATTGAAACATATTTAAAGCTTTTAATCCTAATTAAAAATTATATTATTTCAATAATTCATTTAAAATAGATTTTAAAGATGAATTAAAGTTGGTTTTTTCAATGTATTTTAAAATTAGTTTTTCAATCTTCTTTTAATTCTCTTTATCTTCCACAAATTCATCTTTTGTATCTAAATTCAGATCTGTTTAAGTTTTTTAATCAATATTTTTATTATTATTATAATATTCATGAAATTGTTATCTAAATTAATTAAATCCTAAACTAAGTTCTTTTAGGAATAATTTAAAAGGTTTATTTGATCCAAAAAAAAAATAGCTTGATGGAATATCATTACATACTTTTAAGATTGTTGTAATTATATTAATAATTTATTCTTAATTTTATTAAGTTTTTTCTATTAAAGGGAATGAATAAAATAATGAAAAATCTGCTACACATCGTTCATTTAGAACAAATCTTTGTGTCTATTTTTAATCAAATATTAACCAAATGTTGTAAATAAAAATATTTTAATTTGAATATATAGGATTTTCTATTAAAGATAATAAATGTTTGATAATAGTAAATATTTATCCATGTTATAATCTTAGTAAAAGAATTTCCTATAAAATAGATTTAAATAAATATTACAGCATATTTGATCACTTCATTTAAAGGTATACAATTTTCTCTATCGAATTCTAATTTCAGAATATCATTTCTTTCATCTTCTTATGAACTTTCAATTTTTACACAATAAGGTAATGTTTATTTTAAAGCATCTTCGTTAATCTTGCTCTTTTAATAATACTAATAGGTTTTTATCTTTATAGATTTCATATATTGATAATTAAAAAAAATAATTTCTATTAATATTTATATTAAGAATAAAATTAATGACTTAAGTCTTAGCCAAACTTCCATCATAGATAAAAAATACAATATTAATAAAGTTGTCTAATAATGAGTCACATTTACAGTATGATATCCAATAGAATATTGATTGTAAAGATGCATTTGAATGGGATTTCGATGCATCTCGAATAAAAAAAACTGCTTTAGCTTAATTAGTTTCTGTTGACTTTAAACAAAGCACAATTACATTAAATTATGAAAAATAGTAATTACTTAATAAAGTAGAAAAAAAATAAGAGTTTGATTATTTATATATTCTATTCCAATTAATAGAAGCTTGTTACGAATTACATAAAATAAATTTATTAGGAAGATGTTTATCTACATCAAATATAGAAATTAATGAGAAATCATAAATAAAAATTTATAGATATGGATATAGTCATAATTTATTAAATACGGATGAAGTTATAATATTAGCTCCTGAAACAATATTTGAGGATAAAGTATAAATTAGTTGTGATATTTGGCTAATAGGAATGATAATCTATGAAGTAGTATTTAAAAAGTAGAAATCTTCGTTTATATATCCACATTAATATAGTCAATATAAAATTTTCATAAATAATTGTATGCAAACAAATACATTTGAAGATTTATATGATAATTTAGTAGACCCTAACATTTCAGCAATATTGTAATTACTTTTAATATTTGATGCTGAATCAAGAATATCATCTTATTCTGCAGTGATTCTTTTTTTGATGGAGTATTATATTAAAATCATATTTTAGATTATAACCAAAATATAAAGCAAAATTAGTTGAAATATTAAGATTTTATGAAAATAATTCACAATTTGCTAGCATTAATATTCAATCAAGAAGTGAAAAAAGAGACCCACCAAAAAAAAAATTACTTAAAAATTTATAATCAAAATCTTTGGATAATTTAGAAAAAAGTTAAGAGATGCTTTTGCATTCAAATAGAAGAATCTTTCTAGAAAAAAAAAAAGAAGAAGAAAATATAAAAATTAAAATTTTGAGATATTCTTATTAAAAGAGTGTAAGACTATTTAATAAAATTTATGAACTCTAAATACACCATAAGGAAAATCTTAAACCAGAAAATATTGAATTTTGCTAAAATATTCATTTTAAGCTTTATTAAATCTCATTTTTAATTAGCTTAAGAAGATAAATTTCTTCCTTGACTAATAAAACAGAATCTTTAAATTTGGATAGATATTTATATAATAAGACTGAGGAAATATTAAATTTATAAATTTAAAATATAAAATAACAAAGCAACATTTTGTTTAAATAAGAATTACAGCATATATTAAAAGAACTTGAAAAATTGAAAATAACCTATTAAGGCATAAAGAATATTTATAATAAGATTCTTGCAAGGTAACTTGAAGCCACATTAGAAAATCAAATAGAATAATTAGATCAGGATCTTCAAAAAAATGATCTTACAAAAAAATTTGCATCAGAAATAAATTTAAGAATTATAATAGCCTAAAATATTCAATTATATTTAAATGACAAACATTCAGTTAATTTATTTTTTTTTCCAATGAAATTTTATTTGGGATTAAGTGAAATTACTGAACCTGAAGATATTGAAAGATATCTGCAAAGATCACCAAACAGCTTAAAAGTTTACATTTTAAATCTTCTTAAAAATTACCAAAATGAAGATTAAAATAACTGATTATTTAGAAAATATCAAAAAGTTCAATTATAATTTATTCAATATATCATTATAATTACAATATTTTAGCTCTAAATAGTTTGATCTTTTTATAATAAAAATTACAATCAAGTTAAAAAAAAATTTCTGATTCATCTTATCAAACTTTGATTTAGATTAATCGAATTGGATGGATTTGTTATCCAAGTTTTAGATCTTATTATAGACTTTCATTTTGATAAAAAGTTTAAAGAGTGATATATTTTAATTAATTAGTCGAAATATTATAAAAAATAATCTCATTCAATAAATTTTTATTATTAGAGCACTTAAGAAATGTTATTTTTAATTCAAGAAGTTGAAGAATTAACTATAAAATTGATCGATAAGATAGTATCAATAATGATTTATAAAGAAATTCAAATTAATTTTTTAATTAAAAGCAATCTAATTTTGATCAAAGTTAGTTGTTTAAATATCTATAAAATAATTTCAAAAAAAATTTATTCAGATAACATATTGTGATATAGAAATAAGTTTTATTATTTTTAATAACTTTCTAATTCATTTGTGGCTGTAAATATGCTTATTTTTAGCGTTTTTATTTTCATATACATAGAAAAATAATCAAATCTCAATTAAAAACATATTTATTATAAATTATTTAGTTTATAATATTAAGAGTATTAATCAAAGAATTACAAAGATATTAACAAAAACACATGAACATAAGATAAAGAAATTATAATAATATTTAGACATTAGAAAATACAATATCTAAATGCAGGTCAACTAAAAGAATTGAATAGTTTAATATTAAGAAATTCCTTAGGAATAGAAAATCTTTAGAGAGAAAAAATTAGTTGATCTGCTTAATAACAAGATTAAGAAATACAATTAACATGAAATTGAAAAGTAAAACTAAAAAATTTAATTTGAATTTACTGCTAGGTCTAGAATTATTTCTTTTCTATGTTAATAATCTAAATTACTATTAGTCTAGAATTTAGGATAATAAATTGTAAATTCTAAATTCTAGTAAAGAAATCCATACATGAAATATTAGCCTATATGCTCTATATAATCTAAATAGAGAATAAATTTTTTTAGCAGAAAATAGTAGTATCTATAAATCATTTAAAAATAAAAGGAAGATTTTAAAATAATGGAAACAGAATAATGATCTTCAGAATGAAAGATAATAAAATTTAATAAATTAATAACATTTTTTAAAGATTAAATATCAAACAAACTTGACATAGCCTTCAAACGGATTGTTCAAAAAGATGGTTTATGCAATTTTTTTGATAACATAATAAAGCTTAATTTGATATATATTATATAAAATTTCAAACTTATTATTAAAAAATAGATAAGTTATATCTTAATTAAGATATGAATGAAAGATTTAACTGTTAGTGTTATTAAGGTCAAAACTCAAGAACTAGTCAAGTACAAAATTCAAAGTTACAAGTAAGGATTTATTTATTGATATCAAAATATTAATCTAACAATTTAAGGAAAAACGCACAGTTTTATTTGCTTTTATTCTAAAGTAAAATGTAAAAGATAAATTTCATTAATATGAGTTAATAATTTTAAGTAAAGGGTACAAAATCGACTTATATCATATTTGATAAGGTATTAGGAAAAGGAGCTTATGGTGTAGTATTATTGGCATAGGATATAAATTCTGTTAATCAGTTTGCTGCTAAAATTGTAAGAAAACAAATAAATAATTTAAGATAAGCAAGAAATCTCTCAGTCAAACAGACATAATAAACTTAAGAAATGAAATAAACATCTAATCAAAATTATAGCATCCAAACATTGTTTCGATGGTTGACGCTTTTGAAGATAAAAATTACTTATATATGTTACTTGAATATTGTAATGGAGGGTGTTTATTTACAAATATCTAATTAAGTGGGCCATTAAGAGAGGAAAAAGCTCAAAAATATTTTGTTCAAATTGTATAAGCTGTACAATATCTACATTAAAAGAATGTTCTTCATAGGGATATAAAAGTAACATATTTTTGTATTTTAGTTATCAAACCTACTATTAACTAAAGAAGACTAAATAAAATTAGCGGATTTTACATGGAGCACATCACTTTAAATGGGCTATGCCTCTCCTTAAATTTGTGGTACATTAGAATATATGCCACCAGAAGTTACCAAAAATGGGTTTTAAAATGAAAAATTAGATATTTGGAGTTTAGGAATAGTATTATATGTATTTTCTTGATTTTAAATCGTTTTAAGGAAATGCTCCATAATGATCTTCCGAAAAATGGAAAAATAATTATCAAACATGGTATAAGTGAAGAATGCAAATAATTGATTAAACAAATGTTGGAAGTAGAAACTTATAAAAGACCTTCGACATAAGAAGTATTATCCAGTTCATGGGTCAAAAAGTTTTCGAGAAATAACGGGCTTACAATTAACACTTGTAGAAGTCTTTCTGGATTCAAAGACAAATTAGGATCACCTTAAAAAACACCTTAAATGGGCTCTCCATTAGGTTCACCATTAAGGACTGCTTATGGTTCACCTTTTGGATCACCAGGAGCATCTCCTTTAAATACTCCTTTAGGGAAATGTGCATTTGGATAAAAAAATGTAGAAACAGAGCCAGTCTCAAAATAGAGGGTTAATACTCAAAAACTTTGCTGAGTTTTAACTTATATCTTTCTATAATCCAATCCTTAAACTTATTATTTTAATCGAGTATAAAACTCAATTTACAATATAAAATTTTAATTAAACAAGTTACATTACACAACTATGTGTTTACAATAGTCGTTTCTTATACATAATTAAAATGCTTCCTTTTAATTCTAAATCGTTCTTTAATAAGAAAATTTAAGTAAAATCTTATTCAAATTTATTGTTCTATTTCTAAATAATCTAACATAGAATTTCTATGGTCCAATTTAAAATCTTAGTATTTAAAGAGTATTAAATTTTTCTAAAAGAAACCTCTATGATAATGATGAATTGAACATAATGATTTAATTAAAATTCTTTGGTAAAACTATTTTAATAAATTATCATTTCCTAGGAATAATTAAAATGATACTTATTATTCCTTATTGTTTATACTAACAATTACTATTCTATTTAATTCGAAATATTATTAAATTTGATTATCATATAATTCGTAGCTTAGAATACTTTTAATCCTTAATTGAATCTAATTATTTAAAATAAACAATTTCTACTAATAGTTGAATGTGTTAATGAAATATTTATTAGAGTGAATCAAAGCATAAAAAGTAGAATGATTCATTTAAAAATAATACAATGATTAAAAAATTACCATAAGAAGTTATTAATAAAATAGCTGCTGGTGAAGTAGTTTAAAGACCATTTTCAGTTATAAAAGAAATGGTAGAAAATTCAATCGATGCTCATGCATAAAACATTACTATATATTTGAATAATGCAGGATTAGACTTAATTAGAATAATTGATAATGGAGATGGAATTATGAAGGAAGATTATGAATTATTATGTGAAAGATATGCAACAAGTAAGATTAGAGTTGCAGAAGATTTGTCTCAATTATTTTCTTTTGGTTTTAGAGGAGAGGCCTTAGCTTCAATATCTTTTGTCTCAGAAATGACTGTAATTTCTAAAAGAAGAGATTAATAAGTTGGATATAAAGGTACATTTAACAGTTAGAAATTGTTGAGTATGTGTCCTATAGGATGTTCTGATGGTACAGAAATTTAAATTGCATCATTATTTTATAACTTAGAAAAAAGGAGGGAAGCATTAAATAAATCAGAAGAGAAAAAATCTATATTATAGTTGATATAGAATTTAAGTCTTCATCATTCCTAAATTTAGTTTAAATTGTTTTATGAGAATAAATGTGAATTTTCATCTTTCAATAGACTTGAAACAATATCCACTATAATGAAAATTAATTAATCATGCATTTAAGAGAAATAATTTGATTCCGATGTGTATAAATATGAATCTCATATAATATTTACTAAACTTAGTTCAGTTAAGTGTAAGAGAGAATTTTGTTTATTTATAAATGACAGATTAGTTGAATGTGATACATTAAAAAAGAAAATAACCTTAGCTTATTAAGATTGCTATCTATGTCTAAGGGTTGAAGATGGAGGATATTATGTTTATTTGAGTATTAAATTATAACCGAAAGATATTGATCCAAATGTTCATCCAAATAAAAAAATTGTAAGGTTTTTAAATGAGGATGAGATAAGTACTGAAATCTCTGAAAAACTAAAATAAGAGTTATCCCCATAATAAACAGTTAAACTAGTGTAGACAATGTTAATTTAACCAAAATCTTAAGAGGAGTAGAAAAGGAATAGCTTTACATTTAGGTAATCAATTTAAAGCCAATAATAATATTAAAAAGAAAAAGTTAGAATTGATCCAAAAACTTAAACTTTAATATAATAATTCGCAAGAAAAACTTCAGCATAATTTACTTAAAATTATTAAGATTAAGTAATAAATACTTAATCATAAAAAATTTAAGAAGAAAGTAATATTCTAAATGATAAGAGTCAAAAATAAGAGAATCCTATTGAGAATTAAACTTTGAATGAATCAGTTAGCAAAAATCAAAGTAAAAAAAACCAAATATCTGATTAAGAACCATAAATAATAGAAGAAAAATTGTAAATTTAAAATTAATCAACAAAACAATTCAAGATATCTTTGAATGCTTAATTAGAATTATTTAACATTTTATAAAAGAAACATCATAAGGAAACATGTGAATTTTATAAAAATATTTCATTTGTTGGATTATTATAAGATTAATAATAACTACTAGTATAGAATGACACTTAACTTTGTCTAATAAATATGATACCAATGATATTCAATATGTTTATTGTATAAATAATGTAAGGAGAATAACCAGAGGGAGTTTTATTAATGGAAAGATAATAGGAATCTTCTATAAGAATAATTTGTTAAGATTAATAAGAAATTCTTTTCGAAGTTATAGAAAATGATGTTAGCTTAGCAATTTAGATAGCAGAATAATTGTCTTTACTATCTTACAACATTAAATTCATACGAGATTTTGTAATGCCTTTTTTTAAAAAATATAATGTTTCTGTAATAAAAAATGAAGTTCAAGTCATTGTACGATTGGAACATTTGTATAAGTATTTTGAAAGATGTTGAGTATTTGAATGAATTTTCATTTTAATTTAATTTTCTTTATTAAAGTATTAGTGGAAATTTTATTAAATTATCTTTGATAATCCATTAATTAGATATAATTTTGATAATAACAAATGTAAATGGGAAACAAAGTTTTTGTTTTTACTTAGCAAGATTTTTAAAAATGCTTTGCGGTTAACTTAAATCCTCCTTTAGGTTAAGGACATGATGCAAGAGTTTATTTAGCAATGCATAAAAAGACAGGAGAAATGTTTGCTTTGAAAGTCTTAACTAATTTGTCATAAGATCATATCATAAATCTCTAGGTTTTTTTACATTTTATTTAGCGAACGAAATATAAATACTTAAACGCATTGATAATCCTGGAACAGTTTTATTGAAGGGACATAGTGAAGATTATACTTGTGTTCTTTTGGAATATATGCCAAATGACACATTTTTAAAGATCTTAAAAAAGGGACCTTTTGCATTTCCATTAGCAAAGACTTTGGCTGGTTATCTAATAAAAGTCTTAGGAACTCTTCATAAAGCTGGTATAGCTCATTGTGACATAAAACCAGAGAATATTTTGATTGCTGCTGATTATAATTTAAAACTGTGTGATTTCGGATTTGCAAGATTGTCAAATTAAAATTTAAGACCTGCAGGAGGAACTCCAGGTTATACTGCACCTGAATTATACATTAATTAGACATTGAATTTTTTTAAATGTGATATATTTGCTTTAGGTGTTGTTTTGTTTATAATTGCTATGGGATTCCCTCCATTTTAAACAAATGATCCTAATTCAAGAGATGGTTGGTGGGGATTAATATTTAATAAATAATTTGATGTATTTTGGAGTAAATGTGAAAGCTTCCGATAGCAACAATTTCCTAAAGAATTTAAGAATTTGATAATGTCTATGTTAGAAAGTGATCCTAATAAAAGGATATCATTAGATTAGCTATTAGAACATGATTTCTTAAAAGATGGAGCTACTGAAGAAGAAGTCTTAATGGAAATTGAAAGGAGAGTGAAGGAATGAATACAGGAATGAATATTATTAGAAAAACATATTAAAAAATCATTCATTATTTAAAAGGATTTCTAATTTATTATTAATTGCATTCTAATTTTAGATTCAGTATTTATAATTAAAACATATACCTTTCAACTTTTTGAGGGAACTTTTAAATCTAAAGATTAAATAAAATAGTATTCTAAACAATGTTGGTATGATAAATTAAAAATTATAATATTTCAATGGATAAATGCATCACTTACTTTATAACTCAGGATTATTAATTTATTATTAATGTAAAGAGTTCATAAACCAATCACCATATCTTAACCTATACTTCAAAGAGTAGAGAACACTAGATCAGATTGTTCTGTGGATGAAGATCTTAGTTTTATTGAAACTCTTAGAGCAGAAGCTCAAAATCCAATGATTAAGAATTTCTTAGAAATGGATAGCCTTGTTGATAATACAAAAGACTTAGAAGAATTTCTTAATTCTCTTGATTGAAACCAATGATGACAAGGAAAATGCATTTTGGCATCAACCTTGTTTTCGACTGATTATAATTACATAAACTTTTAATCAAAATTCTTCAAAATCTTTCTCAAAGTCTTAAATCAACATTCTTTCAAAGTGATTCCCAATCTTTTAAGTCAATCTATTTAAATCTTAAATCATTAATCCAACCTCTACTTAGTAACAATATGAACTTTTTTTAATTTAGGCATTCTTCTAATATATGAATCCAAATCAAATAGGACATTTATTCTTTCAATCCTTTTGATACTGTGTATTGAACTATAAGAATTTGTGTTAGTTCTCGATTATTCACTATAAATGGATATATATTGAAAAATTTAGCATACGTTTTTTGACAATTTATTCCAATAATAAAGCCATAGAGATCAATTTTGAATTTTATCTTTTGAAGGATTTCTATTATTTTTACTAAAAGACCTATATGAACTTGTAATATTGTAGATTTTTAAGATTATTCTCCACGATTATATTTTTTATAATATTAAAAATTAACCTTCAATTTTTAGAGTAAATATAGTTTCAAATTAATTAAAATAATTCTCAAAGCTATCTTTTAAAAATTAAATAAAGATTTAAAATCAAATAATCAATGATCTAATCAATCTTAATAGTCATCATCAACCAATGATATATTGTTTTGAATTTCTTATTTAATAGTTATATCATCTTTTTCTTCATTTTTAATCAAACCAATTTTTTCTCCATCTTATTCAAGGCAAACCAACTTCTTAACAAATTTTGGTTTGTTCAATTATTGGATTTATTTGGGTTATGATTTGACTCCAACTTATTTGAGATGTTAAGTAACACTTTTCATAGTTTTATCACTAATTATAAATAGTTAATATTACTCATTATCATTAGCATCAGACACTCTCTTAACTTTAAACTATTCTTTATACTCTTTTTATTTTTCCCATTCTTCTTATAATTCAAGAGCATCTAAATCATAAAAGAGTTGTTTAAGTAACATATCAGGAGTGAATTAAGTTTATCTTTTATTAAGTTAATGAGTATCATCAATAGCATCTAGAATATCCATTTCTTTTTTCGAATCATGTGTTTTATTTTCTAAGAATTTCATAGAATCTCCTTACTCTTCATTGGCTCTCATTTACTTAAGAACTTCTTCAGCTGCTTTTGCATCTCTATATGGATCATAATTTCTAGTTCCTCCACCTTCAACTATATAATCATGATTTCTGGGATCAGTTTTAAAAGTTATTTCAGCATAGCAATAACTAATATAGAATTTAAATTGATTACGTGCATTTAAAGTAGAATCTATGAATTAGAATTCCTAAATAGTTTTCTGTCCATACAGTCTCTTTTCTCATATTGAATTTAGTTCCAATATAAAGATAATTACCACAATGATTACATTTAACAGTCATTGGAAGCATATTTCGAACATTATCCTATTTACCTTTTGGACGGTGATTATTTGGTAATAGCTTTGGATCAAAATCAGGTGGATAATATTTAACTAAAACTTTTCTTTCTGCCATTAAATAATAATATTAATGATAGAGATCAAAAAAATTAGTAAGACAACATAAGGTTATACTCCTATAAATTAACAAACTTAGAATAAAATAAATAATCCAGTTAAGGCAAATAATGAAGATGAGTAGAAAAACTTTTTAAAATTGCAGGCAATACTCGAATAAAAACCAAAAAATGATAAGAACTCAAAATCTAATACAAATAATAAGAGTTCATCTTAAGGTATTCCTGAATTGAAGATTAAAGATCATAATGGGTCTAAACAAAATAATAATGTGATAATAAAGAAAAATGATGAATAGAAAAAGTAAATAAAAGAGCTTGTAGTAAAGTAAAAGGATGATGATAAACGTCATTCATAATAAGAGATAAGCAAATATGAAAAAATAAAGAAGTAAATTAAGCCGAATCATTCTACTTCAATATAATAAATAACAAAATAGAAAGAAGAAAAAGACTCTTCTTATTAGCCTTTGAAAATACATAAGCCTATATTAAATAAGGAGAAAGTCATTTAAAAAGATGAAGATGAAATAAAAGAGAATTTGAATGACATAATAATTTAAAAGAAAAATCCTCAGAATAATATTGAAAAGTAAGAGATAATAAGGAAAGATTATAAATAGGAGGCTATTACAAAGGATCAACTGTAAGAAATTATAAAGAAGGATCAGAAGTAAGAAGTTATAAAGAAAGATCAGACAGATTAAGCAAAGAAAATTTAACCTTAAGTTAAAGGGTAAAATAATATTTAGCAAGTGAATAGGTTAGATATAGGAAATTAAAAGCTTATGGAATTATTAAATTAATCTAGTCATAATACGAAGAAGAATAAGAATAAGGAGAAATAGAAGTAAGAGGAATAAAGGTTGAAGGAATAGAAAAATTAGAGTAAATAGAAAAGTTCAACTTCTGTGAATAAGGATAAAATAAAAGAGTTATAAAATTAAAAATCGAAACCATTTTCAATTAAGCCTTAGATAAAGGATTTAAGTATTTAGAAGTAGAATAGGTAAAAGAATTAAGTAAATGATGATTATGATTTAAATGATTCTTTTATAAATGATTCTGAAAGTGTGGATATGGAGATAGATCCAAAAGAGGTAGTATCTGAATTGAAGAAATTGTAATAAAGGTATTTATTAAAGTTTATTAGTGCAGGAAGAAGGAGAGAAGAAGGTTAAATGATGAAGAGGATGAGATAGAGGATGATATAGAGGAAGCAGATTTTGATACAATGTTGAAAGAGGAAAAGAAGTCTAGGGTGTTAGGAATAATAGATGATTATAGAGAAGAGAAGTATATAAAGAAAGAGATAAAAAGAGAAAAGAAAGAGAAGAAAAAAATGATGGAAAAGAAAAATAAATAAGAGAATAAAATAAAAGAGGGGTAATGATGTAGATTGATATTTTAATGATATAAATAATAGATACTGATTTTTTTAGCATGATAAATATAATAAAAAATTGTTCATCATTTAGTTATTGCTTTGACAATATCCATAACAAATTCTGGTTTTCTACCTACAACTTTAGGAGATCCGAAGATGTCATCATCATCTCTTTCTTCAAATGACATGACATAGACATGAGTTTGGTTTCTAGTTTCATAAGAATAATAATTACTATTGATTGAAAATCATATTTCCTTTATGTCCTCCAATGATCCATAATTCATTTCCATTACCCATTGTATCTGCAGCACAATAACATCTTGGAATAGGGATAGTTCCATGTATTTTAGGTTTTGTCCTTAAAATGTTAGATAAGATAAAATACCAAAGCAAGGTTTCTGGATTGAAATGATAGAGATCTCCGAGAATGTCATTTGAATGTTCACCTCTTCCTCCATAGATAAATAAGTGACCACCTAAAGCACTTCCTAAATGTCCATGTCTTGGAGTGGGTGGTTCTCCTTTCATAATTGGTGTTAGATTAGCCCAACTAGCTTCTTTTGAGAAATCTAAAATCCATAAATCATTAAAATTTGGAGTATAATGTCCTTCAGGTAGAGATTATCCTCCAAAGATGTAAAGTTTATCTTTAATTTAAGTAGCTGAATGTGCAGATCTTGGAGGAGGTTTAAGAGCATGTTCATCAAGATCATAACTATTTATAATAATAATAAATACTGTGTCCACATCATTGTAGTTAAATCAAGACAATAAAGATCATTATATGTTTTTTAGACTTCAAGATCATGACTACAATAATATCCTCCAAAGTATATAAGTGATTGATAATTGGATAACAAAGTAAGAGAGGCTTTCTCTCTAGGCGAAGGTAATTATCCTTTCGGTTTGCTTTAAATCCAGGTTTTAGATGTAGTGTTATAGACATAATAATCATCAAAAATTAAATCAGAGTTGAGTCCTCCATAATAGATTATTTTATTGCCATATTTAATTGCACTAGATGTATATTATATTTTAAATACTTATGAAATGCTCTTGGATCTGGAATAGGTCCTTTAGTATCTTCTATAATTCTGAGTTCCTTAGTCCTCGGATTTAGTATATGAAGATCGTTTTTAAAGTTATGGCCTGTTCCTCTACCACCAAAGATATAAAATTCATTTCCAATTCCTGTCATAGTCAAACCGTGGATTCTTTCATATTTCTTTTGTATTTAATATTGTGTGAAATAAACATTATCATAATTTTATGGATGATAATGCTGTTATTTTCTATTCACGTGAAGTATGTTATTTTTAGATGTATAATTATTGTCTATGGTAGGTAAGGTTTCATCATAAACATATTATCCAGCAATAAGAAATTTGTATTAATATGAACCAGGAGCTAGATGTAAATATGCATAATTAATGTATTTTTTAGCAAAACCTAAGAATTTCCTATTTAATTTAATTGGTTGTTTCCATTCATCCCATGAACCCATAACAAACATTTCATTCCAGTCCAAATATGTGCGCACCTTTACTTTCATTAAGTCTTACTATATAAGTGATAAGCTTATGTTTACTTTATAGTTTTATCTAAATTAAACATCTTCGTCTGTATTTGGCTCTTGGTCATCAGAACTGTCTACTTATATCAACTTTCTTGGAACAACTTCCAACTATATTAATTATGTTATCATCTAAATACCCAATTATTATAAGTCCCAAAATTATTATAAACTACATCTGCATTTAGATCATGTTTCCAAACTCCATCAACGTTAAATTTATATTAATGCACCCCTGGAGGTAATGGTGGATTAATCTCTGCTTATAAGAAACTATTATATTATAATATAATTTACTAAGGAGGCTGTTTAGATTTCATCATTGGATAGCCTACTTAGAAATGACTCCATGAGCCATAAAGTGTGACAACATTACCTTCATATTTCCATTCAATCACTGTAGAGTTTACAGCACATTCCTAATCTTCGTGAAGATTACCACATTACTTACAATAATTTGATAGCATATTAAATTATTGCTAAGGTAATTAATTACACTCACTAATATATTCAGCGAATTGTATGTATTATTTAAATTATCTAATTTGTTATTTCATTCACTATTTTATTAAAATCAGGATTGTATAATACTCAATACAGAATCTATCATAATAATTCTATTGTATTGTTAAGCATTCAATTAATTTAATGAAATGAATATGTTTTTTATATAAAATAAATAATCATCATTATCAGAAATAATTAGAATGAATATAATAATTTGAATTGGGTATAATAGCGCGTATTTATTTATCCTAAAAAACAAAGCGAGGGTAGATTTGAAATTCAATAAATAAAATGGATAAGAAGTTTATAATAGTTTCTCTAGAAGGAAATGTTGGTGCTGGCAAATCTACTTTGTTTGAAATATTGAGAAAGGAATTCCCTAAAGCTATTTTCTTAATGGAACCTTTAGAATAATGGTAAAAAGTACATGGTAATCCTAATCTTAACATTCTTGAGAAGTATTACTCTGACATTCAACGTTGGGGATTCACTTTTTAAATTTATGCTTATCAATCTAGATTAATGGCATGGGATAGATAATTACGTGCTGTTTTAAAAGAATAAAAATTATAACAGATTGATAATAATTAGTTTTCTTCTCCATCTACAAATGCTGAAGATGAACCTATCTTAGTATTTACTGAGAGAAGTATTGAAAGTGCTAGAGAGTTATTTTTCAAATTATGTTATAATGATGGAACAATTAATGAACTTGAATATCATATTTATGAAGAGTTTTATGAATGGTTAATGGAGCATTATAAATAATATTTAGTTGATTGTGTTATTTATGTTAACACACCACCTGAAATGTGTTTAGAACGATTAAATAGAAGAGGAAGATAAGAGGAAGCTTGTGTACCACTTGATTATTTGAAAAAATTGCATTAAAGACATGAAGATTGGCTTTCTGAAAATACTAACAAATTCAAAATTATTAATATTGATGCCACCAAAAATTATGTTCAAGATTTAAATATTAGAGAAGCTGTTCGTAGATAATTAATTGATGAAATATCCACTTTGATTGATTGATTGATTGATAAAGTATACTAAGTATCAAACATTTTGTTATTTAAATTTATATAAAGAAAAATATTTCCCTAAAATTTGTCTCTAAAAGTAGTTAAATTTCTATCGTAAGATATATCTTGATGATGCATGTTACTTATTCGTTTAAATTAAAGTATATATACAGAATTTTATCAACATGCTTACAAATTGATTCTAAATAAATTTGGACAATTTCCTTACTAATAATTATATAAATCTCTATTAATCATATTGATGATAAAACCATTCATCCTCATAATAGTAATAATGATAATTAATTATTGGTTGATTAAATTAAGCATGTCCATAAAGAAGTTTTACATTTTAGTAAATTATTAGCTTCCATATTATTTTATATGGAATATATCCAATTTATTTACTAATGTATTTCTAAAAAGACCAAAATATATTATAATACTCAATTTTTTCCTTAAATAAATACTCAAAGATAGATATTCCTAAGATTTAGAACATTTTAAATTAATAAAATGCATTATAAATACTAATACATATTATTATAGTACATTCTAGATTGATTTTAATCAAGAATAATAGCGGATTAAAAAAATCCACTATTGATTACATAACTAATAATGAATTCTATAAATATTATCTCGAAAGTAATCTTATTTTAGATTCTAATTGCTTTTTCAAAGAAAAAAATGATCTAAATATAATCACTGAAGAAGATATTCTTTTTGTTGAAAAAAATTACACTTACTTTTTAATTCTAATCTTTATAATTAAAATATATTTAATGTGTTAAATTAGATATTTAAACATCAAAGTTTTATTCAAAAAAACTATAAGTTTGGGTTAATGATCAAAAACCAAAATTAAATAATCAAAATTCTAGGTAGATTAATGGATAAAGTATTGGATTGAGGAATATATTTGGAATTTCAAAACAAAAGGTAATTAAACAAAGATTTATATTAATACATTGCTAAAAGTAGATATTTTTCGAATAAATATACCCTTTTTAGAGAATTTATAGAAAATTTGATGTTAAAAAAAGATTTAATTAGACAGGAGGGTTAATTAGATAAGAGAACCATTATATAAGTATAAAGTAATATGAGTTTATATAAATAATTTATAATAATTGGTCTAACCGCTTCTGGAAACTTATAGGAAAATTTAAATAGAATTTAAAGATAATTGGAATAACTTAAATAATAATAATATATTATTTTAGTTTCATTTTGATAATTAAAAAATGAAAAGTAATATTAAAAATTATAGTTGAGAGGAAATTTAGGATCAAGCTAAAAATTACAATGATTATCATATTTCATGATTCATTGCATGTGGTAATATATATATACATATAAATTGCTTCATTATATGTTACAAGCTATGTATTCTTCTGTTTTTCGTGCTTTATTCTTCTAGAAATTATTTTAGCATTCTTGAAAGATTAATTCAGATTCTGTTTTATAATTTTTTAAACTAATATTTGAAACCTGAGTTTTTTTTTAAGTGTTTTTTGAATCAAAACTATAATTCTCGTTTTTAAATTAATGAACTTTAGCATATTTTTTTTAAGGAGAACTAAATTTTGATTAAGGTATGCTATTATTCATCACTAACAAAGAATCTTGTAATTACCATTTCTCTTTATTAGGAGTTTCAATATTATTTAAACTCTTGTCTTAACTAAATTTAGTTTAAGTTTTTATTTCATTTTAAGCTGACAACTAAGCATTATATCCAAAATCAGCTGAAATGTTACATGAAGGATCCTTATTTAGTTATTATGATTCAGCAAAAGAAAATGTTCTTTTTTTTGGTGCTTATTTTATTGTTGATTAAAGTTCTTCATGTTTTGGAGATTGTATATAAGAACTAAAGATATTTGAGTACTTATTTTCAGTTACACTTTAAAAATATTCAGGTGGTACAATATTATATATTGGATTCTAGCTAATGTAAATACTAAATTATAATACAATTGTGTATTATCATAAGACTCAGATGACTAAAGTGTATCAATTCTATGAATATCATTGAATAATGTGTTAGATTCTTTTAAATTGCAAACATATTCCTCAATTTTTAGCATTAATCAGTTAAAAAAAAACAATAATATTTAAATAGAATCACGAGAGTTTATATATTCTAATTATATATATAAATAAGTAACAATTATAAATGACATCTTTTCAAGCAGTATTGATTATTAGAATAGCAGACCATCAATTGCTTTTCTGTAAATCGTATAACAAAAATAATGTAATTTAAATTTAAAAAATATTTTTAGATTGATGAAGATTATCAAATTATTTTAGAAAATATATCATAAATAAATCCAACAGCAGAAGAAAGAGTAATTCTAAAAACTGTTAATGGAATGGAATATGGCATTATAAACTAGATTAGTTGATAATTAATCCTTATCATTTAAAGAAATTGAAAAAGAATTAAAAAAAATGCCTCAGTATTTTGATGCTTTACCAAATAATGTTTAAAAATATGTTAATATATGAATGATATAAATAAATGAAAAATATGATAATATTGCTGGAGTGGATAAAGTATTATATTTATTCTTAAAAATCTAAGATATGGAAAGCTTAATAAATAGTTATAGATGTTAAAATTTAGATCGAAGAAATCTTACTAAAAATAATAAATAATGGTTAACAGCTACATGTACAAATAACAAAATTACTTATAATTTAATGCTTAAAATTGAATTATTATTTTCTGTCAATATTAATCAAATTATTAGGATAATTTCACAATCTTATTTTTAAAATATAAAGAGTGTATTTATTATATTTAAAATTGAATTAATATATTTTTATTTTTTATGAGTTAGTCTATTTCATAATAAATTTGTTAGTTTTTAAAATCAGATCAGACATATCAACATATCAAACCATTTCTTGAAAAAATTAGTGAAAAAGATCGGTAATCCTTTTATTTATAATAGATAATATTATAAACCTATTTGTCAATCAATTTTAACTATTTTTGATTAAAAAGATCCTGTTTAATGTTTTTTGGCAGCTAGAATGGCAAAAGAAGCAGTTGAGAGAAAAAATAATGAATTTTTAACTATTTTTTAAGATGATTGCATAAAAAAATATGAGTAATTAGCTGAAATTATATAAAATCAAAAAGACTCACAAAACTCAAATTAATTTTTTTAGAATAATGAGAGAAGTCCTTTTGGAATAAGTTTTTTTCATTTAGTTTTAGAAAGTATTAAAAACTGGGCAATTTAATTTCCAAAAAAAGATGATGGAATTACTCCAACAAAATTCTATTAAGCTTTTCATTATCTAGAAGAGAAAGGAATATCATTTCCTTCAACTTTTTACTTCAAAACGAAAGAATAAAGTGCAGCATAAGCGAGTGCACCAAAATAAAACGAATAAAATATTATTTAAGATCTTTAGTAATAATTGAAAATTACGGAAGAATAACATGAAATGTAAATAAAAATATATCAATTGGAGAATCAATCTAAATTACAAAATCTAGAAGAACAAGTTAAATATTATAAAAATTTACATCTTTAATAATAAGAAGAAATCAAGTTCTAAAAATATAAAGAGGTTTCAAATAATAATATTTAAGATGAACTCTTGTAAGTCAAAAAGTAATTGAGATCGTTAGAAGAAAAAGAAAGAAACTATTTGTAAAGTTTAAACGATCTCAAATATTAATTCTAGTAGCTTAAATAAGAGAATTAATCTCTTAAAAGATATCAAGAAAGTCTTTTAGAGAAAATTAAAAATTAAGAAACTCTTTTAGACAAAGTTAAAAATTCAGAAAATACAAAATAGGTTAAAATTGAAAATTTTTCAAATTAAGTTCAAGAACTATAAAAAAATTACATGAATTTAGAAAATTAATTTAAAATCAAATAAAAAGAAAGCGAAGATTATTAGACGAAATATTTAGAATAAAAGTAAAAATTAAATTAATTGAATTTGTAATTGACAGCAAAAGAAAAATTAATCCCAGAAAAAAATGTATCTAAAGATAATTCCATTTAGCAATTCGAATAATAAATTTCTAATTATTAATAAAAAATTTAATAGTTAGAGGGAAAAATAATGTCATTAGAAGAAGAGAAAGTGAAATTATAAAAATAATAAAAAGAAGCTAAAAAAACTTAGAGCTCTGATAATTAAAAAATAAATATTTAAGTAGTAAAAAGGTAAAACTCCGTATAATTTTAAAATTTTTTCTCTTATGAACAATAATAAAATAATTAGTACTTTAATTCATATTATAATTTTGAGGAAGATTTAAAATAATTATAGTTTAAGCCTTAAATTTTAGAAGTTGAAAAAATTGATTCAGCACTTTATTATCCATATCCTTCAGCAGAGACATATTATATTAATCGTCCTATTAAATCAAATAAGGGTAAAATAATTTCAGATCAAATTTAAACTAATAGTTGGAAAAACTTGGAATCTTAAAAAAAAATGATCTTTTTACTTTATCACGTAAACAGAACCTAAATTATTTTTAAAGATTAACCTTTTATTAATGTAGCTATTTTAAAATCAGCTTAATATTTAGAAAATGGTATAAAAATTATTTTTGGTATTTACATTAAAAGTGAATTATAAGAAATAAATATATAAGGAAAGTTTCTTAATTTAAACAAAATGTCTAATTATTTCCATACTTCAATTCCAGAGTTAAATTTAACTTTACAAAGGCAAAACCAAAAAATAATTGAATATAGTATCAATAACAATTGTACTTAATTGACAGATACACCAATTTTGGAATTAAGTTATAAGTAAGAATTATAATATTCTTTAGTGGCAAAGCATAAAAAATATATCTTCCAATTCTGTTGTTTAGTTTTATAGAATTATGTTAAATAAAAAAAGAGTTTTATAAGAAAAATTGGAAGGAGTATTTCATTTTGAGATCAAATGCATTTCAGTATAATCCATAGGTTTTGCCTAGTTATAGAGGAATTCAATAAATCAGTAAAAGCTTTACCATGATAAATGAAAATAAACTTATTCCATATCTATAAGGAATTGATGAAATAAAATTTGTAGCATAATTTGTATTCTTAATTTCTCAACTTAAAGGAATGATTAAGTTCGAGTTAATTCCACAGAAAAAAATGATAATTTATGTGGGAGTAGATAAAAAATAACAAGGACAATCCTAAGTACTTCTGGAAAAAATTATTATGTGCTATTAATCAATATTTTAAATGGAATGAAAATATTAAATAATTAATATAATTAATTATTGATAATTTACAACAATTAATAGTTGATAAATACTTTATATTCTACTTTCTAAATGATTATTAAAATATTTTGAGATTAGAAAAGTGTCAATATTAATTTGTTTATTTCATAAGTTTATAGATTTTAAGATATGATAATGAATATCAGGTCACTAAGAGTTTTAAGTAGATTTTAAATTTGGGAAAACATACATTATTTTAGAATTGTAATTTATAAATTATGAATAATGATAATGATAATCCAGATTAATAGTAATTTGGATTATGGAATAGAACAGCAATGGAAAAGAGAACAACACCATTAGATTAAGTAAAAACGATGGCAAATGAGAAAATTCAAGAGATAATGAACAATGTATTTATTATACTATTGGAAGGAAGTTGTAATAAAAGTAGGAAAAGAATTAGAGAACCTAAAGTAAGAATTGAAGGAGGGTTATGACAAATTAGATTAGAAAGCATAAGGTGTGTTGCATGAATAAAAAGCAAAAATGAATTTATGGATCAAATAAAAAATAGAGTTAGCAATAATCCGAGTATTAGAAAAAACAAAGCCTATTTTATTAGATAGTATATTAGATCCTTATATGGTAAATTTATAGAGAAATATATATATAGTGTGATTTTTTGGCCAAGCTTATTGAAGATGTGTTTGAAGAGGTGTGGCCTGATATAAGAGAGGAAATTTTATTATAAATAAGAGTAAAATATGCAGATCCGTATGAATTAGTAGAATTTCCTAAACCAAAATTATGCTGTATTGAATACCCTTGGTTTTGGTTGAAAGTTTGGTATTTATATGTAAGTTAACCATTTGATAAATCAAAATTTGAATAATTCAATTGGTATTCATGGTGGTTGATATTCATAGTAGAATTGATACCATTTTATGGGGTATGAAATTATATTATAGAATTTAGATATAAGCATTTATATATGTTTTTGTGTTTTTATTTATTGATAAAGAGGATGAATATTAATTGATTAGATTTATATTAGGATTTAAAAGTATGCAATTTATATCTATAGGATGTAAGATATATATTAAATGTAGTGATAGGAACTATGGTTGGATACTTTACATTTTATTCTTGTGCAGTAGTTTCAAGTGTAGATGAAAGTTATTAAGATTGTAAAGAAGAAGGACCAGCAATATTTTTAAATTTTTGGTCTGATATTGCAGGATTTCTATTATAGTTATTTTTGGTTTGGTTATCAATTATCTTATTGAAATATTCTAAAATAAAAGGATAGATAAGATTTAAACATGTTGCAGATTAGTAAAGGATTAAAAAAATATCTTATTAAGCTTGTTGTTTATGTTGTACATTGAATGATAGAGGTGGAAGATTATATTTTTTTATGTTTTATGATTTAGTATGTTTTTTAGGATGTGTAGGATTATTTCTTGGTTTATCAGTATCTGATGGAGAGAAATAATTATGGCAATATAAATCAACTATGTATTTAGCTAAAACTATTTATGGTTTGTTAAGTTTTCCTTTTTTAATATTTCGTATTCCTGGACTAACCTGGTTATTAACTCATTCTCATGGTACAGGATATGATTCCAATGGAAATTGTGTTCCTTTGGTATCAAATCTACAATAATATCATCTAAGAAACAAATAATAGAAAAAACCATTTGATCCTAAATATATTATTTAAAAAGATGATTTTGATGTTATGGAAGGAGTAGAATTAATGGATGAATTGGTTAATTGAATAAATAATAAATACTTAATAAATTTTGTTTATTTTTTTTAATTCTTAAACATATTAAAGTAAATAGTATTCTAGAGATCTCTCCACTTTAATTCTCTTTCATATTATTTTTACTCATTTTCTGTAATTCTCAATCATTATTACCTAACAACTCTCTTATTTATACCATAACTTCTAAGCTCCTTTTAAATTCTTTCTCTTTCTACTATATATTTGTTATTATCTATATTATAGATATAGATATTTAATTTAATTTAAGGTAGAATATTTAATTCTCCATGAATTCCCATTGTTATTTATAAATAATTATAATTTAGAGTATCAATTATCATCTTCTTCATACATCTCATCATAAAGTCCATCATGTGAATTAACTCCTGGCATTAATCTAGATTATATTTCTTTTTCTCTATATTTTTTAGACTTTGATGCATTCTCAGGTCCTGTCATTCTGCTTAAAAATAATACATCACTTTTGTAGTAATTTCTATTTTCATCTCTTTTTCTGATTCTCTCGTTATCGTTTATTAATGAGAAACACTTGAATCTTAATGTTATATTGATGGTAGTCTCTATCTTATTTTTAATCTCATTTAATCCATCTATTAATTTTCTGATATTTCTTTCTCTGTAAATGGCTACCATGATTTATCCTTGTATTTTGTAGGTACTCTATAAATACTAACAAATTAATGCTCTTTCTTTGGTATCGATCGAGAGTATTAAGGAGAATTCAAAACACTTTATAATATAGGGTTCATTTTTATATAACTTAATACTAATATACATAAAAATCAAAGGTTGGACTTTTTCTTTTGAATATTTTTTTAAATCTTCTATGTTTATACTTTCTAATGAAATTATTTAGGTTTCTTATTAATCAACTGTTTTTTTATCTATTTAGCAATAGGAAGCACAGAAGGTTTTTAAACTTATATCTATTGTTAATTTTCTTCATTCTCTCTTTTCTATACAATACTAACACAAAAACAAGTTAATCTTTAATTTGTTCTTATGATATAAATTGGTTTTAATTTATTTTTTAGATCAATATCATCGTATTATTCATTGGCATATAATAAACAATCCCATATTTTTATATCTCCATCAGATGAAATAGATGCTAAATATGTTTAATCATTCAAATCAAATAATTATAATTGTTTGATCCTTTTCTGATGAGCAATAAATTTAACTATAATCTTACTTTAAACTTAATTTTCAACTGTCAATTTTATCATGTAAATAATTCCATTTGCATCTTCAATATATTTATTAAATACCTGAAAGAATTAATGACTCTTAATTTAAAATAGAATCTGTTATTTAGACAGTTAAATCAATTGTATGAGCAACCTTATTTGTATCGCAATCAACTATATAACATTTTCTATCTGATTGAAATAATAAATATTGGATTTCGTTTTCCTTTGAAATAAAATGTATCTTATCAATATCTATTGATATATAAAATAAATACTAAAATGAAATTTCTTCAAAGCTATTCTTTTTAAATTCATCAAATTATAGAGATGTAATTTTTAATCCTTTGTTGCACATGCCATAATCTTCCCTGATTCATGTATTGCAATACATATTACAGGATTTCCACATTAAAATGTATTCAAAATAGCCCATTATTTATTTCTCCATAAATTCACTTTTCCATCCTCAGCTGAAGTGAATAGAAAATTAGAATGACCAGCTATCTATGATATTGTTCCATTATGTTATTCTAATAAAGTGAGTTCAACTCTTCTCCTTACATCATACACCTTTACCAACTCTTCAGAACCTCCAATAAATAAATATCTTCCATTCTAATAAATTGCTTTTATTAAGGACTCAAATCATAAATTAATTGTACTGTTGATGCTGGAAATGAATATAAAGTATTATTAGATGAGAATTAATCATTTAAAGAAAAACCTAACAATTTGCCATCATATGTCCCCACATTAATATTAATTTCCATTTTAATTTAATTTATTAATAAATAGAACAATCATAAATATTTCATTATTAATCCTCAATATCACATCTCTTTAATTAATAACTCTTCTCAATATAAGTAAATCAATTTATTTCTATTCTTCCCCAATTTCTCAATTATCTCTCTGATTACTATTTTAAGGGTATACAATACTATTCTATCAATCATAATCCAATAATAATAAAACAATTTATTATTTATTGACAATTATACGTATGTTAGATATCTCTAATAATAATTATTGAAAGCCATGTAAAAATTAATGACCACTAATAATCTTAGATTTTTATTCTGCTTTTATAAATCGATCTTCAGAGAGAAGCTATTCTTTGGGCAAATCAATTGATCAAATCATAAAACATTTTGATTTAAATGTAAAAAATTTTCATAAAAATTTTTTTATTTTCCTTCTATACTTATAAATATTTTGTATATATATAACGAACACATTCAAATTAATAAAATAAATTTAAATAATTAGTATCGATGGACACTAGATAATCAGAACACTCTAGAGGCAAGTCATAGACTTAAATCAAAGTACGTAACCCATTCGAACTACTTATAAGTAATAGAACTTTCAATATATAGAAATAATCAGATTACCAAATGTTTGCAATAAATGTGGACATATTACTAGAATGAAAGAAATATCAGATATTCTCGAATAATTTGACACAATGACATCTTAATAAATTGATACTATTAATGAAAAACTAATTCAAAAATCGAACTAAATTTTAGCTGCTAGACAACAATTAGTCAAAGACACAAAAAATGAACTCTAATAATCATTGCAATAACTTATTTAAGTAAGATAGAGTATGGGCTCATCTTTTAATTTTGAAGACAAAGAAAAGTGTTTAGAGCGTGTTTGTGAAGTAATAATCAATTAAAATGGTTTTTTTAGGACATTTTTTGTAATGTCCAAGAATAGATTGAAATTTAAAATTCTCTCTCTGAACTCAATACTATTATTTAAGAATAATATTAAAAATTTCATCAGTTTCCAAATGAAATTACTGAGATGAATAAATTAGAATATCATGATAATCTTGAAATTAGAGAGAGATTAGATGGAGCTTTGAGAATAAATTAAAGTCATAAAGATATTTTAAAGGAGATTTTGATTAAAATTGGAGAAGAAAACAAGAGTTACACTTTTGATATCTAATTACAATTTCGATAGTAACAATTAGAAATGTTGAATCTCTTATAATGCAATTAAGAATAAATTAAGGAAATTGAGAGACTTGAAGATGATTTAAATGATAAGAAATTAGAATTATAGAAATATGCAATTTTGTTTAGTTAATTTGAAAAGTAATATTTTAAATTAATAATTAAGTCCTTTTAAATCAAATAAAATAAGCTCTGAAGAAAGCAGTGCTAGTAATTTTTAATCCATTTAGAAGGAAATCATTTAATAACCATCAATTCAATAAAGTCGTAATGTATTTTAAGATATTAAAAATATTTAATCAAAAAGATTTTCTTAACCTTCTGTAAATGAAAATAATAATAATATATGCACTTTTCAATCTGAATAATTCTATTCTATAGATTAATCTCATGGAAATATAAATTAAGAATCATCATAAAAGTCATCATAAAATAATAGTAAGTAAATTGAGAACTCAGTGGTAATAAATTAGAGATATGGTAACAGTATATCTAATAAATTTAATAATTCAAAAGCAACTAGTCTAATTTCTTAAATCAATTCTTAATAAAATAATATCCCAATTTCAATAGTTGCTAATTCAACTAAAAAAATTAGAAACTCTGTTGACACTAATCCTATGATGTCTTAAGAAAGTTTTGAAAATGATAATTAAAATGATGAAAACTCCCCAAAAATAACTCCAACAAGTAAAACATTACTCTCCAAAGTTCCACCCCTTCCTATAGGCAGATAATTAGAGCTTGATTGAATTTATTCTTATATTTTATATTTTGAGATCGGATTTTTTAGTGATTGGGAATGATTATTCTAATAGAGATATAAAGATCACTTTTCTTAACAATAAAAATTAATATTTTAATAATTATAATTCTATCAATGTTAAATTTGAAAAAAAAATATCGTGTTAAAGAAACTAATGCTTTAGATGATTTTTGCAAAAATCCAGTTGATGCAATTAGAATTTCAGATAATTTAGAAGTTAGTTTAATCAAAATACCTAAAATAACAGACTCCTATCATTTGTTAATTTTGGAATAATTTTAAAATTAGAATCATCATAATTTAGTCAATGTCTTGGAAATTTTTGATGAAAAAAATTTAGCTGTTATTGTTATGGAAAAATGTAATAATAACTTATTGCATTATTTTAAAAATAATAATTATAAATTCACAACTGAACAAATATTTTCATTTATTAAATAGATTACAAAAGGTTATTAATAGTTCATAGAAAAAGGGGTTCTTCATAGAAATTTAAAACCAGAAAATATATATTATTAAAAAATAAATAAAGACATTATATTTAAAGTAAAATTTTATTATTAAAAAAAGATAGCTGGATATGAACATGCTAAACTATTAGACGATAGAGATGAACCTATAGATGAAAATACTAAAATTTATGAGAAGACGTACTATTCAGCTCCTGAATCAAGCACTACTAACTATAGTTATAGTGCAGATATATTTTCAGTAACAAAAACATAATTAATAATTTTTAGTTTGGATTAATAATACTTCAGATGGCAACAAACTAACAACTTTAAAATTTAGAAGAATTAAAAAAAAAAAGTTTAAAGAATCTCTGCTAATTAGATAATATAGATAATGAATTAAAGTAATTATTATGTAAAATGATTGTTTACCAAGATAAAGATAGATTAACCTGGTCAGATTTAATAAAACAGTTATTTTATAGAATAGAAAAAAAAGATAAATCATATGAAATAGCAACTTGTTTAGAAAATGGATAACTCTGCTATGTCAAAATAGTTAAAAAATAAATTGTTGATCGTTAGTATTTATTAGATAACGCAAAAACAGAATTGGATAATAATCGATTGTTAAAAGATATAGATCATTCAAATATCATAAAAATATATGATATTTTGCATGAACCTAAAAATTCTTGTATTTATATTATAATGGAAAAATGTAAAGGAAGTTTAAGTGATCTTTTATAAGATGAATCATTTTCATTTGAACAAGTTTTGGATTTTATTAATTAAATTAATAATGGCTATTAATATTTAGAAAAAAAGAAACTTATTCATAGAGATTTGAAACCTGACAATATTTTATATCAATAGATAAATAATAAAATCTAATATAAAGTAAATTTATTGTTTAAAAATAGATTGCTGATTTTGGAATAAGTCGCCAAACCGATTCTGCTAGTTCAAAATGTGGAACAGTTTTATATTCTGCACCAGAAATAGATGGAAACCGTGTTTATACAAATTCATGCGATATATACTCAGTTATTTTTTAAATATTATTTTAGTTAGGTCTTATTATCTATCACATTGTAACAAAAGATTATCCTTTTAATCCAAAAAATCTAGAAACAAAGAAATAATTTGAAAAGCAACTAAAGGAAAAATAATCAATTGATTAAATCTGTCCAAAAAATCATATACTTGATGAAAGAATTAAAATAATACTGAATAAAATGATTGTTTATGAGCCTGATAAGAGAATTTGTTGGGGGTAATAAATAACAGATTTGATTTAAAATATTTAATCGACCGTCTAGTCTTAATAGAAACAATTGCAAAAATAGGTATTTTTATTTTAATAGACATATTAGATTTCAATGCCATAATTGCCTCAGTAGACTTAATAATTTAAACAGGTATAATACATGTAATTGCCTTAATAACAATAATAAATTTAATAGTTTGAATAGGCATAATAGATTTAATAGATTTAATAGATTTAATAGATTTAATAATAAAAATAGCAATAATACATTCAATAATTGTCATAACCATAATAGACTTTAAAGCCCTAACACATTTTTACCCATTAATAAAATTAATTTTAAAACTGGGGTTAAAACACTTTTTACTAACCTCAATAGTCAAATTAAAATATAAAAATTTAAACTTACTAAACAATACCTAATACATCAAAACAGGAAATTTAATCACAAAATCCAACAGTGTAAAATTATAATTACAATTTTCCTCAACCATAAAACTAAATATTTTAAGAATTTAATAAAGTTAATTTTTAAACTCAATTTAATTAAGCATATTAAAATAATTAGTTTTAATAGGGAAACTATTAATAAAAAATTTAAAGCAATAAATAATAAGGAGCATAATCTTTTATATATAAAAATTGAAATATGATTATTATAATTTTTAAATAAATCTATAACAGAGATATTTTTATAAATTTCTATCAAGGTTACTATTAAAAGAATTACAGTAATTGTATTTGCACTTCAATAAAAGTTTGAATAATTGAACTTTTGCGCTTGAAAAAAATGAAGAAATTCATATTTTGTTTCATATTCTTATTGGAGAGAATTTTTTAATTATTTTTGAATAAACTATAAAAAAATATAATTATTAATAAAATGTCTGATAACTAACTAACTGACTTGTTACTATATTATGCATACATGGAATAAGAAATTGAAGTTCTAAGGGAAGTTTTATGCTCTGAGCCTTATTTTCAACCTTATAACTTATTCAAATTTATTGATTGTTTGAAAGATGAACCAAAAGTATATATAATAAATAAGTTAGGGATTTTTGACAGCTGAAGATTTATCTTTTTATTTAAATGAAAGAAAGTTTCCATAGAATTTACCAACTAAAGTTTATATCGAGAATTACAATTAGAACAAAGATTAAAAATTAGTATACTCAGAGTAATTGAATAGTAAATTATAAGATTTCTGAGAGCGATCTTGCCTATATCTAATATTGATATAAGAGAAAAGATTACTTAGTAAACACCTTCTGATTAAATGATAATAAGTGAAAGAACTTAATATTTATTCGGAAAATTACTGGAAGCGTATATTATACCAATAATTGTAGGGAAATAAAACTGACTCTCTAAGCTGAAAATTATAAATCTCAGATTGACCCAAATTATTTTGATAAGATTTGTTATTAGAATTTTATTTATCATCAAGATCTGTCAAGTTACTTCAAACAAAAACATATAACTACTAATTCTCTTGAAATTTAATAAATTTTTAATAGAATTGATTTATTAAATGATGGAAAAATAGATAGAAATGAATGGAATCTATGGGTAAATGCAAGGAGGTCAGTTTTTTAAATTAATTCAAATTCATATAAATAATCATAGAAATTCAATAATACTAGATATAGTTCAACGAAAAGAAAATAATAGGATACAACAATGAGTGATTTGCTTGCTTTATCTAAATAAGGTTTTTATCAGTCTACTAAACCTCCTTTATCTAACATTTCTTATAATACACCAAAAAAATATCATAAATAGAAGACTGAACTAAGAGCTTAAATGCATTATTCATTATTATAAAATAGCAATCAATCTTCGAAACAAGAATTAACTTATAAAACAGCTTCTCATAAACCAATTACATGTTTTTACGAAGATGAAATTTAAACCTTAAAAAAATCATAGTCGATGGCAAAATATGAATCATTAGAACCAGTTAATTACTATGTTTAGCTATTTTTGAATTTGATTTAGTTGATCAAAAAGATTGAGCGTTAAAAAATTTTATTGAGCAATCATGATGATTTTTCACTATACACATCATTTCAAAAATTAGATAAAGGTTTCAAAGGAATTCTAATAAAGAGTGATTTAATATAATTTTGCAAAAACCCATAATTGATATTAGATCGATATGGAAAGGATAATAAAATGAGATTTTCAGAATATATAAAATTGATTGAACCAAAAGATCCTTAAGCAATAGAAATACTTTTAAAAAAAGATTAAAAACATAAGGGATAAATGTTAACATAAACAGAAATATCTCTAAAATTACTTTTTGAATTGATTGAGCAATTTTAATAGAAAATAAATGAAGTAAATGATTACTAAAAAAGACAGTCATTTGATATAAGTGAAATATTTTATATGCTGGCTTATGATAGGCAATAAATAACTAATTAGGATGTAAGATTATTTCCTTATGTAGATTACTGATTTCTTATAAGCGAATTAATTCTAAACTGTTCCAAAAGATATTGATTTACTATTGGCTGAATTAGATTTTGATGGAGATGGGTAGATAACTTATAGAGACTTTATTAAAATTTTTGGAAAATGATTATAGTATTATAATTATTAATATTAAAATGATGGAAGACTTGTTACAAAGTAGAATCCGAAGTCGTAATACTTATTCTCTTCATACAAAATATTAATCACTCTGTCATTAATAAGGAGGTTAGAATAGATTACAAATACTATCTCATAGCTTATAAAAATAATAATAAAGTCAAAAATTAAATCAATTAACTTTACAACGAACTGAGTCTCGTTTCTAGATTATTTAACCAAAGCATATTGGGGTAATCTCCAACTCAATTAAATCAATCAACACTGGTTGTTCCCCATAAAAGATTTTTGAATCACCATTAAAAGGAAGGCTTAAATAGAGTCGCATCCTCAAAACTTCACTTCATAATTCTCGTATTAGTCCTGAAAACAGAATAATTTTTAAATAGTGTTTGAATAAAATTGATAAATCTATTCAATATGTCCAGGATAGATATAATCAATTAAATGGAATTAATTCAAATAGTTATTAAAAGATGTGTGATATGATTAATAAAACTGAATATTTGAGCACAGAATCAAATTAAAACATTGAGCTTCCAATTATCTAATTAATTAAGCCAGAATCTATTGAAAACAACGATTATAATACTAATCTTGTGTAAAAATTGGCAACCTAAAATATATTATGGAGTGAATCCAAAAAAAAATAAAGATCGAAACTTGAATAAAGTGTGTATTATAAGACAAACAAATGGTAAAAAGCAAAATTCTTAATATTATAAAACTTTTCATCTCGCCATAATAATACTCTGTATTCTAAAAAATATTTGATTACTTAATTAAAAATTCCATATTTAAGACACAATTCAAAATAAATGTTTATGGCTTTAAAATAGAAAAATTATCAATAATTATTAAAGCATTTGTCTTATAATAAATCATTTATTCATGAAGTTGATAATTCTTTGATGACTCCTTTGCATATATCTTGTTAACAAGGTCTATATGATATTACAAAAATGCTTCTTAGGTTTAAGTCTGATGTGAATGCTTTAGACAAGAATAAAAAAACTCCACTTTACTATGCACTATTTAATGGTCATACAGAAGTAGTAAAAGTAATATTTATTGTTAATGCAAAAGATGCTCCTTATTCATGATGCATTTCCTTATTCAGATTCTAATTGCAATTATACTCAATTCTTTCCTAATAAAACAATGAAATAATTATTTAGAGTTGCTAAAAGAGTAATAATAGTTATTATTAAATTTAGATATTTACACTCATGCTAATTTGCCCAAAGAACAAGAGAAATATAATGAAAGAATATTTAGAAATTAATTTTTTGAATGAATATTCTCTCCCTAAGAACTTACTTGCTTGAATCATATTTTTTAGAATATCTATATTAACTAATTATTCAATTTAAAATAAGCTTACTTTTAAATCAATACCAAATTAAAAGATCTTAAGCAATCCTTTAGATTAACAAGTGAGATCTTTAAGTTTCTCTAAAATAGATGACCCTTTTAAAAACGGAGTGGTTAAGTTCGCCATAAATTAGCTTCTATCTAGATCAACTATAAATTTAAATTCTATTAAATTATATACTAATCATTCACTGCATAATTATGTTTTAAATAGACTTAACGAGGAAGTTAATATAATTAAGTCTTATTTTTAAGAAATTAAAAATTTTAACCGATATATTAATTAATTTATCTACCATTTTATCAATAAATGATTATGACAATCTAATGTTCCCTTAAAAGATCTCCTTATTTATTCATTTAATTCCTTTTTAAATTTTAAGTAAAAGTAGTTTATTTAGCCAGTTGGATTAAATTAAATAGAATTGATCATAAATTTGTTCATAAAATTGTCTAAACTAGAATCCATTTTAAATCTTTTAATTTATATTCTAAATAATTTACTTTTGATTTTATTTTTACTCTTCAATTATTTTTTAGAAATCGAGTTTGCGTATAATTTGAATAGTTGTGATAAAAATAAATATAAAGGCTTAAACATGATAATAAGCGAACAGAAAAAGAAAAATTATTAATTAACAAAGGTTAAATTTAAATTATGAGAAATATTATATAAATAATTTCATTAAGTTATATTCATTTCAATTATATTATTATCTTCTTCGTAAAAATATTTTTTGTTCATTTCATAAAATATTTAAAATATGGCAGCAGGGATTGTTGTAAATGAAACTAATTTGAAAATACTCAAATAAAAAATCTAACAATTTATTTAATAAATTTAACTGAAAAAAATGTTGTAGCATTATAATAGTTCCTACATTCTTTTGAATTTTAACAATTTATGTAAGTAAATAGATCAAAAGAAAATTAAACTCCAAATTAAATTAATCCACAGTCTATAAATATTGTCTTATTATACAATGCATTAAAGTTATTTATTTAATTCTCATTAATACTTACTCATATTTTTGATTATTTGATTATACTTAAATAAATCCAGATCTTGAAACTTCCTAAAAATAAAAGAAATAAATAAAACCAAAGAATTTTTACGAGCTTACATGTTTGAAAGTGCAAATATTCCTAAATAAAATGATCCGCCAGCAAAAATCAATCCTATACTTGAAAGGATTAAGTAATCAGCTTAAACACAATTATAACTAAGAAAATTATATAGTCAATTACTCTATTAGACTTCTATGAGCAATACCAAACCAATACCATAAAATAAATAGACATCCAAGCAATGCTCTAGCCAATTGCCATATTCTTGGTGTTTGTATTTCATCCACTACAATAGAACCCAATATATTGCAAAACGTAATTTAAATTGCTATTCCTAAACATCTTATTGTTGATAANATACCAAATTAAAAGATCTTAAGCAATCCTTTAGATTAACAAGTGAGATCTTTAAGTTTCTCTAAAATAGATGACCCTTTTAAAAACGGAGTGGTTAAGTTCGCCATAAATTAGCTTCTATCTAGATCAACTATAAATTTAAATTCTATTAAATTATATACTAATCATTCACTGCATAATTATGTTTTAAATAGACTTAACGAGGAAGTTAATATAATTAAGTCTTATTTTTAAGAAATTAAAAATTTTAACCGATATATTAATTAATTTATCTACCATTTTATCAATAAATGATTATGACAATCTAATGTTCCCTTAAAAGATCTCCTTATTTATTCATTTAATTCCTTTTTAAATTTTAAGTAAAAGTAGTTTATTTAGCCAGTTGGATTAAATTAAATAGAATTGATCATAAATTTGTTCATAAAATTGTCTAAACTAGAATCCATTTTAAATCTTTTAATTTATATTCTAAATAATTTACTTTTGATTTTATTTTTACTCTTCAATTATTTTTTAGAAATCGAGTTTGCGTATAATTTGAATAGTTGTGATAAAAATAAATATAAAGGCTTAAACATGATAATAAGCGAACAGAAAAAGAAAAATTATTAATTAACAAAGGTTAAATTTAAATTATGAGAAATATTATATAAATAATTTCATTAAGTTATATTCATTTCAATTATATTATTATCTTCTTCGTAAAAATATTTTTTGTTCATTTCATAAAATATTTAAAATATGGCAGCAGGGATTGTTGTAAATGAAACTAATTTGAAAATACTCAAATAAAAAATCTAACAATTTATTTAATAAATTTAACTGAAAAAAATGTTGTAGCATTATAATAGTTCCTACATTCTTTTGAATTTTAACAATTTATGTAAGTAAATAGATCAAAAGAAAATTAAACTCCAAATTAAATTAATCCACAGTCTATAAATATTGTCTTATTATACAATGCATTAAAGTTATTTATTTAATTCTCATTAATACTTACTCATATTTTTGATTATTTGATTATACTTAAATAAATCCAGATCTTGAAACTTCCTAAAAATAAAAGAAATAAATAAAACCAAAGAATTTTTACGAGCTTACATGTTTGAAAGTGCAAATATTCCTAAATAAAATGATCCGCCAGCAAAAATCAATCCTATACTTGAAAGGATTAAGTAATCAGCTTAAACACAATTATAACTAAGAAAATTATATAGTCAATTACTCTATTAGACTTCTATGAGCAATACCAAACCAATACCATAAAATAAATAGACATCCAAGCAATGCTCTAGCCAATTGCCATATTCTTGGTGTTTGTATTTCATCCACTACAATAGAACCCAATATATTGCAAAACGTAATTTAAATTGCTATTCCTAAACATCTTATTGTTGATAATAAAAAATCATTATCTTAAAACTTATAAGTTGCATAGAATTACCAAAATACAAATAATATATGGTCTATAAAAGTGTTTCGATCAAAGCAGCAAAACATAAATATTTATCAATCTAGACAAGTACTCCACTTTTATCTTTGCTAAGTATTCTGTAGCAAATTATTAAATAGAATAAATAGAATAAGCTTAATAAAAATTCTATGAGTGCTTCAAAACATTAATATCGATTCTAACAATGAATTAAGTTTGCCATATAATTTATAATGTAATAAATAAAATAGAAGTTATTGTCAAAAATATTCATGAATTAATTATAGTATTTAAAAAAATGAAGAAAGGGGAAGTTTTTTTCAGGTAGTTTTGAATACAATGTAGAAAATATATGAATTTCAGTCTCTATTTAGTAAGATTGATGACTTTTTATACAAAAACTATAGTTTTGTTAAATGTAATATTAAATTTAAGCAAATTTTGGTTTATGGAAAATAACTAATTAATCTCNGTAAATGAAACTAATTTGAAAATACTCAAATAAAAAATCTAACAATTTATTTAATAAATTTAACTGAAAAAAATGTTGTAGCATTATAATAGTTCCTACATTCTTTTGAATTTTAACAATTTATGTAAGTAAATAGATCAAAAGAAAATTAAACTCCAAATTAAATTAATCCACAGTCTATAAATATTGTCTTATTATACAATGCATTAAAGTTATTTATTTAATTCTCATTAATACTTACTCATATTTTTGATTATTTGATTATACTTAAATAAATCCAGATCTTGAAACTTCCTAAAAATAAAAGAAATAAATAAAACCAAAGAATTTTTACGAGCTTACATGTTTGAAAGTGCAAATATTCCTAAATAAAATGATCCGCCAGCAAAAATCAATCCTATACTTGAAAGGATTAAGTAATCAGCTTAAACACAATTATAACTAAGAAAATTATATAGTCAATTACTCTATTAGACTTCTATGAGCAATACCAAACCAATACCATAAAATAAATAGACATCCAAGCAATGCTCTAGCCAATTGCCATATTCTTGGTGTTTGTATTTCATCCACTACAATAGAACCCAATATATTGCAAAACGTAATTTAAATTGCTATTCCTAAACATCTTATTGTTGATAATAAAAAATCATTATCTTAAAACTTATAAGTTGCATAGAATTACCAAAATACAAATAATATATGGTCTATAAAAGTGTTTCGATCAAAGCAGCAAAACATAAATATTTATCAATCTAGACAAGTACTCCACTTTTATCTTTGCTAAGTATTCTGTAGCAAATTATTAAATAGAATAAATAGAATAAGCTTAATAAAAATTCTATGAGTGCTTCAAAACATTAATATCGATTCTAACAATGAATTAAGTTTGCCATATAATTTATAATGTAATAAATAAAATAGAAGTTATTGTCAAAAATATTCATGAATTAATTATAGTATTTAAAAAAATGAAGAAAGGGGAAGTTTTTTTCAGGTAGTTTTGAATACAATGTAGAAAATATATGAATTTCAGTCTCTATTTAGTAAGATTGATGACTTTTTATACAAAAACTATAGTTTTGTTAAATGTAATATTAAATTTAAGCAAATTTTGGTTTATGGAAAATAACTAATTAATCTCTATAAGTTAAGATGATTAGGACTGTTTTTTTAGTGAAGATGATGAATAAATTTCTCAAATAATAGAATAAGATCCAACAGGGCGATTTTGTAAAGTATTTTTCAATTTATAAAACAGTATAATGAAGAAATAGGATAGGGTGCATATAAAAGTGTGTTTAGAGGATATGATAATTAAAGTGGTTGTGAAGTTGCATGGAATGTTTTTTAATTACATAGTGTTCCAGAAAGTAAATTGATTTATCAAAATATTTTAGATGAAAGAAGACGAGCTAGATAAGAGATTTCTATTTTAAGTAGTTTAAAACACAATAACATTATTAATTTTATTCACTCTTGGCATAACAAAAAGAAGAAAGAGATTATCTTTATTACTGAAATCATAAATGGTGGTTCCTTGAAGAAGTAAAATAAAATTCAGATTTCTTTAGTTATTTACGAAGAATATTGAGACCGAAATTAAAAGTTATAAAAAATTGGTGTAGATAAATTCTTTTAGGTCTTGAATTTATGCATAAACAAAACATTATTCATAGAGATTTAAAATGTGAAAACATACTTATAGATACAAATAATAATGAATTAAAAATAGGGGATTTGGGACTTTCTATATAGTAAAGAATGCAAAATTATTATTAGATTGTAATAATCTTTTACAAGCTCTGTGTTGGGAACCCCTGAATTTATGGCTCCAGAAATTTATTCGGAACATTATGATACAAAAGTAGATATCTATGCTTTTGGTATGTGTCTCTTAGAAATGGTTACTGGTGTTAAACCATTTTGTGAATGTAAGGGTGGGATTGGATAAGTTATAAAAAAAGTAATAGAATAGCAGAAACCATAATCAATTGATTCAATTCTTAATGAAAAAATTAAATCAATTATTTTAGAGTAAAATTATTTTATTGATTAAGATGTTTGAAACCACCTGAGCAAAGACCCTCAGTGACTGAATTACTACAAAATCATTTTAATGGATAAACACAGGAAAACGACAATTTACCTGTTGCAATAAATGAACAGTATCTAGTTTAGTTGAGAGATGATAGCAAGAGTACAATTTTCTTATTGTTCAGATTCATCTCTTCTAAAATGCAATCTATCTAATAAAGTTATGTTAACAGCAGGAAGTAGCAAATTTGATACAAATTCAGAAATAAGCACTCAGAAATAACCATAGAAAATCGAAATGAAAAAGAAAAATATGATCATTTAAACAGAAGATGAAACAGATTAAATTTTTATGTAGTGTTATAAAGTCTATATTGTAATAACATAAATTCATTTATATTTTAGGATAAAAAGAAAGAAGACTCTTTTTTAGATTTAGAATAGAGATAAGAAAAAGAACTTTAAATTTTGAAATAGTTGCATGCTCAATAAAAACAAGAATATTTAAAAAAAACTCAAAATTCCTAAGCAGGAATTTAAAATTCAGGATTTATGTCACCTAGATCTTATTAAAACTTTTTTGAGTTTCAAAACGAATCAAATGCAATCAAGTCAATAGTTGATAGTCCATGTTTGGAAAAGATTGGCAATACTAAAATTTATAAATACGGATAACAGAATGTAAGCTTTAATTAAATTTGTATATTAGGGAGACAATTCTTAAGGAATATAATTATAATTTAATCAATTAACATAAAGTGGTATTTTGAATCAATTAATTGTAGATAAATAATTAGAAGTCAATTTTTGACAACTAATAAACAAATCATAAAATACAAAATAAACCACAAAAACCAAATATAAAATAATAATTAAATATCAACTTTTGATTAAGTGCCTATCCTTCTTCATCTTTTCTAAAATGATTTTGATTATTTTACTTTCTTCAACTATAAGTTCATTTTTGTTAAAAAAAAGAGACATTACTTCTCTTCTTATTCCTCCTTACTTCCTTTGAAAATTTAAATTTTAAGTTTTAATATTTCATTTTGTAGACTGAGAATATTTAATATATTGAATTGGGACTTAAAGATAAATTAAATTATTCATATAGTTATTTTTCAGAAATAAATAAATAAATATAAAATATTATTTAATTATTATTTTTTTGTTATGAGTTCTGTTTATAAAGAGGGTAATATAGAAATAGGAGAAGATGATGAAATACCTTTATTATTGGCAAAATATTGTCTTGAATGTGAACTTTGTTTTAAAGAGAATGATAATTAAATGATATAGAAAAATACTCCAGATATCAGAGAAATTAGACTCATATCAGCAAAAGTCATTTCTAATGGGAAATCTAAAAAAACTTATATTGTAGTTTGTGATAAACATCATTAAATTATTGAAACTTTAATAGATAAACGCTTCTCGGTTATATAATATAGTGTGAATTAATTAGATATAAAAAAAGCAAAGCTTATTAAAATACGTAATATCAATTTACTTTAAGCACTTTAATAAATACAAAATAATTATTGTTGTAGAATACTTAAATTTAGATATTCTAATATAGAAAAATAAATATAAAGGCTTAATCATGATAATTAAGAAGAAATTATTAAAAGTGCTTGTGAATAGAAAAAGAAAAATTTAGAATTAACAAAGATTAAATTTTAATTTTATGTTGAAAATAAAGAAAAGATGATACTTAAATAAAAGTTATTAATCTATCATTTTTATAAAAGATTGGAAGCAAAAACATATTAGAAAATTGATAATTTTAAATTAGAACAATAAAATATCGATACAATTTCATTGTCAATGTCAGTACCTTTATCATCCTAATTTTTTAAAGATTGATGATGAGAAATATTATATAAATAATTTCATTAAGTTATATTCATTTCAATTATATTATTATCTTCTTCGTAAAAATATTTTTTGTTCATTTCATAAAATATTTAAAATATGGCAGCAGGGATTGTGGTAAATGAAACTAATTTGAAAATACTCAAATAAAAAATCTAACAATTTATTTAATAAATTTAACTGAAAAAAATGTTGTAGCATTATAATAGTTCCTACATTCTTTTGAATTTTAACAATTAATGTAAGCAGTTAAATTCAAAGATAATTAAATATGAAGTGATCAAAATTGTAGATAGAATATAAACTTATAAAATTTTACATATTTATTGAGTATTGAAATAGAAAGACTAATTTATACTTTAAGTATTAAGCCTAAAAAGTTTGTAGAAATTCAAGTAAAAGGAAATCTTTTTAAAAAAAAATATATTAAAAAATAACAGAATTTTAAAGATAATTCATTAGATATGTAAATATTTAATATTTCATGAAGGTTTTGGCTAGCTCAGAATCTTAATTTTAGGATTTCCTACTGGTTAATTATTATGGGTGGCCTGATTATGTATTGGCTGTTAGCCATAAAAATTATTCTATGGATTACTTTATATTGATTAATTCATCGTATATGGTGAAAAATTTTGATTTTATTGATTTTATTGATTTTATTGATTTTATTACATTTATTAATTATTCTGATAAGCAACAGGGTTTGAGAATTAACCATAATTTTATGGTTAATAATTTTAATTCATATTTTAATTAGGATACTACTAAAATTACTAAGGCTGTGATAAAATTTACATATTATTTAATTGATTCATCCCTTGAGGAAATTAATTCATATTTTTATTATTGTAAGTAATATCATTTTATTAATATTGATTTTGTGGATTTTAATTTTAATAGAATTAGGTTTATCTTGACAACATTTATTACTATTCATAATCTAGCCTCTATTATTCCATTTGTATCTATTTATCTTAATCTTGAAGTTATTTTTTCCTTTCTTCATCCTCTTTTTGTTAATTTAACTTTTAGATTTATAGTTCTTCCTATTTTTTTTTTTTTTCTTATTCTTCTTTTTCTTTTTTCTATCTTTTTTATTCATGATATTGTCTCTCCTCGTTAATTTTATTGTTGTAATTTGTAGCATGTACTTTGTTAGCTTTAATAACTTTTGAATATTCTTCCTTATTTAAACTTAATTGTACAATGCTCAAATCAGCCGGATAATCTGAATATGTAGGAATTTCGTGAAATGTCTAAATAACTCGATTAATAATGTATTCTAAGGTAGTTGATTTCTTCCAATATCTGAAAATATATATCAAAATACTTATCGCTCCAATCTGGATGACAATAGACACCAGTATTTTAAATAATATATTAATGTCTAAATTCTTTGGGAAATTCAATCTTTACAGGTTTACAAGGATAATTTTCGTATTTAATAATAAAATAGTATAGAGCCCCTCTCCACTCTGATAAGTATTTTCCTTCAAAGCCAACTCTAACCTATTTGAAATCTTTAAGGTGTTCAATATCAGTATATTATATATTTCCATCAAAATCATCATCATCATCTTCATTTATGAAATCTTTTTGATCTTATTTGTTCATTCTATCCCTTCTTTTTTTTAGTAAATCAACTTCGTTAGCAATTCTTTAATCAATGAAATTTTCAATTTAAGAAATCTGCATTTTATATATTTTATATTATCATTTCTATTATTAATTTGGGAGGTTAACTTGTGAAGGATAAGGGGATAACGCAACAGAGTAAGGATAGCTATTAAGACTCTAAAAGTTTCCTATATGATTCTGATTGACTAATGAACGTTGGTTGTAGATTCCACTTTATCCTTAATGGTATTCATTTGATTAAAACATTACAATAGATCGAAAAAACTTAGGATCATACATAAAAGATCCTAAACTATTTGGATTAGACAAATAGCTTTCTTATAGCATATTAGTTTCACTACTTTTATTCAAATATATATAAAGTTATTCCGGAGTGGCAAAATAAATTTGATTACTTTCTTTATGTATTAGACAAGGCATAAGAGTAGATGCTTCATCATCATTTAGTTCTTAGTCTTTTATTTATAATTATAATCTCTCCATATTCTTGAAATTTGAAATCTTTTATTTAAAATCTTTGTAGAATCCTCCTTGAGATTCTATTTTAACTTTTTTTGTTGCATCATTATGTTCTTCTTTAATTCCTTCTTTTTGTCCCTTTTATCTTAGATTCTCAGTTTATTGTATACGCCATTCAATTTTTTTAATGATCACATTAATAAGTTTAATCTCTTCATGATTCAATTCTTCAGTAGATGGTAAATTAGAAATCGATGATTCTTCAGATTAATTATCATCCTCATCTTTTTACCTTCAAATAGTTCACAAATTTTACCCAGATTTATGATTTTTTTCTTTTCTAATGAGACAATTAAACCGATTTTTGACATTATTTTCACTTCTTGTAATTTTGAGTTTTTTCGAAATTAAAGCCCATTTTTTCCCTAATTCTTTAGCCTAACACATTAGATCTAAGTCTTCACTCAATTACCAAGGATTTCTATCTAAATAAATTTAATACTGTACCTATTAATGTTGGGATTAAGATGATTATTCCATCTTTCCCTACATTATTTTCCATTTCTATGTACCTATTAATCATTTGCTTTATTGAGACTTGTTGCAATTTGACTCCATTTATTACCTTTGTTTTAACTTTAAAATTCCGATATTATCTTTTATAGTAGATTATCTTCTGCAAGAGTCCAAGGAGCCTATTACAAAGGTAGTTTGAGCATTTGTAACCATTTCTACTTACATTTGAATGCATCTCTACGAGGCATCATACTTGCAATGGCACTCCAATCCGAATCACTCTAAAATAGCCTACTAAATTTATACAATCGATTAGATATCTCTTTTATTATATGTAACCCATTTCCCAACTAACCATATCAGAACCTTTTTATCATCATCAGTCCAATTTTTTTTTGGTTTATTTGGTTAAGTTTGGAGATTAAGTTTATTGGTCTGTTAGATGCTGAAAACTTCTTAATCATCAGGAAATTCTTCAATTTTTAGATTGAACTTTTCTCTCATATAACTAAATCTAACATTCATGACACCTTTGACTTTAGAATAAAAGTTCATGAAGTTCAAATGAAAATCGTCCATTAACTGTGTATCAATTTATTACATATAATTTTATTATTGTATAAATTATTATGGGAGCCATTTATCAAACCAAAAAAAGATTTATCAATAATTTAATAATTTTTGCAGTAAAACTTTTATTAATTCATTTCATATATTCCTATAACAATTTAAGAACGCTTTCTTTTATTTCTTGTGTAATCAGTACTCTAGGTTATCTAACAACTTAGTCATTTTGCATCACATAATCAAATCTGCATTTCCTTTTGAAGATGCATTCATATAAAATTAAACCAATTTGCTGACTCTAGTTTATTTTCTTACTTTTGTGTTCTATCTCTTCTAAATTTGATATTTTTATTTTATTGTTTTCATCAAAGAAGATATTATTAATTTGTAAATCTAAATATAATTGATTCTCATTTAAATATTATTACACACTAAATAATTAGTTCGCTATTGAGTTCAAAAGTTCTTCATCAAAATCTCCATACTTAATCCAATTTATCAAGGAACCTTTAGACATATATTCTCTAACAACATAAACATTATCTTAATCATGACAATAGAAGAATAACTTTTAAACATTAGGATGGTTTATATGATATTGAATTTCTATCCATTTTCTTAATTGTAAATAGGATTTATTAGCCAGAACCATCCTTTTTGAGATAACATCTAATTAAGCTTATTAATTTTAGATTAAAATTCTATAACAATTATTTCCCAATTATTCTAATACCTTCATGTTTTTTATCTATTCCATTATTTAAATTATTACAACTATTAATGTAAAATATAGTTTAAAATGGTTCAGATGATGAAACAGAGTTTATATTCGATTCTAACGCTGTCTAGCTTAATGATAGCAAGTCTAAAATATCAATGGCTAATGTAATTTAATTAATCTCATTATGATTATAGGAGGAGATTAAGCATTTGAATGACTAAAACAAGGAATTGGCCACCTAGTTAAATAAATAGAATGAATTGCTTGATTTAAAACATAAGTAAAACTAATAGTTATAAACAGAAGGTATTTATGATTTTTAAAATATTTAGCAATAAAATTGAAGGAATTAGTTGATGATAGAGAACTAAAGTTAGTATAATCTATGAAAGAGAAGCAAAAATTATAGAATGAGCTTATCGGTTTACATGATGTTTTAGACCAGACAACTTAAAGAAATGATCAATTAAACTCTGAAGTGTTTGCACTTAGATTAACAATGGAGTAATTATAATGTAAATATCTTACAATATCTCTTTAGAGACTGCCACTATGTATAAAGAAGAGATTAATTAATTTTTATAAAGAGAGTAGAGATAAAATTTAGAAGCACAAACCAAAGCTATGAAATAACAAGAAGAAACCATAAGGAAAATATCTAATGAACTTAATCAAAAGTAGGCTTAAAATAAGATTGAAATTCAGAATAGAGAAAACTAGATCTAAGATTTAATGAGAAAACATGAATTGTAAATGTAATAGAATACTGAAATAATTAATGAGTTGATAGAACAAAAAAACTAAAACCTATAAAATTTTGTTATGAATAAAGATTATAAGCCCGAACTTACAAAGATGACAAAATAGATTGAAGAATACAAAAATCAGGTTAAAGGATAAATTCATTAGATAAGTATTTAAAATGAAAAAATTTTGTCACTCTAAAATTAATTGGCTCAGTCTGAATAATCTATAGCTGATCTAAATACTGAACTTTAATAGGCTAAATAAAAATTAAAGGAAAAAGATTAAGAGTTTTAAAATAAAATAGGGGAAAGTATGTAGACAATTGAAAAATTAAAAACCTAGGTTTAATAATTGAATAATTAATTATTATTACTAAAATAATAAGATTAAAAGATAAATCTTGCCAGAAGTATTTATTAAAATCAAGATGAAAGATTTCTTAAGGATATACAATTAAAAAATGATCAAATTGTAATGTTGTAGAATGAAAATAATTAATTAGTTAAATTAATTGAGACACTAAAGAATTAGAAATGTATTTATTTATATTATAGATTTAGTTGATCAATAGGGAAATGAAGCTATTAAAATTAGGTAATTAGAATCAGAATTAAAGAGTCTTTAATAATTCATTTATGACAGTCCTTTGGTAGTCTTATTCAATCTTTTGGAAGATAGATTATCAAAATAATAATAAAAGAGTTTTGAAAACAAAAAAAAAATTTAAGAGTTTTGGAGTAGTCAATTAAAACAGTGGGTAGAAGGATTTGAAGAATTGAGAAAAGCATTTGGTGGTTTGAAGATTTAATTTAAATACGACCTTAAATACCCAATTCCATAGAATGAATGAATAAAATAAAAATGAAATTAAGTAAAATTATTCATAAATGAAACTAAAATAAATATGAAGAAAAATACCTATTATTATTATTAATATAAATTTAATCAATCATCATCATCATCGGAACTGGAACTACTAGACGAGCTACTAGAACTACTAGATGATGAACTACCAGATGAATTATCGGAACTCAATGGCTTGGTATCTTTTAGTATTCTAAATTCGTTCTTGTCAATAGCATCTAATTTAAGTGCTCTTTCATACAGATCGGACCTTTTCTCTTTAAATGCCTCCAATAGTCGTTGACTAAACTTTGGCCTTTCCTTTCTGACAGATCTTAAAGTATTGATTAACAATCACCTCCAAATTTTATCAAAGTTGTTGATTGACATGAAATTTTGGGTAAGAGCAACTGAGTTATCTAAATTTAAAACGGCATGCCACCAACCTCCAGGTACAAAAATAGTATCTCCAGGACCTTATACACACATTACAATCTTTAAATTATCAGCCCCTTCTTTTTAAATTAATTTTGGAAGTGCATAGAAAAAGTAATCAATGGATTCGTCCAATACTTCAGGATCAATCTCTTTTTTGGCTGCTAGTCCCTTAGCTTTAACTACACATTTTGGTATATCAGGAGGAAATAAAACCCATAGTTTATGTCCTTAGAGAGATGTATTCCATGCACTTGTCATTAAAGGATCTATATGGACAGTTGTGCCAGATCGTTTTGGTCTATTATTATTTGAATTGTACATTACCCAACTAAAAACCATCTATATGGAGGACGATGCTTCTCTCCCACCAAAGCAAAGAAGTCTTCTTAAAAATATTTATGCGATTTGTATCTTCCAATCATATCCGCCCCTCCATCTTTCATATCTTCTACAGAACTATTCAAAATTATTAATTCATTTTTACCTTTCAAATAAATAAAGAGGAGAATCATCCTTATTATATACTAAATATTCAAGAAAGTATTTGAATGGCAATCTTAATTTTTTGCCTTTATCATCTTCTCCAATTTTAAATTATGTCTCTTTATATTATTAATACAATTTCTCAAAAGTCCAATATTTTTCTACATTCCAATCATCTGTTGTATTTGTTATTATACAAGGAATGTCTGGAATCTCGAATTAATTCACAAATTGCTCTGCTGTAAATGTGCGACCATCCACTTTAGCTATTGTAAAATATCTAAATTAAATTTTCATTACTTTTCATATTATTTTCTCAATTCTTTAAGACTCTTTTCATAATGGTTTCTTTTGTACCATTCTCTTAATCTTAAGTGACTCCTATCTTTTAATTTTATATCTTCAATCAATTCCTATGCTTTGGAGCTCATTTCCTTTTCAAAGAATCTTGAGGATTTCAACTTTAGCTTTTTAGTTGTTTTCATAATTTAATTATATTTATATCATAATATTATCATTTATTTATTTTCGCTCTAAAGTTAAAGTTAACATTCTTCAATTTATTATGAATTTTACTATGTCTTATTTTTGAGATCACTTACCTTATCTTTTATATGATTTAAGCTTTATTTTATTCAATTTCTATGTACCGATGTAAATTAGAAAAATTCACTTAATTATATTAGATAATAAAGTCTCTTATAAAAAATCTTTTTTAATGATAAATCTTTTTTTACTATAAGAACAAAATTATTATCTGTAGAAGTAATCTAAAAATGATTTAAGGGTATAAGATAGAAGGTATAGGATATAAAACACGAACAACATGAGAGAGTTAAATATAGAAATAAAGTGAATATGAATAATAATAATCAGTTGAATTTATTTTTCAAATCTACTCTATTGCTTCTTCTTGATTACATGGATGATTTGGAGAACAGGTTTCTTGAACAATTATAATTGTTTGATACTTTATAATTATCCCAGATTATGAACCATGTGTTTTTACTTTAAACATTTAAAGGCTATCATTCCTTGGAACGGTTGATCTTTATAATCTAATTTTTAAGCAGACTCATCGAAATCCCTCTTTTTGAGGAAACCTTTTTAACTTGTGCACCCCATAATAGTTTTATATAATTAATAGGTAAAATAAGTTTTTTTTTTATTATTTCCAACCAATAAAAAGAATATAGCAAAAATTGATAATGATTAATGAATTGTATAAAATTAACTATGTATTAAGTTATAAAAAAGTAATGATTGATTATTGAAAAATAAATATGAAGAAGATTAAGAAATAAAGATGGTAGAGTTTAAATAATTAAAATAAGCAATTTAAGAATGTAAAAGATAGTATAATAAATTTATAATAGGGGAAGAATGAGATGGTAAAAGGGAATAAATATTAGATATAAAAAGAAATGATAGCATGAAGTATTAAAAATTATTGATAAAGAAATTTTTTGTGAAAAAATGAAGTGAATGAAAAATGAAAAGAAAGGTAAGTTTAATTAATAATTTTTGGATGGTTTAATTTGAATTAATGAAGTGAAATATAAGTATAAATCCCAATTAATTAATTAAATTAATTATGAGACAATCAGGCGCTGATTTTACTTACTCCACTGCCCCGATTGCAAAGGTAAGGCGAGTGGAATTTGGGTTAATGAGTCATGAGCTTATAAAGGAATGGACAGGAGAAATAGAAATAAAAGAGATTCAAACAAATGAATTAGATGGGACACCAAAATAAAATGGGTTAAATGATCTTCGAATGGGTGTGAATACAAATGCTTAGAAGTGTAAAACATGTGGAGAGACAAAGTATTGCCAAGGACATTTTGGAAGAATTGAACTGAATAAGCCAGTTTATCATGTGGGATTTTTGTAGATAGTAAAGAAGGTATTGAAGTGTATATGTCATAATTGTGGTAAATTGAGATAACCACAAACAGAGGATGCAAATGTACTTATGTATTGTTAATAATATAGTAATAATTTTAAAGAGCAAAGGAACATAAATTGAATCGTAAAAGATTGAATGAGATAGTGAAATTATTGGGTAGAATAGATAAATGTGAAGCAAAGCTCAAATTAGAAGAGAATTAAGGAAATGAAGATTGCTGTTAAGCTTAAATTCCCACTAGAATTTAAGCTCTAAATGGATAGATAAAAATCTAATACTCTACGAAGGAGGCAGCAAAAGAGTTGACAGCAGAGAGATGTTTAGATATATTTAAAAAGATAAGGAATGAGGATGCAATTATATTAGGATTTACAAAAGAATCTAGACCATAAGATTTGATTATAAAATATTTATTAGTGATGCCTCCTTAAGTAAGACCAGCAATAGAGATGAATCCAGCTAGAATAGCATAGGATTAATACACATAAATATATAAATCAATATTGTAGAAGAATATTGAGATAGCAAATTGTAGTAGTGATGCAGAGAGAGTAAGATTAGCTCCAGAATTGATGAGAGAAGTTGCAAAGATTATAGATTCAGAGAAGGCAGGAAAGATAAAGATGAAATCAACATAACCATTGAAGAGTATTAGAGCTAGATTAAAGGGTAAAGAAGGAAGATTTAGATAAAATTTAATGGGAAAGAGAGTTGATTTCTGTGCTCGTTCAGTTATATCTCCAGATGCAAATTTGGGTATGGATGAATTAGGAGTACCATAAATAGTGGCAGATTAATTGACAATTCCAGAAGAAGTTACAGAATATAATTTAGAGAGAGTTATATAATTGGCAAAGACTAATAAAATTAAATATGTTATAGTACCAATTACTGATCCTAGAAGTAAATAAAGGAAGTTTTAAGCTTTGTATTTTGATTTTACAGATACTGAAGAATAGATTAGATAAAAAATAAATTAAGGAGTTATAGTAGAAAGATGTTTATAAGATGGAGATTTTGTATTATTTAATAGATAACCAACATTGCATAGAATGAGTATGATGGGACATAGAGTTAGAATTTTACCATATTCAACATTTAGATTGAATTTATCTGTGTGTACACCATACAATGCAGATTTTGATGGAGATGAAATGAATATGCATGTTCCTTAATCTTATGAAACTATTGCAGAATTAAAATATTTGGCACATGTTCCTAGATAAATTGTTACTCCAAAAAGTAATCAACCAGTTATGGGTATTGTGCAAGATTCATTACTTGGTTGTTGTTTATTTACTCAAAGAGATACTTTTTTAACTAGAGATTAAGTTATGCATTTAATGATGTGGAATGAATAATTCACTGGAGAATTACCTATGCCTGCTATTCTAAAACCTTAAGAATTATGGTCTGGAAAATAGATTATGTCGATGATTATTCCTTAATCTATTAATACTGAAAGAGGAATTAGAGAAGATGATCTTAAAAAACCAAATTGGAATGCTGATGATAAAAGTTTATGTATTTAGAGAGGAAATCTAGTTAGTGGAATTTTCAATAAAGAACTAGTTGGATAAGGAGCAGGTTCTGTTGTGCATCTTTGTTGGCTTGATTTAGGAGCAGAAAAAACTTTAGAATTTATGACCTCATGTTAAAGAATTGTTAATAATTGGTTAATTATGCATTCATTTACTGTTGGATGTTAAGATATTGCTCCTCATATTAATTTAGTTGCTGAAACTGAAAAAAGAAGTAGAGAATAAGATGAAGAATATATTAAATTACTCTAAATATTTTTGGATGCCAAAAAGATTTAAGATAACAGATATCATTAAAAAGGAAAAAGAATTATGGATTCATTTGAATATTCATTTAATATGAAATTGAATAAGGTTAGAGATGATATCAATTCTAAAGTTACTGAAACTATTGATTAAATACGTAATTGTATGTATAAGATGATTTGGGCAAAAAGTAAAGGAGAAGCATCCAATCTTGCATAAATTACATCATTAGTCGGATAACAGAATTTAGAATCTAAAAGAATTTAATTTGGATTTGCTTATAGAACATTACCTCATTTTTCTAAATTTGATTATGGACCTGAAGCTAGAGGATTTGTAGCAAGTAACTTTTTCAAAGGACTTAAACCAACAGAATTCTTTTTCCATACTATGGGTGGTAGAGATGGTCTTATTGATACTGCTGTGAAAACAAGTAGAACAGGATATATTCAAAGGAAATTGATTAAAGCTGTAGAAGATGTTTTTGTTAGATATGATTCATCTTGTAGAGATTCAGTTGGTGCTGTTTATCAATTTCATTATGGAGAAGATAAAATGGCTGCAGAATTTATTGAACATTAGGAAATTAAATGTGTTAATTTAAGTAATTAATAATTGGCAGAAAAATATTAATTAATTTAAGAATAATGGTTTGGTAGTGAGATTAGAATGAGATATTAAAATATATTTACAGAAGATGTAATAGATGATATAGAAACTGATTATGATGGTTAAGCTTTGTTAAAAGGAGAGTTTGATGAAATAAAGAAGATTAGAGATGAATTACGTAGATTATTTTTAATAGACTCTGCACCAAAAGAAGAGATATTTACTCACTATTATTTAGTTGTAAATATTGAGAGAATTATTTCAACAATTAAGATTAATAAAAAAATTAGTGATAGAGAGAAATGTAGATTGAATCCAATTACAGTAACTAAAGAGGTTGATGAATTAATTTAAAAAGTTGATAAATTGTTGAGTTATGATTTAGATGAAAGAAGAGATTGTATAAATTTATTTAGAACACATTTGAAAGTATCATTAGCAAGTAAAGATTTATGTTGTAGACACAGATTGACACCAGAAGCATTTTAAGAATTAATATCTGAGATTATATACAAGCTTAAAAAGAGTATGGCACATCCAGGAGAAGCAGTTGGCGCTATAGCTGCATAATCTTTAGGAGAACCTACAACTTAAATGACTTTAAATACTTTCCATAAATCTGGAGTTACAGGAGATAAAAATGTGACTTTGGGTGTTCCTAGATTATAAGAATTATTAGATGCAAGTAAAAAGACTAAGACTCCAAGTTTGACTATTTATTTTGATCCTCCTTTAGAGTATGCTGAATTAGAGTTGAAAGATGATAAGGATAAGAAAAGTTATTTAAAAACTGAACAATTAGCTCATCCTCATAAATAGGATGATTTTACTTAGAGTATGCTTGTTTAAATGTAAGGAAGAATTCTAGGATAAACATTTGGATAATATATAATAAAGAGTGAGATCTATTATTAGAGTGATCCAAATAATCCATTACATATTACTGAAGATTAAGAAGATAATTTTACAGATGGTATTTTCGATACAGATGAAGCCAAATATAAATGGATACTATTTTTACATATGGATCATTAAAAGATTTTATCAAATTTAGAAACTTGGGATAAAATTCGAGATAGTATTCCTAAGATTTTGGATGAAACAGAAAAGAAGTTTGGCATCTCATCTTAAAATACAATAGTAGATCCTGATTCAATGAATCATAAATACATTTAAATTAAATATTATCATGATTACAATGATTAAAAGAAATTTAAACCTGAAAGAGGAAAGGGTAATTTTGATGATGAAATTGAATTCGATGAGGAAGCAAAAACTAAGACTTATGTAGATACTCCATATACTATATTAAAGAGATTAGAAGAAACAATAAGAGGACATTCATTGGGAGGTATAAGTAAGATTACAAGGATTCTACATTCTTAAATAGAGAAATAATTTTATATTAATAATAAGACAGGTGGATTTTTAAAATAAGCAAATATTGAAGGGAAAGGTAAGTGGAAAATAGTAGAGAAATATTTAGAAACAGAAGGAACTAATCTTAAAGAGATTCTAAGATTAGAACATGTAGATTAAAGAAGAACTACAACAGATGATGTTTATGAAATATCATAAGTTTTAGGAATAGAAGCTGCAAGAGCTGCATTAGTAGGTGAAACTAGAAAGATATTCAATCATTATGGTATCTATATTAATTACAGACACTTATATTTATTATATGATTGGATGACTCATAGAGGTAGATTAACAGCAGTAAATAGAAATGGTATAAATAGAATACCTGAAGTAAGTGTTTTACGTAAAAGTTCATTTGAAGAAACAGTTGAAATATTATATGATGCAGCAGTATTTTCAGAAGTAGATCATATGAGAGGATTAAGTGAAAACATTATATTTGGATAATTGTGTCCACATGGAACAGGTAGTTTTGAATTAATGGTAAATGCTAAGAATGTTAAGGAATTTAAATTGAAATCAAGCCATGCTGATAAATTTACTTAAGGAGGTGAATATTTAGTTGAACCATCTCCAAATACTTAAAATGAACATACTCCAATATATCCAAATACTCCAGGACCTGGTCTACTTTACATGGATTCACCATACACTCCATACCCACCTAAATAATCTCCTGGTGTTTTTGCAACTCCTATGAATATACACACACCTGATTAATATAGTCATCGTTCCCCTTACTATACTAACACACCTCTTATACCATATGATACATATTAACTTAGTCCTGTTGAATCTATATCTGGATAATAACCTCAACCTGGAAAATAACCTAATGTTAGTGGTAGTCATAGTCCAGGCTCACCACATTATACTAGTCATACTAATTCACCAAGCCCCAGTTATAGAAGTAGTGAAAGAGCTACATCAGGTCAAAGATCTTCTAGTCCCATTCTTAATTCATCCAGAAGGTAATTGTTCCTATTTCTATATCTAGTCCCAATTATACTAGTAGTATCTATAATTCACCACTTTCACCAACTAATACTGGAAGTGGACGTGTTTAAACTGGCTCTCCTCATTCACCTTAAGGATCTAATTTTACCACTTTTAGTCCAGTCTATTAACCATAGGGAAATACCACCAATCAGTATGAATAAGAATAATGAAAATAATCATAATAAATAATATAACACCATTTATTTCAACCTTTTTTTAATACTATTCCGAAACTCTCTTATATTCTTATTTTGATCTATCTCTCAACTGTTCATCATAACCTTACTCCTGAAGTTCCAATATCATTTATCAATACTATGTATAATTTCTCTACTTTATTTTCATAATTAAATTTATTATAACCTATTTTTTAATCTCTTTTCTTTATTCTTTTAGGATACTTTATTTATTTCCTAAATTTATCATTCTAAATACTTGAAATTCAATGGATTTATTTCCTAATCTTATTACAATTCCTTTTATTAATTTGACCACTTACTAATACTCCTATCAATTCTTTTAATTTCTTAAATATAAAATCTGTAGATATTATGAATTTCTTGTTTAATTCTGTAAATACAATTAACTTGTATACTCTTTCAATTTATTTATAGATTTTCATCCATAAAGCATTCCTAAAAATTAAAAGTAACTATAATTATTTATTCTTAACTCTCTTCTTTCTAATTCTAACTCAAAATGCTTCGAATATATTTACATTCTATCTTAAACTTATAATCCTTTAAGTTTACCCTAGGAGTTTGATAAATTATCAAAGTACCTTTTGTTTATCAATTATAAGAATCTAATTCTAATTTAATATTAATTTTCTACTATTTGAGTAGAGAATTATCCTTCTAAACGAGTAACATACCAGATCATCAAAAGTTTAAATTAATTAATATAGTCTAATGGGAAATAAATAATAATAAGCCAAAAAGAGAACTAGCAATTTAAGTTTGAATAGTATGGGTAGATCAGTTTCAACAGCCCCTACAAATGAATCAGGTTTAATTAGATCCACTATAGATGGTAGTCTAAGTTCTTCCATGTTTGGAGGAGTTGAGTTTTATTTTAATCATATGCCAAACTCTGTTATCGATGGAATATGTAAATTCCTAACAATTAAGGATCTAACTAATTTATATTGTACAAGCAGATTTGTTTATGAGAGATTTTATACATCTCTCCCATACTCTATTGCATGTGGAAATCTATTGTATAAATTATACGAAGATCGGAAAGGGATTGCATTTAATGCAGTTTAAACTAAACATGCACATTGGCCATAAGTCTTAGAGGTTTTTATGAAAAATAAGTATTATAATCTTATTTATCTAATTGATAGAAAATAAATGTTAAATCTGCAAAACAATCTTCGCCAATCTTTATAGAATGCTTACCAATTACATATTATTTATCCTCCATTATTAATGGATGAAGTAACCAAAGAAGGCTTGAATTCAGACCTTTAAAGATAAATTATGCAAAAATTATCTGATTCTCAAGAATGCCATACCATTACTTAAATCCAAATCATGAATCAAACTAGAACTTATTTTAAAAATTCATCATCTTCTAAATAATCTCTGATTAATATAATGCTTGAAATTAGAGCTAACAGAGAATTATTAGTAGATTAAAAGTAACATTTTATAATAATTATTTTTAGATTACCTTAATTATTTAATATTTTAATAATTATATGTTCATATATTAAATCTCTGTTACAAATTGTAGCATTGACTCTTGAATGTGCTTTCAATGGAACTGATTATATCGGTGAACTAGATTTTTACCTTTATAATTATTAAATGTATCTTATTTGGATGTAATAAATGGATGAATTCGTTACGCCTTATCTTAAAATTTTTGATATCATTTTACATGAACAAATACCTTCATATACATTTCCCCCATTTACACTACAATGGATTATGATGAAAATGTGGAATTAATGTATTTATCAAAAATGCAAACATTTCTTAAGATCCATTTTTCTTTAATGGCTTTAATAGGTTAGACTTAATCCATCTCTTAAATATGAGTAATATTTGTTAAAAGACTACATCTAATCTTTGATCGATCTTTCAACCAATCAATCCAATATTAGAATAGCTGGGCATTCTTAATTTACCTATATTAAAGATTTAGAGAACCTTTTTTAAGTTGTAATAAATTAGTCAGTTGATCTATAGAATTCAAAAAATTTTAAGTTTAAATCAGATATTAATGTTCTAGGTTATATTTTCTAAAAATACATTTTAGAAAATAATTTATTGCATAATCTTATAGAATAAAAATATGACACTTTTAAAGCCTCAATTGAAAAAATTAAATAAAGTTCAGAATTCTAAAAAATAATATCAAAATATGATGATGATAATTAGATTCTATCAGAGTAGACAGATTATTCATTTTAACTATTAAATATTAATAAAGTATTTTAAAAGGTGAAATAAATTATAAATAGTTAAGATATTTTATAACAAAATATAAGATTAACTATAAATTATTAAAAAAATACGCTTGATAAATTATAAATGTATTTAAGAGATTATCATTCAGATTTATATGATGAAATTTCTTATCTAGCAAATATTGATGTATCTTCAAACGAAAGTGTTTAAATTCGTGATGCTGTAATAATTCATCGAACAAAACCAGAAAATTATGACAATCTATTAGTTTCATATGATGCTGTAATTGATGGAGAGATCTTAAAATAATTGATAAATTAGAGATCATCAAATGAGTGTAAATTATCAAAATAAAAAATTGAATTTAAATAATTGTAGCCAAAATTGAAGGAGCAAAATGAAACATTTTTTTCGATTAACATTGTAAATGGATTAAATCTTGCTTAAAGTTTAACAGAACAATTTATAAGCTAATAATGATTATATATTAACATATTTTTTGTTTAGTTAAATATTAATTACAATACTAATATAATTATAATCAAAAATACATATATAAATTAATTAGATTCAAAATAATTCTTATAAAAATTAATCGATAGTGTTAAACATTTTATTTTATTGTACGAGATCACCTTCAAACTCTTTGTCTCCATTTAGTACTAGAATGGATGTATTTTAATGAGTTTCCCTCAATAGCCATTCTTCATGTCTATTATGTATTTATGTCAGATATTCTTTGGAAATTGTATTCTTTAAAATAATAAAAATGGCGGTAATACTTTTTCTTCATCTCTTGCTCTCTTTTACATTCTTTAATAGCAAACATCTGGATCTACTTGTAAATATATGATCATTTGCTTTTGAATTTTTTTTCCGAACACCTCATCACATAGCCAATCATAAAATTTCTCATATAAAGCAAATTCTAGATTATTTATCATCCCATTTTTGTGTCCATTAACTGCAAATATTTCTTTATCAGCCTCTATGCTTCTTTCGCTTAGAATAAGATGTCTATCTTCAGGATTTAATGGATCAGATAGAACCTCTTTCCAGTGTTTAAGCCTACTGTAAAAGGCATAAACTTGCATAGTATAAGCCCATCTTGATGGCTCTTCATAAAAAGAGCCTAATAAATTCAAAGTTGGATCTCCATTTATGCTTTACCATTCATTAACTGGTTCTGGAATAAATCTTAACTAAAAATTACTAAATATATTTACATCTGGATATTTTTACTACATTAATTTTAGTAAAGTACTTTTACCAGAACCAATGTTTCCTTCAATAGAAATTAGAGTATATTGTTTTGATTTCATAAAAATAAAATAATAATATTGGAGGGATTTTTGAAATATAAATAAGAAATTCATTTCTAATTCAAAATAGCGGTATATCAACATATTCTTTATTTTTTATTAATAATCTTATGATAGCTAAATCTTACTTTTAGAAATATTCAGCATTCAATACTGTAATCATTTATTGTTGTTTGATATTTAAATTAATCCACATTTAAATCATATAATACAACTAAATCAAAAATTGAATCAAGTAACATAACAGAATCTTAATTCTAATTATAACAAATTTGATTGATTATATAATATCTGTCTATAAATTATAGTAATCTATAGTGATTCCATATGATTATACCATAGTTCTTTTGTAAGTATCATTTTTTGATTTATAATAGTTTTATACTCTTTTATTTATTACATAATAGAAGTAAATTCTTAAATTCCTTCATATATGGTAACCATTTAATGAATGTTTTTTGTATTGAATATGCTAAAAAAAATTATTATAAATGTTTTACCAAATTAAATCGGATTATATTATCACTTTTTTTTGATACTCCAATATATAATAGATTTTCTTTCTGTTACAGTTTACTGTACTTATTAAACTTATTGGAATTTCATCGTTGCTTTAATAAACACACAAATAACAACAATTTTATTTTTATCTTTCATTTATCTATAATGCATTACATAGTAAATCATTCTATAATCTAAAATAATTATTAAAGGATTTCATCCTTATTGTATCATCACTAATATTTTAACTCCTTCTTCTTTGTCAAAAATTTAATAGTTTCATCAATTTATTATGCATACATTTTTTTGAACTTTTTTAATTCATTTTTTCCTTAAAAGCATCCATTTCAATAAATGAATCAAATTTCTATTTTATAAATTAAATTTAATATATATATTAATATTATATATTAAGTTCAAATAAGTTTTTAACCAAGTATAATTTATTTTTAATTAGTTGCTTTATTAACAATTAGAGCTAATAATTGCAACTAAGCATTTAATAACAAAGTCTTAATATTTAATACTAATTCTGATTAATCATACCCTTTTTATTATTCTAAAGAGAATATAAAATAGTTTACATAATGAAGTATTCTATTAAGAACTTGATGTACTTCCTCTATATCCATCAGCAAATAAACTTGATTTTCTAGGTTTGTGCTTTTTTTGCATTGTAGGTCTGCTTGTAGATGCTTTAGTATGTCTAACTTAGATTTTTTCAGATCCAATATTAGAATCTATTAATCCCAATCTAGCAGTTCTTCTATTATCATGTTATAATTCTGTTTTTAATTAAAAATCATATTCATTTGATGACAATGGAAATGAAATTTTTCCAAAATTATTTACAAAATCCATATAAATAGCATAAGCTTTTGCAAATTCTAAATAAGTAACCCACTCATTCATATCATCTTCTGTTTCTAGAGCAAATTAAACTTTTCTATAATTCTCAAAAACTTAATTCCCTCTACTCCATTACGAAGTAGTTATTGTCAAAGTAAAATATTATGAGTTAAATTCTCTCTCTATTAATTAGATGTGTTTTAAATATATAGTCAATATATGATCTGGATTATCATCCTCTTAGGAAACACTAATTTATAATAAATTAAATTACATTAAATATTCACTTGAAATAACACAAAATCTCCAATTCCATTATAAACCTTTCTCAGATCTTTTATTAATATATCCAGATTTAAGTAAGACATTTCTTCTATTTGAATCCAATAATTATTTAATCTTTTTTATTATTAATTATTTTTTTTCGAAAAGTGTCAATTTTGGCAATAATGTGCCTTCATCAACAATTACTGAATTTCTATTTTAAGCTTAAGTCCAATGGTATTGCATTCTTTAATATTCTTTATTATTATGATAGTCAAATGGTTGAGGAATTTTCTAAAGTGCCAATGCTACATTTTTATGAGCTTATCTTCTTTAGGCATAAGTCATTCTTTAATAAATAGTTTCTCTAAAAAATGAGTGTTAAAATCTATAATAAATATTTTCAACTTCCATATTCATTATATCTAATAAACCTTATTCATAAAGTGAATTTAATTCATTAATCAAAAGTTTTTACTTTATATAATCTTTGAAAGGATTTACATAACTTAATGTTTAAATATCAAAAATATCTCCTATTACACAAGCTTACTTCAAAATTAATTGTTGAATTGCAGTTAATTTATCTATATAAGGACCATTAATTTAAACAGCCATTAATGGTACATCAATGCCTAACCATTCTTCATGTTTAATTAAAGTGCGAAATTTTTTAGAAGCCATTCCTAAATTTCTTTGTTCATCAAGAATTATATAATGATTCTCCAATAAATGTTTCATTAAATAAATCAATTTTAATGGATGTCCACTAGTTATTACATAAAGATAGTTTATACAAAGTGAATTAAAATCCATCTCTTCTAATTCAGGCTTTGACTCCCAAAACATTAATGGATCTCTTATTTTTTTTAATAATTCTACCATTTCATATATATCATCTATAGATGATGTTCTTTTTTTTCTTGCAAACATGGTTTATTCTAAATTTTTTTAATCTTCTTCCATACAAACAAATGATTTTATCTTAAAATATTTTTCAAATAAATCTTATAATTAATCTGTCATTTTTAAACCTTTTAAATTTAAAATAAGATTATTTTTTTGCTACTTAATAATTTTATTTAGAAATTCAGATTAACATTCAGAATAATTGTTTTCAAAAAAGGAAAATTCCTTAAATTTATTCCTAAAACAACCTAACACTAATATATTTTTAAAATTTTTAAGTATAGATTTTAATAGATATAATGATCCATCATCAGTATCTTGCAAATCATCTATCATAATAATAAGAGCTTAAGAATAGTACTCTTATACTTGATCCTTATTTTCTATTTCATTTTGGATTTATTCTTATTCTAAATATAAGCTAATTAGTTTATAAACAAATTTTTTAATTGATTTTGCTAAAGTTAAATCTTCTCTAATTGTATTAGCCTTGATATCATTGACAGTAAGACTCAAAACTTAACTTATTAGATTTGCAACATGAGGATCACATTCATAAATAGATTATATTAAATCAATATTTGCATTCTTATTCACTTTTTATGCATAAGAAAGGAAAATATTTCTTAAAATAATTTTAATTGAATTTAATATTTTAGATCGACTAGAAGGATTTAATTAAGATATCAAAATCTCTAATAAGGTTTCTTTATTTTATAAGGTCTCAATATTTTTGAGTACTGTTTTTGCTAAAAATGATTTACCTATACCGAATTCTCCATTAATTAATATAAATCTATTTTAAACATATTTATTAGATTTAAATTCATCTAAAAAATTTTATATATAATTTTGCATTAAATTAATTTCTTTTTTTCGACCAACTGGTTAAAGTTCTTCATCATATTCTCTACAATGACTATGATATTTATCAAACACAATAATGGATGATAAATTATTGTGAAATTGTAATGATTTCGAAGAGTATAAAGAATTAAAATGACTTAAACTAACCATAGATTGAGTATTCATCATTCTAAATTCAAGATGAGTATTAATATCTTTGATTTTCTTAAAATCCTCTTACAAAGCTAATGGTTCATAAATGAACACTCCTTTTTCTTTTCCTTTAACTTTACGTTCACTCCAAAAAATAGATTAAATCTTAGTCTAAGCATCACTTGCAGTAATTTAATCAATTAAAATACAAGGTGAAAATGGTTATGTTGCTATTTACATTAATCTAGCAGCTAAATTTACACAATCTCCCAAGACTGAATATTCTCTTCTACTACCAGATGTACCAACTACTCCACAATATGCAACTCCAGTTGAAATTCCTATTGCAACTTTACATTTTATTTTTTTTAATTCAGATTCTAAAAGAAATGCTGATTAAATTGATCTCACTGGATCATTTTAATGACTAACAGGAGGTAATCCAAATACAGCTATACATGTTGAACCTTTATCATCCATTAATAATTTATTTAAAGAACCTTCAAATGTATATACACAATATTAAACTGTCTTTATTACATTTTAGATTCTCTATAAACCTGAATCTGTTTTTGCATCTGACAAATCTATTCCCAAATTTATAAACATTGTAGTTACTCTTCTTAATTCACTTCCCCATCTTTCTAATCCTATTTCTAAATATGGTTTAAGTGCAGCAGGAACAAACATTGTTAATTGTTACTAAATCTTAGGATTTAAAATTATAGAGTTTTTAATTAAAGTTGCCTCAGCTTTTAATTTAACTTTGCTGTATGCATTCAATTTCTTTACTAAATAAAATTACTTATTTTCATGATTAATTGCTTCAAATGTAAAATAATCCTTAACAAATTCATATACTTCCTTAGAAACTATTGTTTCTCCTCCTTTCTTTGCACAATGTTCACTTTAAAATGCTTACATTAATGGTTCCCCTGTAGCTAAATACTCAGATCGATTATATACTCCTCCTACATATATAATGTTTATATCTCCAATTCCAAATCCTATTTTTACTGATAACTTTAAATCTGGCAATATGCATGTATCATTTAATTTGTTTTAAATATCTAATGCATTTTGAAGTGCCATTCTGCAAGTCAAACGTAACTCTTCATGAATTTGTACAATATTCGTTTTGTAAGAAGGAGGCCATACAACTATCATGGCATCTAGAATTAATATATAATTTACCTCCTGCAAATTTTAAGATATCACCACCACTTTAACTTATTGCCTTTACCAATAATTCCATATATCTATTTATTACAAAGGCTGTTAATTCTGGGCCTTCATTTCCTATTTTTGAAAGACTCTCTGTCAAATTCGTAAATCCTGAAACATCTGTGAACATTACAACACTTTAAAATGATTATTTTGCAGGTAATTCCTTAATTCTCAACAATCAGATATTTTATACTATTCATGCTATGCAAAATACTAAACAACCAATGCAGGAACGTATCCCATTAAAGAAATTAGACTCTTTTTTGATAACATAGTTAATTAAATATATAATAATAAAATCATTATTCTTATTCAAAAGTTTAGTTCTATTTAACTAGAACTTATAAACTATTTTACATTAAGGTAGTTATGATCATACTACTTTAATTTTATTTTTATTCATTATCACTATCTTCAAGGGGATTTACTATATCATCATTATCACTTAATGGATCTATAGATTCTACAGCCTTTATTAATGTTTCACTTCCCTTTTCTACATCATTCAATGTATTATAATTTGTTTATTATTATTTTAACAATTTCAAATCATTCTCAATCACTTAATTTTGAATCATTTTTATAAAAGTATTTTCATTTTGTTTTAATTATTTTTGAGAATCTTATTCATTATCATTAAATCTTTAAATTTCATTGCTTTCTGTCATTTTTCCTATTGATTCTTTTATTTCTTCTCCTTGGGCAATTTTAAAAAATGCAGTTCCATTGAATTTAGATTTATCTTCATCTTATGTTTAAGATACTTCTTTATTCTAATTTTTTTCAATTAAAAAGTTTCCAGAATCCTTTGAAAAGTTTTAAACTACTTCTTCAACTACTTCAACTTAAGCTAAGTTTTTAGGAGGTTCTATAATAATTTATTTATCAACATCTATAATTTTAATTTGAATTTGTGATGTATTTTATCTCTTTGAGAAATTATTCTAAACTTTAAGATTTGATTTAGATTTCTATTATTCAACTTGGGTAATATTGATTGAAGTAATTTTTTTAAAATTTGGTTTGTTTAAATTTTTAGATTAGTTTTATTATTAATTATCCCTAATTCCAACACTTTTGCTTTTTAATTGTTCTGGAGATTATGAAACAAATGAAATACTTTGATCATTGTAATTTTATTTTGGTTTAGTTAATATTAATTAAACTTCTTTTTGATATTTCTTATATTAGTAAGCTGATTTTTATTATGAACTTCTGACAGATGGAAGTTATGTTGTTTTTCCAGATCTTAACTGTAATAATTTTTAAGGCTATGAATCTCTTTAACTTTTGATTTATTCTATAGGTTTATCTTATATTGTTTTTTTATTAATATTATCTTGAACTGATTGATATTATTCGAAATAAAAATTATGATGGTTTGTTTCATCCAATTAAAGGTTATTAGTTTTTTCAAGAGTTTTAGATGGATTAATATTATTTGATTTAGGAGAGTTATGAGATTTTTATGTTACATCTCTTCCTCTACCTGATTTAGTTAGATTCACGTTAACATCATTTTTCTTGATCTAAGGTAATTTAGAAAAGTTCTTTTAAGTTTTTACATTTTCAACTTCCTTTTTATTTGGTATAGAATTTCCACGTAATTATCTACTAAGTTATTCAGTTGCCTAACTTATCTTACTTAATTCATTTTGTTATTTTGCTATTTGATTATCATTTTTTTCTTATGGAAAATATGTATTTACTAACTGCTAAACATTTTATACTGTTGTAATTAAAGAATCAAGAAATGTTACAAAATGTTCTTTTGACAAGGATCTTGATTCTTTGGGATCATTTTGACTGATGGATACTTTAGAAGTAGTTTAATGTTTGGGTGAACTGATTAAATTTTATACTTAAACTTCGTTTTATTGATTCTAAACTTTATTAATTAATCTTTACTATAGTTTATTCAAAAGACTTTGATTATTAATGAGCTAAATTTCTTGAACTTATTTTGTCTTGTTTCATTTTGATCATTTGCTATCTCATTTGCATATTAAAAAAGTATTATTCTAAATGACTATCCTATTCTGCTCTATAATCAAGCACCTTTCCTCTTTTTGCAGCATATACACCATCTAATAAAAAGGGAGGCTTGATTTTTTACTTTAGTTGTTGCATAAAATTTTTATAAATGAATTATGCTAATCCATTTTCATTGTCATTTCATGGAAGTTATCCTAATCCTAAAGAAAATCCAAGCATTTTAACCAGCTTTCTTTCTCAAAATTAATCAATCAGATCAGCTTAATCAATACCTACTAAGTTGAGTTTCATATCACAATAATAGTTTAAGAAAAAAGATCTTATATCTCCAAGATCTAAGATTGTTACTTTACATGAAGATAGAAAGTTTGAAAAAAGAAATATAGAAAGAGTTAAATATGTTTCAGAACACTCTACAACACCTTATTTATTCATTTCAAAAAAACATCCTTAAATTCACATTCCTATGTTTCCTAAACTTTCACCTGAACCTAAAATATAAGTTCATAGAATGCCTTATATCAATATTATGACAGAGCCAACAGCTACAATTGAAGAACATAGTGATGAAGGTAGAAGTAATTATGAAAAAAGTCTTGATGATGATAAGTAATTAATTTTCAATTAGTCAAATAATTTACTTTAAGCATCTCTAATTTCCAACAATTAAGAAGAATCATTATCCCCTAACAAACTTTCTCTTAAATCCCGCTTTAAATTGGCAGTCTAAAAATCTTTTCGCTAACCTCCTAGAAAAGTATTATCTTATATAATTAGTCTATTTTTACTCTACTTATTTCTCATGAATTTAATACACATACTGAAAATGAGAGAAAATCCATTCATAAAAAATTTGAACCAGGCAATTCTATTTTAGCTTCCAAAATTACTTTTATCAAAAAATATTAATCCAAATAATCATGTATCTCTTATAGGGATATTAAGAATCAATCCAATTTTCATAATGTTGAATAATTTAATATCTCCTCTTAAGCATTTTAAAGGAAAATTAGTTTAATTCATAATACAAATTCTAGAAATTTAATTCAAAATGAATCTTTTTCTTTACTACCAAAATCTTCTAGAAAATCTGCAATCATTTCAAAATTTTAAAGTAATTTTTTAATTGGAATTACTGATAAAAAAAATGAAAAACTCTAATTTTAAGAAGGAGATGAAAAATAATCATAGAATGATTAAATACACTTTTAAAGAGTTTAAATTAATATAACAGTTACATTTGATAATGTTGATAAAACTGTTTATTAATTCAATAAACCTAAACATATTTATGAATAAAATAATATCATAAATGAAGATTAATCATAACTTAAAAATTTATCATCGAAATTAACCCAAAAAATTGTTCCTAATACTTTACAACCACAAACAAATTAAATTTAACTTGTATCAACTAAAAAATTAGATTTTAATTCTTCTTTTATTGATTAAAAAACTAAAAGATAATCTAGATTATCTATATAATATGGAGGAGCACAAGAAGAAGTATTAAAATTTGATTCGAAAAATTAATTTAATAAAGTAATTGTTTTAATATTTTTAAAGTCTGGCTTATTTTTTAGGGTTTATTATCAAAATAAATTATACAAATTGACACAAAAATCTAATTATACTAAAGAAAATTTATAAGAAATAGAATAAAGTTTCAGACCTAATTTTTGTTCTGTTAATAGTAATACAATAATGAATAATGTATATACAATAATGTCAACTACAGAATATGGAATAAGATAAAGAAAAGTTACAAATGAATCCATAACAGATAAAATTCAATTTTTAGGAATTAAATTATCAAAATATTAGATAGAATTTGAGAGACAGATTTTTAATTATAATGATGAAACATCTTTGGATGATTCAGATTTTAGTGAAGATTCAGAATCAGATGTATCCTTAGATAAATTTTTAGAAAGTCCATTAAATCTAAATAGTATTAATTACTATAAATTATAGCTAGAACCATTAGATAAAAAGAAAAAGACATCTAAAGGATTAAAAACTCTTTTAGAAACTTCATAATAGTAATAAAATTAAAATCAATTTATGAATGATTAACCTACAGATTAAAAATGTAAATTTTAATTTATATGATAGAATTATCAACTGGAACATTAGTTTTAATCAAGAAAATTCGCAAAGCCTTTAAAATATCATTATTTATTTAACCAATTATAAGTCTCTTAGAATCTTCAACAAAAAATCAGTTGCTTACATATTCTATTTTATTTTGTAATGAATTTGAAATGGAATAAATAAAGGATAAATATCAAATTGCTTTTTAAGAATTAAATAAATTTTAAGGAAATCCGAAATTAAATTCTATGATATTTTCAGCTATTGAAATGAGATATTCTTAAATTTTAATTGGGAGATATATCAATTAAACTAGAATTATTGATGTTGAACATTAAGATCCTGTTATTTAAACAACAATTCTAGAAAAATAAGATTCATAATAAACTTATCAAATGCCATAATAATTAACGTAAATAAAGAATTAAAACAAATATAATCATAAAGAAGATTCATTTAATAAAAAAGTCTAAACAGTAACAAAGAGTAAATAATAATCTTAAAGATATCTTACTAAATAAGATTCTCTTTAAGTTAATTTACCTTAATAATGGAATAAAAGAGCTATGTAATCTGGAGAGTTATCAAATACAATACAATAGTCAAATTAATAAAATTCAAATTTGTTTACTCAAACATCTACTGTTTTAATAACTAAACCTACTTAAACATCTTAGCAATCTGTATTTAGAGTTGTGAGTTCAAAACATATTGATTTAAATAGTTCATAGTAAGATATGAGTTCTTCATTTCATTCTTCATAAAATGAGGAGACTCCATAATCTGGTTAGATTTAAAAAACTTAATAGACATAAATATAGTAGCAATAAATATTATAATAATAACCTTAGGATTAGATAAACTCTGTAAGAAAATTATATAGTCAGAATGAGGATTCTTATTAAAATGAAAATGAGTAATACAATTTTCATCCTATAAAAAATAATATGGTATTTAATTTGTATAAGATCAGAATTTTTTAAGTATGTACAAGAATTCATTAAGAATGAGAACACACATTAAGGAATCTTCAAGAAGATAAAAATTAGATTAAATTTAATAAATCAAATTTTCTATTTATGATCATAATTATACAGAAGTACGTTTATTATTAGATTGATAAATAGTTTATTGATAATATCCAAATGATTCCAGAAATGAAATTAGATACAACTTTTTAAAATGGAAATACTTTTCTTATTATAGCAGCTTAATGTGGATGCATTGAAATTGTTCATGAGCTAATAAAGAGAGGTTCAGATCTTAATATATAAAATGTAAAGTATTACTAAAGAAGGATGATGGCAATACAGCAGTACATTTAGCATTGGCATATGGACATTATAAGATTGCAGATATGTTAATGGAAGCCGGAGGAAGTACTCATATTTTCAACAAAAAAGGATAAAATGCCTGGGGTTTGTTATGATACTTAATATTATTTATTTATATAAATAATTTAATATAACAATGGATCAAGATTCTAAGAAACCTAAATTAATCAACAATTATTAGTATATCTCTATGTTTTATAATAGAAAAAACAATCAAAAAGGCAAAAAATTATAAGCATAAAATTTAAGTTCTCTAAAATATGTTCTCTAAGAACTATAAAAAATAAAGAAAACTCCAAGTACATCTTTACATACTACTGCGAGTAAAAGAAATTAACAATCAAAATAAAAAGATAATATTTAGGTTTAAACGCCTTAAACTAGTTGTCGTTCTAGATTATAATTAACGAAAAGAAACCAATGGATTGAACTAATTAATCAAAAATCATAATAAAATCTCCAGTCTGATTAAATTGCAATCACCGAATATCGGTATTAATAAAATTGAACTTAGAACGAAAGTATAAATGGATTATTTCTTCTAAAATGATTGGAAATAGCCATATTATAAATATGAAAAAATAAAATAAATAAACTAAAAAGTAAATTAATATTAGCCTATCGATGATATTGATTCATGGAAACAATTGGTTAATTAAAGATTATATAAAAGAATATCATGATTTAGTTAAAACAATTTTTAATATATCACTAATCTATTATATCTTTAAAATATTAGTGTTGCAAAGCTTAATTAGCAGTAAGTCTTTATTCTGGTATATATTTCAGTAATTTTCTAATTATAATTAATGTATAAAAATACTTGAGTAAGTCTACAAAATTTGCTTAATCATCTACATTATAAAATCTCTTATTTAAATTGATTGCTTTATATTCAGGAAACTCATGAAATAAATTGATATCAAATGGAACAACTTTCTCAAAATATTTTAGATCTTCTTCAGAAAAAGATCCCATAATTTTTAGAATCTAAAATAATTGATCTCCTTCTGATTTTCCAATGAAAAAGGGTTCCAATAATGCTAATTCAGCCATAATACAACCAAATGCCCAAATATCAATAGATTCAGTATAATTGGTAACACCCAACAATAATTCAGGCGCTCTATAAAATCTTGAAACAATATAAGGAGTATTCATAGTTGTTCCAGTTATTTCTTTAGCACTTCCAAAATCGCACAACTTTAGAATTCCATCCTGAATCAAAATATTTTCTCTATTTCTTTACAATCAATAATTTACGGTTTTAAATCTCTATGTGCAATACATTTTCTGTGAATCTAATCTAGACCTTTTAATATCTAATAGAGATAGTTTTTGAGAGTTTTAGAATCGAAATAATCTTTTCTTTTTTTATGATCTATAATAATGTTTTCTAAATTTTGATCCATAAATTCTAGTATGATATTTTATACCATTTTATTGTCTTCACTTCTGCTATAGAAAACATCCTTATTATTTTATATTATATACTAGCAATTTAATAACATTAGGACAAGCTTTTAGTTATATTAATATATCACATTCTCTGCTTGAAATTTTGCCAACTTTTTACATTCTTTTTAAGGCTACTTTTTAGTGACTTTTTGTATCAAAAGCTTCGAAAACATATCCTTTGAATTAATAGCAACACAATACCAAAAGCTCCAGAACCTATAACCCTAAGGATTTCATAATTAGGTATACTAACATGCTTTTCCATTTTAGAAATTAGTTATTTTACTAACTTAAAATAAAAGTTAAGAATTCATTAAATAAATAGGTTTCAATAATTATCTAATTTTAATTTGATTTTTTGATTGACATCTTATAGATAAATGATCTTAAAATCTCAAAATAGTAAAATATTGAATCTGAAAACTAAATAAAATAGAACCAAATTTACTTTATTACATTTAGAAGTCTTATCTATTGAGTCTTAAATTAATGATCATTAGCTATTACATTGATTAATAATATATATACCAAAAACTAATACTATCTATTTGATTAGGTATTATAAAATAAAGATGATTTAAATAAAAAGACAATAAAATTGAAATCAAATATAAATTCTTCCCTTAGTATCTAATTATAATATAAATAAAAATAAATAAAATGTCAAGATAGGCTCCATCCTCTGCTTAAAAAGTTGATCCTAAAAAAGCACTTCCTCCTCCTCCTCCTTAAAAAGGACCAAAACCTTTTAATGCTGAAGATTATGCAAAACCACCTCATCTAACAAAAGAGGAAGTTTTGGAAGTAAAACAAGCATTTGATATTTTTGATAATGATGGATCTGGATCAATCGACCCNTACAACCAAATGCCCAAATATCAATAGATTCAGTATAATTGGTAACACCCAACAATAATTCAGGCGCTCTATAAAATCTTGAAACAATATAAGGAGTATTCATAGTTGTTCCAGTTATTTCTTTAGCACTTCCAAAATCGCACAACTTTAGAATTCCATCCTGAATCAAAATATTTTCTCTATTTCTTTACAATCAATAATTTACGGTTTTAAATCTCTATGTGCAATACATTTTCTGTGAATCTAATCTAGACCTTTTAATATCTAATAGAGATAGTTTTTGAGAGTTTTAGAATCGAAATAATCTTTTCTTTTTTTATGATCTATAATAATGTTTTCTAAATTTTGATCCATAAATTCTAGTATGATATTTTATACCATTTTATTGTCTTCACTTCTGCTATAGAAAACATCCTTATTATTTTATATTATATACTAGCAATTTAATAACATTAGGACAAGCTTTTAGTTATATTAATATATCACATTCTCTGCTTGAAATTTTGCCAACTTTTTACATTCTTTTTAAGGCTACTTTTTAGTGACTTTTTGTATCAAAAGCTTCGAAAACATATCCTTTGAATTAATAGCAACACAATACCAAAAGCTCCAGAACCTATAACCCTAAGGATTTCATAATTAGGTATACTAACATGCTTTTCCATTTTAGAAATTAGTTATTTTACTAACTTAAAATAAAAGTTAAGAATTCATTAAATAAATAGGTTTCAATAATTATCTAATTTTAATTTGATTTTTTGATTGACATCTTATAGATAAATGATCTTAAAATCTCAAAATAGTAAAATATTGAATCTGAAAACTAAATAAAATAGAACCAAATTTACTTTATTACATTTAGAAGTCTTATCTATTGAGTCTTAAATTAATGATCATTAGCTATTACATTGATTAATAATATATATACCAAAAACTAATACTATCTATTTGATTAGGTATTATAAAATAAAGATGATTTAAATAAAAAGACAATAAAATTGAAATCAAATATAAATTCTTCCCTTAGTATCTAATTATAATATAAATAAAAATAAATAAAATGTCAAGATAGGCTCCATCCTCTGCTTAAAAAGTTGATCCTAAAAAAGCACTTCCTCCTCCTCCTCCTTAAAAAGGACCAAAACCTTTTAATGCTGAAGATTATGCAAAACCACCTCATCTAACAAAAGAGGAAGTTTTGGAAGTAAAACAAGCATTTGATATTTTTGATAATGATGGATCTGGATCAATCGACCCATAAGAATTAAGAGAAGCATTTGAAGCTTCAGGAATCAAAACTTACCACAATAAATTTATTTATTAAGTATTGGGAGAATTAGATACTGATAATAGTGGAGGAATTGATTTTGAAGAATTTTTACATTTAGCTACAGCAAAAGTTAGTGATAAAGATACTAGAGAGCAAATTCAAAAAGTCTTTAATTTATATGATTGGAATAAGGAAGGTAGTAATTATTAATTAATTTAGGCCGTATCACATGGGATGAATTAAAAAGAGTAGCATAAGATTTAGGAGAAGAAATGACTGATGAAGAGATCTAACATATGTTCAAAAAGGCTGATTTAGATGATGATGGTTTTGTTACTTTTGATGATTTTTACAATCTTATGACCCAAAAAGAATACGGAAAATAATGATATCAGAAAATGATAAACATATAAATAAAAAGTATATATTACATATTAATCATATATTTGAAAACGACTAGTATCTTTCTATGTACATTTTCATTATCTCATATTTTAACATTGTTTTTCTTTATAAATTTCTCTAACGGAGATATTTATCTAAGATGATATTGTAAGTATTATGTTCCATACATAATCTTTATTTAATATTAATATATATTAATTAACAAAATTTAGAAATATGTTAGGGAACAATGCAACTGAAAAAAAGGTAATAGAGTTAAAAGAAGTATCTCTAAACCAAGAATAGATTAGATCAATTTTAAAACAATAATAAAAAGATTTTCGATAATAGAGTATTGAGAAAAGGAAGTCTTTGATATTATAAAGAATCTAAGATATCAAAAAAGACAGATTACTAAAATCTGATGGAACAGTGCATCATTCAGAGGATTTCAGAAAAGCCAATAAAGCTTTAGAATATTTTTAGCCTGAATTACCTATACTTAAATTTCCTGTAATAATTTCCACTTATACTAGGAAGATACTGTTTTAAATACTTATGATAATACTAAAAGATGGTTGAAAGAATTCGATTTTCCTAATAAAAAATAATACTGGAAAGAGTTTAAAAGAAAAAACTTTAAACATTATCCTGGAAATCCATTTAGTTATGCACCTGGAGTTCCTTAATATTTTGAGGAATTCAAAGCTTATCATCATATTGAGCATGAAGAAACCTAAGTTGAAAAATATCAACGACTTTAATAGTACAATATATTATATCATGCAGGAAAAAAGTATTATATGTATAACCAACAAAAGTAGTTGGAGGTGAATTTAGTAGACCAATGTTCGATAGAACTCATGTTCATGTTGAATTAAACCCAATTCATTAAGTTTAATATTTACCTAATCCTGTAACAGCAGATTCAACTGATTATAGATAATTAAGCAGATAATCAATAAAATCAAAGTTGAATGATATTTAAAGAGTGAAACCATTTACTTCGTGTAGTACTAGAAGTTAGATATTCTAATAAAAATACAAACCAATGAATGCAGAGAGTAATTTGTAAACAGCAAAAACAGCTAAAAAATCAGATGATGATGATTTTGATTTTTGATAAATATGTATTTATAGNGAGCAAATTCAAAAAGTCTTTAATTTATATGATTGGAATAAGGAAGGTAGTAATTATTAATTAATTTAGGCCGTATCACATGGGATGAATTAAAAAGAGTAGCATAAGATTTAGGAGAAGAAATGACTGATGAAGAGATCTAACATATGTTCAAAAAGGCTGATTTAGATGATGATGGTTTTGTTACTTTTGATGATTTTTACAATCTTATGACCCAAAAAGAATACGGAAAATAATGATATCAGAAAATGATAAACATATAAATAAAAAGTATATATTACATATTAATCATATATTTGAAAACGACTAGTATCTTTCTATGTACATTTTCATTATCTCATATTTTAACATTGTTTTTCTTTATAAATTTCTCTAACGGAGATATTTATCTAAGATGATATTGTAAGTATTATGTTCCATACATAATCTTTATTTAATATTAATATATATTAATTAACAAAATTTAGAAATATGTTAGGGAACAATGCAACTGAAAAAAAGGTAATAGAGTTAAAAGAAGTATCTCTAAACCAAGAATAGATTAGATCAATTTTAAAACAATAATAAAAAGATTTTCGATAATAGAGTATTGAGAAAAGGAAGTCTTTGATATTATAAAGAATCTAAGATATCAAAAAAGACAGATTACTAAAATCTGATGGAACAGTGCATCATTCAGAGGATTTCAGAAAAGCCAATAAAGCTTTAGAATATTTTTAGCCTGAATTACCTATACTTAAATTTCCTGTAATAATTTCCACTTATACTAGGAAGATACTGTTTTAAATACTTATGATAATACTAAAAGATGGTTGAAAGAATTCGATTTTCCTAATAAAAAATAATACTGGAAAGAGTTTAAAAGAAAAAACTTTAAACATTATCCTGGAAATCCATTTAGTTATGCACCTGGAGTTCCTTAATATTTTGAGGAATTCAAAGCTTATCATCATATTGAGCATGAAGAAACCTAAGTTGAAAAATATCAACGACTTTAATAGTACAATATATTATATCATGCAGGAAAAAAGTATTATATGTATAACCAACAAAAGTAGTTGGAGGTGAATTTAGTAGACCAATGTTCGATAGAACTCATGTTCATGTTGAATTAAACCCAATTCATTAAGTTTAATATTTACCTAATCCTGTAACAGCAGATTCAACTGATTATAGATAATTAAGCAGATAATCAATAAAATCAAAGTTGAATGATATTTAAAGAGTGAAACCATTTACTTCGTGTAGTACTAGAAGTTAGATATTCTAATAAAAATACAAACCAATGAATGCAGAGAGTAATTTGTAAACAGCAAAAACAGCTAAAAAATCAGATGATGATGATTTTGATTTTTGATAAATATGTATTTATAGATATAATCTCAAATATAGAGACCCTCTGGAATATTTCCTTTTTTTAAATATAATATTTTTTCTTTAGCTTTTCTAAAATCTTCTTGTGTAATTTTCATTCTTCTTTCTCTAAGTGCTAATAAACCTGCTTCTGTACACATAGCTTTAATATCAGCTCCAGATAATTCATCTTTTGCATTAATAAATTCATCTAAATTTGCATCCTAGATTAAAAATGAAATAAAAAACCTCTCCTAGATTCATTTTACTAGTGTGAATTTAAAAGATTTTCTTTTTATTTTTGACATCAGGTAATGGGAATTCTATTTTTCTATCAATACGTCCAGGTCTAATTAAAGCTGGATCAAGTGATTCAATTTTATTAGTTGCAAGAATTACTTTAACATCTGCTCTTGAATCAAAACCATCTAATTAATTTAATAATTCAAGCATAGTTCTTTAAATTTCTTTTTCACCTCCAGAATGTGAATCATATCTTTTAGTACCAACAGCATCAATTTCATCAATAAAAACTATACTAGGAGCATGCTCTTCAGCTACTCTAAATAATTCTCTAACTAATTTAGGACCATCTCCTTAATATTTTTATATTAATTCTGATCCTACTACTCTTAAAAATGTTGCTGATGTTTCATTTGCTACTGCTTTAGCCAATAATGTTTTTCCTGTTCCTGGTTCTCCATATAAAATAACTCCTTTTGGAGGTTTTATTCCCATATCTTCATAGATTTCAGGATGAGTTAATGGAAGTTCAACAGCTTCTTTAATTTCTTAAATCTATTATTCTAAACCTCCTATATCTGCATATGATTCAAGTGGAGCTTTATCAACTTTCATTACATTAAGAAGTGGATCAATTTCATCTTGCATTATACCAACAACTGCATATGCTAATTTTTGAATAAATTAAAATATTTACATCTTTAATTCAATAGAACAGAACAACCTGGCTCTAATTAATCTTTATCAACAAAACTCATAATTCCTGAATAACTTTCTGGACCAACTGAAGATGAAACTATAGCATGATTTTCATTAACAAATTCTTCTAATGTTCCAACACTTTCAAATTAATTAATTTTTTTACATCATTGGTGTTCCTCTTAATTATTCTATCTTTTTCTACTCTTCTGATTCAGCTTAATCTTATTCTTTTAATGGTTTTAATCTTTATTAATTTTCAATAAATTCTTATTCTAAAAGTAAATAGTCTTTTATTCTCTCATTTTTTAATAGCTTTAATCTACATTTAGCTATTGGTGTTGCTATACTAATATTATATTAAAATACCTGCTGGTAATTTTGATGCTTATTCAACTCCTTTTCTAAGCTTCTTTCTTCCAACTCTTTAAGGAGGAGGAGGAGGTTTTTTTTATTAATCCTTGTTTTAATTGTTATTATTATCTTAATTATTTCCTCTTCCTTAATTTGGATTGAATGGATTAAATCCTTACGAACCTTGATTTCCCATTTTTATATTTTTTAATTTAAATTATACACCAGTATTGATAATTTTATTCAAATAAATACTAATTTATATTTCATTTCCAAAATTAATATATGAATGTATTCTAATGAGTATAAGAACACTTTCAAATAATATGATTATATTTTAATTAATGTGATTAGTATTTAAAATAATAAAAATATCAAAAAAATTATAAAATTTGGTTAATGCAAAACTATGAAATTGGAATTCCTATTATTGTTGAAGCATCTATTGGATTCGCTTCTTCTCTATTCTTTATACTCGACATCTCAATTCACTATAATTTAAAACTTTATCAATTGGAATTGGGAATATTATATACCAATATGATATAATCTATTAGTAAAAAAATGATAATTATTTAAGTCACAATACTATTAATTCTTGACTTAAACAATTAACTGTGCATTTGGACTTTATTTTTCGAGTAATGCTTGACTCTTTCAAGCTATCTTTGGGCCATATTGATTCTACAAAAAAGTTGTTTACTGACAAGATACCCAATTTAAATTGCACTAGAATATCTAAAAACTAATTAATTTATAGTATTAATTATTAAATCCAGCTCTAAGCTATAATTGCATTTGGATTACCAATAATTGCTTCATCATTAATTTTTGTTAAATTAAATATTTGTCAACTTGAAACCATCACTTAAGTTTCAAGTAAATTATTTTGGGCAATACAATCGATTTTAACTTTAATATTAATTGGAATAATAACTTATCATATTATAAGAGTGCATTTATATTGCAAATTTGTAAATAATATAAATTAAATTTAGGCCAAATTTTACTTAGAAATTTTATACTGCCCTTTAATCTTCATCTTTTCATTGCCATGGATTGTATATACAATATTCAATTATGAATTAGATGGTTCTAATGATTTGATAACGCTTTAAGGTAATAATTGCAATATTAGTAAAGGTTTATTTCTTTTAAAAAATTCATAAATATTTTTAAGTACTTTTATTTTTGGATAAAATTCAACCTTTTAGGTTGCATACCTTGAAAATGCATGTCCAATATTAAGAAAGACATATTTAGCAAAATATGATTTTGAAGGAAAGTATGAAATAATATAATAAAATTTAGAAAAAATAATTCAGAATCTTTAAATATTGAAATTTGTAATAATATATGTTCATAATTATTGATAAAATGATTATAAATTTGTAATTTATTAAATAAAATAATTAATGGATTTTATTCAAAGTATATTATCATTAATTGGTAATATTGGGATAGTGGCATTAATGTTAACAATTGCAATTTTAGGATTGCTGTACTGGCAACAAAACTCATTAATATATTTACCATGTTTAAATTTGTTACTAATTTTTAAAGCTTGTTAAGGATTACCCTAAAGTCCTAGTTAAAATATGAACGGACTCAGGAATCCATCTGATAGAAATTTATAATACTAAGATGTAGAGATTGGAACCCTTGATAGATAAAAATTGAAAGGATGGTTGATAAAATAATAGAATAGTCATAATGTCCCTACTGTAATTTTCTTACATGAAAATGCTGGAAGTATTTCAACAATTAATATTTCTTATAGATATTGGTACTAGATTGTAGTTTTTAGAATAATATTTTACTCATGTGAAATGCAACATATTGATTGTTGCTTATAGAGGATATTCAGATAGTACAGGAAAACCTTCAGAATAGGGACTTAAATTAGATGGAGAATCTATTGTTAATTATTTATTTCACAGAGATGATATAGATCCTACAAAAATATTTGTACATGGTAAATCTTTGGGTGGTGCTGTTGCTATTCATGCAATGACTTAAAATATTGCAAGAGGAGTTAGAGGTTTAATATTAGAAAATACTTTCACATCTATTGATGATATGGTGGATATCATTTTTCCTAAATTAAAACTATTTAAATCTTTTCTTCTAAAGAATCATTGGTTGTCTATTTAAAAAATTGGGTAAATTACATAACCAATATTTTTTATTTATTGTAAATTATTTTGATTTAATTTTTAAGCTATGAAAGATGAAATTGTACCAGTTTAACATATGGCTGCTTTATAAAGTTCAGCCTAAAGAGCAGAATTTATTGATAAAGTATTTAAATTTATTATTAATAAGTTTGTAATTGAGGATGGAGATCATAATACTAATTGGTCTAGAGAACCTGAAAAATACTTTAATTCAATTTAAAATTTTATCAATAAAGTTATTACATGATTATTATTATATAAATATATATATAAATTAAATGTAACAAAAATATTGCGATGAATGTGAAGAAACTAGAGCTAAGATAAATTGTAATTAATGTGGTCAAATTCTATGTGAGTTATGTGATAAGAAAATCCATAATAAAGGAAAAAGAGTTTATCATTCTAGAGAATTAATTGATACATCTGATTCAATTGAATCTAATAAAATTAAATAAGATGCTCATGTTATTCGACATGAACAACATAAAGAAAGGTTCAAATAAATAAATAGTAATCTACCATCTGTTGATGTAGTTAATTTCAATCTTATTAATATCTAAACAGAAACACCTATGATTTTTTAAAATGAGTATTTAATCCTTTTTATCAAAGTCCAAATTTAGCCAAAATTGAGCATCATTTATTCAAATAAGCAAATAAAGGAGACCTTATGATTCATTTAAATGATTTTTAGAAATTTTTAAAATAGAATGAAATCTATAAAATTAATCAGTAAGAATCAATTAACATTTAGATCAAAAGATATCATATAATAATTAGAGAAATTGAAAATGATTAATGTTACTATAAGGAAATTTGGTGATAGTGATCCAATCTAATTTATTAGCCTTCAGTTAGATCACATTAGTTTATAATCATTATATTGGGTTTTATTAAATATTAGAAAAGATGAAATGACTCCAACTGATAAATTAGTAATGAGTAGAATTAAGGAATGTTATGGTTTAAAAATTAATATATAAGATTGGAATCATTATTTAGCTGGATTTTATAAGTTATAAGATTCTAATGGATTAATTTAATTTAATGTAAAAAAATATAAATAGAATAAATGGATAGATGAAAAATGCATAATTAAAATGACTAAGTGTCCTATAGATTTAGTGAATAAATCCGAAAACAACAATGCATCTCTATCAGCTTCTCAATAAATAAATAATGAATCATTGCTATTATTTACAATTGAAGATAATATTAGTTGGAAAATGATGGATGCTTAATAAATGAATTCTATTTATAAGACTTAATGGAGATCATTTATTTAATTTTTAAAAGACTTTTTTGATACAAATCTTACTTTAAATACAAGTTAAAATACTTAATCATTTGGAGATTTAAATTAATCTGATTATAAATCATAAACTTCCAAACAAAGTGGAACATAATCTGTACCAACTTAAAAAAACTAAGATAATTCTAAATGGATAAGAAGTGTTGAATCAGGATTACAAAATGTTTAAAAAAGTATGGAACAATATCATAATTAAAGTTATTCTTCAAATATTACACAAAAGTATTTTTAATTAATTTAATGTATAGAAAAAGAAGTAAAAAGAGTTAAATAAAACCTCCAAAATCAATATAAAAAGCAATACCTGGAGGTAAATATGGTTGTGCATAACTATTGAAATGTTGTGGTCCTTTAGAATTGAGAGTGTGTTCTATGGGAGTTTTATGTTTAATGATATAGGAAGCTATTAATAGAAATGTTCTTATTTATTATAAAACACTATTAATCAAACCAAATACTAATATTGCTTTTGATTTTAATGACTTCTTAAATATTTTTGATGAACAATAAGATTAATTCATTTTATAAAATCTATTAGGAAACGAAGAGAATTAATAGCTTTCTATTGATAAATAATAGGAATAAAATGAAAAATAGAATAAATTAAAGGCAGTTCAATAAGCAATTATTGATATACTGAATGAATACACTAAAGGTATTAGTTTAGCAAGATTACCAAAAATGATTTAACGTAAAATTTAATTTACTTTTGATTTACATGAATTAGGATTCACTAAATTAAAATGCCTAATCCAAGGAATTGATGGAATCAGTATAATAAACGATGGAACTACTTATGCATCACTTATCTTAGATGAATATTATGATGATGATACGAATGACATCAAGTAAGAATAAGAAGATGATCAATAAATTTAATAAGTTAAAATTGATCTTAATTATTTCTAAAAACAATCTTAATAATAATAATCCTAATAATAAAATTCTTAGCAATAATAAACATAATAGTAATCATAATAATAGTAGCATTAACTATAATTTTTATCTCCGATTCATGCATCTGAATATTAATTAAAAATTGAAGTAATTATAAAATCTATTTAAAGTAAGCCTTAAAACAAATACTAAACTAGTATAGTAATGGAATCCCAGCTTTTTAATTATTATAAATTCTTTAATTACATATCCAAAATACATTTGAGTTCACATAATTTGGTTGTTCTACTTTTGAGGAATATATGGTAAAGTATGCTGAGAATTACTGTGATGTAATGATTAAAATGAAAGGGTGTATAATATATCCAAAAGGATATTCTTCTTTCAGATCATCTATGCCATAATAAAAAATGCAACTTGGAATTCATCATCAGAAATCCTAATCAACTACACTACCGAGTCATGCTTAATAATAAAGCAATAGTAGTAGCTAAATAATTAAAGCAGATAGTAATTTTTTATAATAATTTAGGCTTTTTAGCTGGTATGTAAAATCCTAGTCAAATGATTGGAGATGTATAATCTTAATCACTAACATTTTAGTCATTTCAAACCAATCCTTAAAATAAAGATTTTTTTATGATTCAAGAAGAAAATAGTCATCATGAACTTGATGCTAATGTTAGATTTATTGAAGAACTATTAAAAGAGTCAGATGATGTTGAATAAAAGAAACATAAAGTTTAGAGAAGTCATTAAACTCATCAAGATAGTAAATAATTTTAGAGTTTGGGATAATGGCCAATATTAAATTCAAATGAAAAGAGATGTCATAATAAATATAATACTTATTAATATAGTCCTTAATAGGATTTCTACTAGGGTTAAAAAGTTTCATTAGATCTCCATAGTTGGGATCAAGATAACTGATTATGTATATATATTATAATCAATTAATAAATATACAAGAAAATATAATTAAGACGATAATAAATATTAATTAAATTAATAGAAGCTTAGGATGATCATTTGATTCTTCAAATATCATCTTAAAATGGTCTATTATTTTTTCCAATTTTTATTTTTTTTTTAAATTGCTGAAATTTTATTTAATATTTATAATCATTTGAAATTAAATGCATGAATGGTAAACAATAAGATAATAATCATTAAATTATCTAAATTAGATTCTTATTAATTTTCAAAAAATGCTTAATTTATAATTAATTTATTATTATATTATAGTAATTTTTGTTAAATTCTTATTCAATTGAATCCAACTTATTATTTTTATTAAAAATCTTCTTTATCGTATAACCTAAATAATAAACAGATGTGTAAATGTGAATAGATAATTATTCATTATTAAAATTCAACATATTATTGCCATAAACTAGACTATTGAAATTTCATTTTACATAAAGCTTCTGCTTTGTTGAAGCAATAAAAAGATTTGTAACCACTTTTAGCAATCTCAAGAATTGAGAATTTCAAAATGAATTAGATAATAGATTTCCTTTCGTTTTAAGAAGAAAATAATTAGCAGATTCAATTACTGATAATTTTATTTTTATCATCCTAAAAAAGCTAATTTATCTTCTTATTATTGTATGAATAATTATATATAATTTTAAAATATATGGAGATATTTATATTTAATATCTAATTTGTACAATAATTTAAAAAAACCTGCTGGACATAATCATTAAACTTAATGATTTATTCAGATAATCATAATAATAAGTATGTTAAAATGTTAATATAACTTATTATCTAATTTAGTGTAATAATTTATCAATCAGATACTAATAAAACATTATTTATATTTATAATGCTATTTAAAATTTTGATAAATTACTTTAAAATATTTTCCAAATTATCAACTTTTTTATAAAATGTTTAATTACTTTATGATGCTTTCAATACTTATTTTTTTTCCATTTTATTCAATTAGAATCTTTTTCTTATTAAACAATATCTTGTACTGATAAATAGATAGTTATTTCATAAGATTACATTTATTTAATGCTTTAATTTAATAATTAAAATGTTTAGTTTTAAGCCTGTGAAGTGGTTTTCATCTCTTCTTTTATCAAAGGTAATAATGATAAAATATATATTGTAAGTTCCTCAAACCATATATTAAAAATTTTGAATCTCAAAATATTGATGTTTAAATTTTAGATGGAGAAGTATGTTTGAAATAATTAGAGTTGAGAAATGATATATTGATGCAATTTGGTATTGATATAGAAGTTATTGATTCATCTTTTGGTGAGGTTAAATTAATTATCCCATGGAACAATTTAAAAACAAAAGAAATAAGTGTAGAGATTACTAATGCAAAAATTGTTCTATCTAATAAAATTGAATTGAGTGATTTTAATAAAGAGTAATACAAAGAACATTTAGAAAAACTTAAAAGAGAATTATTAGCTAAATTTGATGACTCTGTTTAGAAAGAGGATGCATTTTCAAATGGTTAATCAGGAAATAACTTTTTTGCAGATTTTGCTATAAAAATATTTGAAAAGTTTGTTCTCAAAATTTATAACTTGGATATTGTATTCATTTATTAAATCAATAATTATGAAATTGTAAAATTTGGATTTGGATTTTAAAGTTTACTTATAAATTAAGATGATATTAAGCCAAAGAAAGATGAAATCCGAAAAAAAATTGTTGCAGATAATATTTTTTTATTATTTGAAGTATTTGATAATGTTCTTCCTTCTTAATTGTAACCAGAATCATTTATTCCAGATTAAAATTAATCAAAGTTAGAAGAAAAGAAAGCAGTACATATTCTTAAGAAACTTGCTCTTAAAATAGAATTCAGCTTAGTTTTTTCTGAACAATTAGAAATAGAATTAAAAATAGCAACAATTTCTGATGTTCTTATATATTTAAAATAAAGACAAATTCGATTATTGTTAAGAGCTATGCAAGATATTGTTAATCATCGTAATGATAGACCTAAGGAAAAACCAAAATATGGGAAAACAGCAAAAAATTGGTGGGTTTACATAATTAGA